GGCGACGACTGGGCTTAAAACAAATCTTAGAACGAAATGGCACTCGCCACTCAAACCACGGGAGGGAGATGGAAACGATGTGGTAATAGGAATGGGGTGATGTCTTATGTAGTTTCTTGTCTCCTTTGTTTCGACGTGTGCTTTGCCTGGTCTGGATATATCATGGATGGAAAGTTGAGAGGTTCTGCGAAGACGAGGTGTGGACAAGGAAGGGATCTGGGAAACGAGGAAGAAAGGGGATTTTGGTTAACCTTGTAACTTTCCAGATATCCGCTTCTCTTCGTGTAGTCAACTTTGAGCGAGGATGAAGGGACTGAATGACAAAAGGAAGATCCCAGACAGAGAGCCAATTCCATGATTTGTAGAAGAACAGTTAAGGACGACAGGTCTGTGACAGGAAGGAGAGTGCAGTAGCAGTAGAAATACTCATCCGAATGGCGACGACGTCCGTAAATGACCGCGAAATCAATCGTATCGGTCGATGTGAAAACCAAGGTGAGTGACATGGAGTAGCACCGTACGGTGTGTATGTAGGCAGGTGAGTGACCCTGAGGTGCAAGAGACTCGAGACTCGAGCGAGTTCAGGTCCCAACGAGGCACGAGGCGTGAGGCGGATGAATTGGTTGTTGTTGTTGTTGTTGGGCTGCTGCAGGCGCGAGATCATTGAAGGCCTACACGAACACCAAAAACAACGGATGGGGAAAATGGACGGGAGGAGGAGGAAAACAAAAGAGACAAACAAGAGAGAGGAACCAGGCATGCCCTCTTGAATATTTCTGTCAGGTCCTTGCCCGAAACCCAGAACAAAATTCCTGCCTTGCTCCTGGCTGGCCTCTTTTGCATCCTTTCAAAACCATTTCATTTGGTAGGTTGTAGGTACGGGGGGAAGGACAGGAAACTGGGACTTATGTTGTTTGGGGACCTGACTACAGTACCCTTGATCGATGCCAGCGAGGCCCTGACTGACTGACCCCTCGAACTGACTGACACGACTCCATCGTTTATTGACGTGGGTCGGTCTGATTGGCTGGAGCAAAGAGCGCAGGGCTGCGCGCCGCGCGCACCGCGGGTTTGGAGAATTGGGGGGGGGGGGGGGGGGGAAGGGATGGTGGTCATGGATGCCAGCTGGGATTGGGATGGGATGGGATGGGGGACTCGACTGGAAGACATGTTTGGGGAAATTTCGCACTTGCTTGGAATACGGACACTCACTCACACCATTGTTCATGAATGTGAAGCTGCATGGGTTCCAAGTATTGAATCTCGTCATTCTTGGTTTGTTTATGGCTGTGTTGAACCGTAACCGTTAAAGATGTTGGTGATTTCATGAAAAAAAGAAGAAGAAGCACGTATAAGTCCAAACAAGCACACAAGGAACTCCGTAGGTAGGTACCTGACGATCAAATTGCTGGGCTGAAGGTGCACCGTGCTGTACATGTAAATGTGTGAGTGAGGGTGTAACACAATGTGAATCAGACCGAGAGAGCCTGGGTTTGATGGTTATGTCTAGCAACTCCGTTGCGAAAAGAAAATTAAGAAAGGTGTTAGGGTGTCATGTGTACATACCTACCTGGAATGCTGTGAGCGTAGTTGGGTAGACATCACATTACCCTACGCCGTTTTCACTTCAACTTCCAGAGTGATGGCTCGGCTTGGTATCCCGGTTTGTTCATTGACCTCCGGCAAGACTCGAGATACTTCTACGCAGTGATTCGTTCGGAGGTTATCACTCGATGAGTAGGGCTGAACGAACCAGAGGACAGCTGACCTTCATCAAGTGGGTATGCCAGTGGTAGAGACCTTTGAGACTACAGGCCAACTGCTCTTACAAATGTGGCATTGTGATTGACTTCACAGCCGCGTCGCCCAAGCAGTCATGATGAACTGCGGAAAACCAGAGACAGCTTTCTACAACCCAGGAAAGGCCTGAAGGCTGTCCCCGAGCCACTCTGGCCTTCTTGATTCCCTTGTTCATACCGGATGGTCGCTCAGTCGGTTTTATCGTTAGCATCAGTGACACTGTCACCGCGACTCACCAGTGAAACACTCGCTCGCCTGCTGCCTCCAGTCACAATCGCAGAATGGCACAAACACGGGCACCGCAGAGGAACACGAAATGGCTTGATCCTTCTTATTGTGTGGTGTGCTGGAAGTTCGATCGCCCCAAGTTCTACCCTTAGAGCTCTCTCTCTATGTGACGTTGCTGAACCGGTCGTTATGTATCGTCGTTTCGCGCATGATTGATCATTAAACCACCAAAAAGATTCGGACCTGTTGTAGTGTAATGGATGTGTGGTATCTCTTTCGCTTTTTGGGAGGTCTGCAGAAACAAAACAGAAGAAAGGACTCGAGTCTTTTGTTTGCATTCCCTCTATCTCTGGCCGAGATGCGGCAACACACGGCCGTGTTTGTTGCTGATAATTCCTCCCTCAGCAGACAAACAGCAAGCCATATCGTGGTCGTCTGGAAAACTTGACTCGGGTCTCTTTCTTGATCAATGCAATGCCGAAGAACGCCGTCCGCCGTGTCCACGCATCATGATGCTCGCCAACAAAAGCAGCCAGCGCACAACCACAACCATCCATCCAAGCACCACCACTTTCTCCCTCTCCAGGTAGTCCTTTAACGGTAGGACTTCTGGAAGCGAGAGCGGGCACCCTTACCACCGAACTTCTTGGGCTCGCAACGTCTGGGGTCGGCGACGAGGAGAGTACGGTCGAACTGGATGAGGGCGGTCTTCAGGGTGTTCTTGGAGTGCTCATCGACGTACTTGGCGTAGTAGGCAACCTGTAAATCCACCAAAAATGCCCTGGTTAGTTTTCTCGTCTTTGCATTTTCTTCGGGTGCATCGTGTCATGGAATTCGGCAATGTTATCGGTCGGGGAAAAGGGGGCTCGTGAATCGGGAAATACTGACAATGGCCTTGGCAATCTGTAATGAGCAATTCTGTTAGCATATCTGTTGTCGCAAACGGTTTCCGGGGTCGCAGATTTCCAAACTTACAGCCTGACGGACGGCATAGACCTGGGAGACGTGACCACCACCGGAGACCTTGAGGCGGATGTCGACCTCGGCGAACTTGTCGGTACCGAGGAGAAGGATGGGCTCGTAGAGCTTGGCCCGGAGGATCTCGGGGGCGTAGAGCTTAAGGGGAACACCGTTGACCTTGATGAGGCCCTTGCCCTGCACACAGCGGGCGACCGCTACATTTGTCGCAAAGACGTCAGCAATTGTCGCTCTGTCATGAGATGGCCCGAAATTCCAAAATGCAATATCTCGACATACCCGTGGCGTTCTTCTTCTTGCCGAAAACCTGGACCGCTTGCGTAGCCATTTTGTCTGGATGGCAAGATCACGACGATGCGTACGTTCGGGACTTGATAATTTTCAGAGTCGTTCCTCAAAATTTGTGTGGGAGGGGAAAACGAATGGGGCTAAAGTCTGTCACGTGCTGACTAAGCCAGCTGGTAGTGGCCTTTTTGGCGAGTGCGCTGGGCCGCTGGACCTGGGAGGCGTGTGCAGTGGTCACTGCAGTGCGGTCGGTGCGCGCCCAGACGGGAGACGTGGTTGAGGCCGGCAGGGTCTGGGCCAGCGGGCCGCCACCAGCTGGCATTTGTGAAGCATATGTATTGCACTGCAGCATTGCTTGGCAATCTTGGCAGAGCTGTGCCTCGCAGCTGAGTGCAGTGAGCCAAATGAATTTCATTTTTGGATTTGGAGAGTTCAGTTGTCGAGTGGGATTCAGTTCCTTCCTTTTTTGCATCATCGCAATGAAACATAGGTAACCATAACACAAAGCCGCCATCTGTCATGCCGCTCAGTGTTTTTGTTACCTGCGTAACTTAACTGCAAGGGGCTTGGCGTACGGGCGGCCTCTCATCAAGATAAATTATTGACAGACGATCGCTTCCATCCACGCGCAATGCCATCTGTCTGTCGCACCGAAGCACTTTGGACAGGAACAGCGACGGGAGTCTGATGTTCAAGGCTGATACGTCGGCAGTGTCGCGTTGCACCTCCACTCAACCCGTCCACTGCAATCTTAAAAAGTTTCCCGTTTGGGTAGGTATCGATCTTCAGGTTGTTCACTTCCACCGACGATGCCATCAAAGGACAGTTTATGTCATGCCATGGACTTTGCCACAGGCAGACAGACAGCCACACTGAGTGAATATTCCCGTCTTTCTGAATTGGGTAACACTCCCTGATACCAGCGATATGTAATGGATAGGCGCAGCAAAGATACCTACTTACCACGCAAGACGGCAATGGTACGGCTAATATCGCAACCATGACCACATGCCATTTATACTACCTACCCATAGTCCTAAACAAGCTCGCCGTCGTTGCAGCGGGCGGCTGGTTGTCTTCTAGGTATATGCAATCGAGGGAGAGTGTGTATTGGACTGTCGGCCGCTATGAGTCTTGTCCGAGATCACGACGTGGGATGATCGGCCGATGCTGTATCTTTCTGGTCTCGGATAGGCGGCTTGGCAGGCCAAAGTTCTCGCAACAGAGGTGAACCATTGAGCAGACCATTGGTGACCTGAGGTTGGTGACCCCTATTTGATAATCATCACCACAGGATTCGCTTGATGGAAGACGGAATTGGTGGCCGAGGTGTTGGTTTGACAGTGTCGAACCTTCAAGATCTTGCTCAGTCAGCCAATATGTTCCAACAAGCACACCTGGCAATGAATGGAAACAAAGGATTTCAAGGCCGGGGTCGGTGACCAGCATTAGATTTCTCCGGCTTTTTCCACAATATGGATGCCCTGCTAGGTAGAGCTGCCTAGAACATTGGAGTGGTGCCTCGCTAAGTAGTGTAGGTACGGATACAAGCGTCAATCCTTCTTCCAGGTCCCCAGGGCAGCTTCCCCGTCACTGCCCTGGGGCTTGGTGTTCTGAACCTGTGACTGTCTGAGCCCCTCCCTCCCCGCCACGGACGCCCTGACGACTCCCTGTGAACATCAAACCCGACTTTTAAATCCAACGTCACCCCCCAGCGCAGGGGAGGAACGTCCCGTCAAACCTCTTTCTCTTTTCTTTCACTTTCGCATCTCCTCACTTTTCCACCTTGACCTGACGCAATCGAGTCCGTCGATATTCGACATCGACATCGACATTGCTGTCGCAGCAAAGACATCGAGACATCGCAATCTGATATCAGAATCGAAGGAAATCCAATAAGTCCACTCCCACCAACAGCCCGCAATGGCTCCTCTAGCAGAGATGGCCAACCAGGTCCACGAGATCGCCAAGCGAGGGTAAGCCATTCATTTTCGCATCACCAACAACACATCTTCAACCTTGCTAACGTGTGTCTAGTCGTTGTGATTACGTTGATGCATACGGCCGACCCTACTGCCTTACCCACTGGTACTACTACGGCCGCTGGGTCTTACTAGCCGTGGCGATTCTTTGCGTCTTTCTCTCGGTCTACCTTATGGCGTACGTCGTCCCCCTACCCATCCTAATCATCACCTGACCATTGCCACTGACATCACATGACTGTAGACGTAAAAATTCCCGCCGCCGCCGCCTCCAAGGGGCGCAACCCATGTATGGAACTGGCTGGATGGCTCCCGCGCCGCCCCCATACTCGCCGCCCCAGTATTCCGCCCAGCCACCACCGGGTAGCCAAGTCCCAGGAGGGTACTACGCACCGCCGAATGGCCAGAAGGCGGACCAGAACGGCGAGTACGTTTATGGCAACCAGCAAGAAGGTATCCAACTCCAGCAACCGGCGAGCGCATACCACAGAGGTGCGGATGATCAGTATGCTCCGCCCGAGGGGCCACCGCCTAACCAGGCACATCGTTTCCAGTGAGCTGGGGTCTGGTTCACAGGAAAACGGAACGTGAGACGATGCGGGGGAGATAGAGATAGGTGACAGGCGACTATCAACAATTCGAAAACCCATCGATCGACCGACGAACAAACAGCTACGAATATAATACCTATGAAACAAATGGGCATGGAAGGAAAACACTGAAAGGACCTGCGCCGAGGATAGCAACTTGAAGGGTTTGCGACTGGCGTTTAGGATCTTTCAACGCTTGCATGAGGAAACAAGGCAAGCAACGGTCTTCGTATCGGCATGATGGATGAAGGAGATGACGGGATGATTGCGATGGGAGGAAGAACAGACAGCGACTCAGCACTGACAATGAAGACGTGCAGAGTTGGCGATGCTAACAAGCAATCAATATTGGAGGACAAGCACACAACAGCGCTTAACTAGTCGCCTACTATCTAGTCCAGCTCCGTCTGATGTACCAATACTACCATTTGATATTCAATTGTATGTCTGTATCATCATGTACATAACCGCCGATGTTGTAGGCCTGACGGGTAGTGAACTTGACTCTTGATATCATGACTTTCCCGACATGCCGCCCTTGTCGACGTGTAAAAGATAAGGGTCCCCTTGCATGGGCCCATCTCCACCTGCTGTCGTGTGTCGTGTGGAGAGAACAAAGTTCCACTAGCGTACTGCACCGCTGCAAACTCAACGTCACTTTCCAGATGCAGATTGATGCAGTGTTCCTCTCTGGTTTGCCGATTGTCCACCATCAGAACCATCCAAACAGATCATCGAACGGTAAAAGTTCGCTATCGGAGTCGTACCGGGCCCCTTCGGCCAATTGTTGGTGGCAGTGCTGGTGGTTGGTCCGACATGCAGAAAAGAGGCGTAGCTGAATCTCACGTGCTTGAGAGACAGAGTTGAACGCTTCGGGAGAAGAATGAATGACTTGCTTTGAGCGAATGCTGACTTGATCCTGCCTTCCGCGTATCGCAGGGAAAGGGGAGAAAATGATCAGTGATGAATAAGCCAACCGAATCGCAGGCCGTTGTCGCTACGGCGTCACGGTAACGGTGGAGGAGATCATTGGACAACACTTGCAATATCGACAAGGCATGGTAAACGCATATTGACACCTAGGATACCATAGATGGAATATTTAAGACAGAGTCTCGTGATCTATGGTAAAGAAAATCTCCAGAATCAGACAGGAAAAAGAAAAGTATCGATGAGGGAATTGAGTCAACCCGACGGGGACTGCACTCTAAGGAAGCACGAGGCTTTACAAATCTCAAAGTGAGTAAAGGATTCCCTTATCACCCGCCATTATTGCCGGTGCTCCTAAGTTTGCAGGCTGACCATGGCCAGAGTAATCTAGACAGACCCTCCTTGCATTGATCAACAACATAAATGCCTTCCCTCGATCAATGTGCCTTTTAGCACTTTTTCCCACAGATGGCTAGCTGGCTGTGCAGGCTCAGCATACCCCATCATCCAAACCACATGTGTAGCCATATCAGCACCAACTACAGAAAAAAAGAATATGTTACCAAGTACCTTATACACGCAACACCAATGAGAGTCTTTCCATCCAAGTGGTATAACATTCCACAGCTCACGGTGTTTCATCGTCATAAGTCGGGGGGAATAAATCTCCTGCCCCCTCCAGTTCCGTCTTTTTCCCTTCCAACCCTCCCACTCCCCGCGGCAACCCTTCCTGCAACCGCGGATTTTTCTTGCCCTCCCTATACGGATTGTATTCCTCCGTCGCCATCATGTCCAGCGTGTCCTTCAACCCTGCACCGCTCAGTGCCCCGCCTTCCTTCTGCGCCTTGGCATCCAGCTTCTCGGGTGCGCCCATGTTCTTCTCTGCGCCCAACACGTGCGACGGTCGGAGGGCTTCGTCAAAGGGGTGCTTGGGCTTGTCGGCTTCGTGCTCGGCCCGCGTCTGCCCGCCCGAGGGGTCTTGTTCGCCGGTGCCGCGCAGGTCGTGGTGGTGCCGGGCTTGATGGGAGGCTAAGGGGTTGTTGAAGGTGCGGGTGATTTCGGGCATTTTTTCTACGAGCGTGGATGATGGTACTTGTTGTGGTTGTTGTCAAGATAGGTAGGTAGGATGTGCTGCTCCTTGGAGGTCTGGGCTCCCGTTGGAGCTTCCTGTTTGCTTCTCGAGGTCTTCTGTTTTGTTGCAATTTGTTTTTGATACCTAAAGATCGGTATGATAGGTATTGGGTCCGGCCGTATGACTTGGATAAGGCGTGTCTGATTCGACGGACTGGAATCGAAAAGAGTCGATGGACGTCTGTATGGAAGAGAACTGTTCATCTGTTCCTGTCAAGGGGGAGAAGTCTCGAATGTGCTCCTGCGTACCTCTATCTGGTGCTGAGAGAGGTGATGTCATTGCGCGAGGTGGTCACAGGACTGCAATCAGTTAATTGTCTATCAGATTACGGGCAAATACGGGGCATGTGTTGTTAAGAATTCATCACTTACTCCACCACGCTTGCTGACGTAACCCGCTGGACCCTGAAACCATCTTTCGGCTCGACATCACTCGAACACTCCTCATTCACATCATCAAGATATAGGGAGATAATCATGTAAACTGTCCCCGAAAAGATCCATTAGACCACATCAGACTGGAAGCAACGAAACCCACGGGCGTCTTGACCGGCGGAGAGATCCCGATAGGCCCGAGTGGCTTCGACTGGAGGTTTCGGTGTACGAACCTTCTTTGTCCCCGGGTTGTCGGCATCCATTCCGCTCCTTGGTTGCTTGATCTCCGTTGACCATTGCAATGAGACATAAACAATGGACCGGCTGAACAATGGCTTTATCAGATTCAATGCGACTTGTTCCGTCTCTTATAAGGAACACAGCTGCTTTACACCAAGGACAAGACTGAACAGCGCCCCTCCGTAGTTCGATCAGAGAATAAGATAAGGGCGTTACGATTTCCTCATCAATAAGATCTGCGTTGATCAACAGACCCATTGCGTTAACTTGGAGTAATTAATTTTGAAACACCAGTAAACATCATCAAAATGACTCTCTGCGATTACGACTCTTCCTCTGACTCGGACAGGTCGACTGCATCCTGCCTCTCCGATGGAAATATTCGCTACCCAGTATATAATGGTACATCGGGCAGCCGCAAATATGCTACATCTAGCAAAAAGAGAACTTGGTCTGAAACAGACGACGAAAGTGACCTCCCTGGTGTCCCGGACTACCAAGCCGGCGGTTCTTCTGCTCGCTTCTGCTACGATTCGGATGAGGCCGAGTTTGAGAACAGCCGGGACATCAAGAGGAGACGGACCAGCAACAACAGATCGGTAGTCCCGATTGGTAGAGGTCTCAGAGATTTGATCAAGTGTCCTGCGCCGGCACCAAGGTCGACAACTGCCCTAAGGCCGAGTGTGCGTCAGCCATCGGCATCTAGGTTCATTAACAGCTTGGATGAAGATCTCGAGTACCTCACCATCCACGATCTACCTTCCATAAATGAGAGCGAACTCAAATATGTACCCGCAGCTGTTCGTCCTCCTCAAATTCGGCCATCCGTCCATGTCTATCCGGCACCAAAGCCTACGACGGCGGTAACAGTGCGGTTGAGAAAGGCAGCTTCGCCTGCAGAACCAAAGGTGGTGGTTCCAAAGTGGCTTGGGGTTGCTAGTACATGGTCTTTTCCCAGCTCGTAGCGTAACAAAAAAAAAAAAAAAAAAAAAAAAAAAAGTTGGCGCATCCTGTAGGTACCTAGACAGAATGCATCCCAGAGTATTAGACCTTCAGAAATGTCCCCACCACACAAATAGCAGTATACACAGTACAACCAAGCACTTAAATTCCCTTTTGAGATGTCCTTGCAGTCAAACGTTAATGCTCCAAGCCAAAACCAAAACGTTATCAGACCTAATTGAACTGTAGTCGAACTGTTTTGGTACCATCGCTCATGAACACTCAACGCCCTTATTCCGTAGCCTGGTATCATCTTTCCCATCATTACGAGATCATAACGCAGTCCCCTTTTTACACACCTCACTTGCTCTGTCTCTGTTCTCATTTCCACTCCCATCCTCATTCTCATGCTCCCGTGACTGCGCAACCTGCACCGTAACATCCACCGATCTCCTCACTTGGATCCCATCTTCTTCTCCAGTACTTCTACCCCCTTTCTGATCGTGGTGGTGGTGGAGTGTCCTCAGACTATTCCATCTCCTTACCCCCAAATGCTCCTTCTCCCCGTTCTTTTCCTTCTTATTCCCAACCCCTTCCTTCATCTCCACATCATTCACCGCTGCTCCTTCGAACCCCTCCCACGTATTATCCAGCTCTACATAACCACCATCCATCCAAGCATTCGTCCTCTCCCGTCGCATGTAAACCGCCTCTGCCGGTGATACCGGAGGCTTGAACGGCTTCGATCCAATGGTTGGCGGAGTGATACTATCGCTCAGTCTTCCGCCTTGCCCGTTGCTTCCAATGGGGTAGCGGGAATGGGAGGCAAGGAGTTTGGGGAAGTACTTGACGATGAAGGGCCTCAACGTCATGACGCAGGCACAGACAATGGCGCCGTTACACTCGAGTGCCGTAAGGTAAGTGAGCTCGGCGGCGTTGTAGGCCCAATCGGTCGGATGGTTACGGGTAGTTTGGACTTTGAGGAGCTTGAGGAGGCGGAGGATAGAGATGAAGCAGATCCTGTTTGTTACCAGAGTCAATCGGGGGAGCAGGAGGGGGCAGCGGCAAAGGGAGGAAGACTTACACAAAACCAAATCCAAAGACCACGGAAAGCGCAATCTTTTGCCTCTTGGGCAACATGACTGACCACACCACAGGCAACGGCAGCAAGAAAATTAAAAAGTCTGTCGCCATGTGCAGACCTGTGCTGGACCACCACATTGACTGGGGCGCAGTCCATTGTCTCTGAATGGTGGAGTCCCAGTAGGAATTCAAGGGAATAGTGGCCACGAAGCACACGGCGAGCATATAGACGTGGCTGATGGTGACGATGGACAGGAGGATTTGGCCACCGAGTCGGGCCCAGCGAAAGTTGAAGAGGTGGATGTAAAGTAGCAAGATGGAAGCTTTGGAGAAGTAGAGACAAAGGGTGTAGAAGACGAGAGAGTACCAGGAGGCCTGTGGTGAGATGTATGTTAGTGACTGCGTCCATGTCTTTCTTAAAAACGTACCCTGTACCAAGCAATCCCCGCTGCTGCATCTGAACAGTCAATGTCCCAGACGTGAAGGCCGGAACCGTTGATAGCCTCTGCTCAGTTTTAGTATTCCCATCTGCTATCCATGAACATGTTTGGATATGTAGGTAGAGGTACTCACGCTCTATAGTCCCAACACTTGTAGCCAACGAAAACACTAAAGCAGCCAAGATACTCCAATCCGTGGGTCCCAACACTCGAATGATGACGCTCCTCGTGTATAGCCGCAACCCAACAAAAAGAGCGGCTATAAGCCAGCAAATCACGGTTGAAGCGTAGATGTTTGGCCTCAGGGAATCATGGGCTCGTTCACTTGCCGGCGGCCATATATAATACGGGTCGCATAATTCTGATGGTGCCGTAGTGTTATTCGCCGTACTGTTCATCGTATGTGGATCGTTTCACGCTGTTGTAGATCAAGGTCCAAGTCTGATAACCCGACCTCGACACTGTCTCTCTGTCGTCCGTAAAGATGTCGAAGGTTTGAAGACTAGCATCGTGGGCAGTAGAAGTACTTGATGGGAAAGGGGTCCTGTGGGGATGGCTCGGAAGCCAGTACCCAACGAGGCAGGTAGGTAGAAAGCGGGAGAGTGTTACAGCGGAAGTTAAAGCCAGTGCCGGGGAAGCATGTCCGGGGCCCCAGGGCGGGTAAGCGGGTGTCAATGTAACCGTTTCTGTCTAGAAAAGTTCAGGCGAGACGCAGTGGGAAGGCTTCCCGATAGAACCGGTAGTCCAGGACAGCTTTCACCGGTGAAGGGATTTCACGCCTGTGTAGTTAGTGATGATTAAGGCATTGGAGATTTGATCCTTTGGTGGCTGAATCTTGTTTGAGTATCTGGAATCCCATAGGTACCCTACCTCTACTCGAGATTCGCAGCTTGACCCCATGTCTGAGGCGACCACAAGGGAAAAGAACAACAGACATGACACTCATTCCCGACCGAGTTTGTGTGGCCGTAAAATTCTCATCATGTCTGAGAAAAAGATGTCAATTCCACGAGACACCGTCGCTCCTCATTCCGTCTCTCTTTCCGCCAAAGAAAAAGTCTGAGTCGAAACAGCACGAAGCAGAGGTGGAAGTTGGCAAGTGCAGTGCAGTGCAAGGAAGGCGTCGGGTGAGTAAAGAGATCCTGCCGTGATTGTAGTGTATTTAGGAGAGTGGCTCCATGCCGCGGAAGCGTACAGGAGCTTTCATTGGTCAAACACAGGATCAAGTGGAGTCATCAGCGGGAAAAGTGGAGAGTGCGGAAGAGTCCAGTCCGTCCCGCCCGTCCTCTGAGCCGTCGCTGCCGGTGCCTGGATCGCCGCCATGGTTCGGGCAACTTCCAGAAGAGGACACATCCCGGACACTGGTGAGCCCTGTGAGGAAGGAGCATGGGGTGGAGTTGTCAAAAGGTCCTCCTTCCCGTCCCGTCATCACTCAACTTGACCCCGCCATTGTTTTGTGTTTCGAGTCCAGAATATTTTGGAGGATGGGAAACGGGTTGGGGACGAATTCTGTAGACCACGCGGGGCATGGACACAATAAGTAGGTACCTCTATCCAAGCGACTTCTCCTCCGTCGACCTCCAACTCGAACGGCAACTCCCTACCAGGTTGCGACTCTCTATCTCGCTAACGTCGTATGACTTCAGCCCGCAGCATGTTGCAATGTTTTATTTGCCCCCACAATTACCGAGTGCTCAATGCACCCTCAGCGCTTGTTCTTCTTCCAGAAACTGTCATGTGAAGAAAGGTGAGCTCGGTGAGCCAAGAAGAGTCACCTCGGTGTGTTGACCATATCCCGGCACCGGGTCTTCACTCACTCACCTTTCACCACGCTTTACTCACTCTCAAAGCCTAGAGATGAGCTTGTCGACGGATTCCACCATCTTGTCTCCACGATCAACAGCTTGATTGGCAGGGGGGCTGCCAACACATTCGGACACGTCTGTTCATGGAGACAATATAACCCAGCGCATTGTGTTGAACCATACCAATATTATTCTGACCATCATCGACTTCATCAGCATCAACATCATCACCCAAGATGGGCTCCCATCAGAAGGTCAACCATGGTGATAAACCCATCCTCCTCTTCACCAGCATCCCAGCAACTGGCCACATAACTCCCACCCTCCGCATAGCTTCCGCCCTCCATGCTCGCGGCTGGCCCGTCTTCTACCTTGGCCCTACTGCCCACAAGGCCACCATATCCGCCACCGGAGTCCAATTTCTCCCCTTTCTCGACGACGCAGACTTCAACGACTTGACGTACTTCGCCCCCAAGGGGGAGGGGGCCATCACCGAAAAAGATGCAGTGGTCCAAGGTACTACTTCTGAACCAACCTGGCGCGACCGCGTCTTCAGCGACTTCCGCGAGTTTTTCATCTCCCCCATTCCGGCTCGGCACCGCTCCCTCTGTGCCGCCTTGACCCACATCCACCAGCTTTTCCCCCCTTCTTCTGCTCGAGTGGTAGTAGTAGCAGAAGCAACGTCCAACTTCCTCCTCCCTCTCTTCCACGGGGCCCCCCTCCCTCCTTCCATTCCCAAGCCAATCGGCTCCATTGCTCTAAGCGTCATGATCCCTGCCCTCCGGTCTGCGCACATCCCACCATTGGTCTCTGAACCGATAGAGTTTGATACTACTCCTGCTTACCGAGAACGGGTCGCCAAGATATGGAGGGACTGGGAGATGGAAACAAGGGGTCTAAAAGAGTTGCTGGTGGAGAAAGTGGAACAAGCAGGCGGCAAGGACTTTGCCAAAGCCATGGAGACACGCGAAAGGGAAAAGGGTCGCGAAAGCTGGGCATTGCTTAGCGGGGAGTGTTTTGTCGGGTATGATCACGTTTGTCAGATTGGTGTTGAGAGTTGGTTTTACAAGACGGAAGAGGGGTGGCCGGCGAATTGGCGGTTTGTAGGTGCGGTGCCCAAGTCGGTTCGTGTTCTTGAGGAAGCAAAGCAAGCCTTGGTGGATGAGGTCAAGCTGGCGAGGGAGAAGGAAGGAAAGAAAGTGGTCGTGGTAGCGCAGGGAACCGTGGAGATTGACCCGAGGCATCTTATCCTTCCAACCATTCAAGCTTTGGGTGGACGAGAAGAAGACACCCTGGTGGTGGCCATCTTGGGACACCGCGGCCGAACACTACCAAAGGACGTGGTAGTGCCCGCCAACGCAAAGGTGGTCGACTACCTCGCCTACGACGCCATCCTCCCCCACGCCGACGTCTTCGTGAGCAACGCCGGCTACGGTGCGGTGATGCACGGCATTGGTCACGGGGTGCCGATGGTTGTCGCGGGAGAAGAACAGGACAAGAAGGAGAACGTTGTGCGGGTGCAGTGGCGTGGACATGGGATTAAACTGAACAAGTCGTGGAGAGACGACAAGGAGTATGTGAAGGAGTTAGCAGAAGCTGTTGGGAAAATCATGGACGAGGAGGAGGGGAGGGAAGTAAGAAAACGGGCCATGGAACTGAAGGAGGAAGCGGACAGCATCGATTGCATCATGACCGTCGAGGAGTGCCTATCCCCCTACTTGTAATCCATTAGTACAACCCAACAAACTAGCCCACTAAACTATAGCTTGCTCCCTTTCCCCTTCTTCTCAGGAGCAGCAGCCATAGCCATAGCCTCCGTCCTCTCCATCACCTCCAATTCCCTCGGCACCCTCACCGCCGTCTTAATCACCTTCTTCACCATCTCCCCTCCCTCTGTCTGTTCTTCCTTCACCTCTTCCACCTCTTCCTTCCTGAAATCGACTAATACCACCCTCTCCACGTCTCCTCCTCGCCCACTGTCCATCAACTCCCGTCCCGGTTTTGCCAGTCCCAGAATCACCCGTCCGTTGCCATAGCTCCCCTGTTTAGCAAAGCTCACCACCTCGGGACTCATAACCTTCTCCGCCCACGGGATGTCAGAGGTCGGATGCTTCACTGAACTCGTCGGTACCCGGCGCAGGAAGGAAACAAGCCTTTCGCGCTGCTCGTCGTAGTCGGAAGATTGTTTGGGCAGGAACCGGCTGATAAGGGTCAAGAGGTAGAACTGCGGTGGGTAAAGGATAATTTCGCCTGCTGAGGCCTTGGCCAGCCAGGTGGAAGGAGAATCAAATAGTGCGGCGGTGTGTTCTACGCCGCCATCGTGGGTAGGGGTTTGGACTACCGTTGTAGTCTGCGATTCGGCGGTGGTGGTGTTCAGGGGAAGCATGTATAGGTACATTTGCGTGGTGAACCGTTTGCGTTGGTTTTGGGGCGTGATCCAGCGGGTGAAGGGGAGGAGGTTGTCTATGTAGGTATTTCTTGTTAGCTCCTTGTTTCCTCTTTCCCCCTTTTTCTTCTTTCCGTCATGACCAAGGACCAAAGAGTGGAAGATAGAAAATAAAGACGGGACTCACCAACATCAGCCACCCCACCTTTCCCCTCTAACCAAGCCGTAAACTTTACCCGATCCCCAAATACCTCCCTCCGACCCTCTTCCAGCTCCTCCTCGCTCAACTCCAACATTTTGTTTCCCTCACCACCACCACCACCACCATCTTTCCGTCGAGCCAACAGAATCCCACTCTCCTCAAATGTCTCCCTCACCGCCGCTAACCTGTACGCCTCACTGTCCCTATGCAACTCCCCATCTTTCGCTGGCAACGGGTAATATTCACCCTCGTGAAACTCGGATAGATTTCCGCCAGGGAAGACGTGAGCAGAAGCAAAAGAGGTGGATTTGGCAACGCGGTGGAGTAGTAGGACTTGATTGATGGGAGAGAGTAGGATGACGGAAGACGAAGGGCGGATGGGAAGGGGGCTTTTGTCTGCCCCTGAGGAAGAAGAGGGTTTGGATAAGGGTGGGATTTCGGGTTTTGATGCCGGGGGCATGGTGGTGGTGAAGGGTCTTGTTGGTGTTGGAGGGTTGTATCGGGATGTGTGGCGGGATCGGGATGCAGGCAGGGTCTTGCGGAGTGGGTGTCGTGGGATTCGGGAAAGACAGCTCAGCGTGCGTGTCTGGGATCGGAGAGTGGATGTTGACAAGTTGAAGTTGAAGACGTTGCTGTAGATGCCACTTCGAGTTGTGAAGCGGAAACGAGCCGAACTCATGTTTTTGTTTCTCCCTTTGTTTCGAGATGTGAAGAGATAAGGCTGATAAAAAGCGAATCCACGTGTCTCTTTCGAAAAAATGGCTTTCCCCGGACTTGTTGCGAAGGGTTACGAATGCCGGAATCCCGTTCAACCTCGGTTCGTCCGTTGGGGTTTGCCTGGTGTTTACTTGATCGGTTCCAGGTTCCCCGCATCCGTCAGCCAAGACAAATGGCCCTGAAAATAGTGGTCCCACAGCGCCTCTTTAGCGCACCGGGGCCCGGTTCCCGGCCCCTCTCCGGGGTGGGGACGCCGTTATCCCCGGATGTCCGTATCCACCGCCAGCGGCATCACCGCATCATTATTTGCAACTCTGCAAAACAACAGATAGGTAGGCTTCGATTCGGTCATAAAGTCATCTTTCAATCACTTCCCAAATGCGGATGTTTACTATAGGTGCGTGTGTGCACTTCAAGACGGGATGCAGTCGTATATCACCATGCCGTGGTTGGATGTAGAAGCTCGTCGTACTTTTTTTTTTCACACATAAAAAGCCATAGCCAGGATCGTAAACAACTACCCAACCCTAGGTCCCCAAGAACAACACTATCCCCTTTCACAAATCCCTCGCCAGCCCTCTCTTGTAAGCATCCAACGCCCTGTCCCTTGCACCCGAATGCTCCACAATCGGCCTCGGATACCCCTTCTCCTCCAACTTCCTCTTGACCTTCTCACTTCCGCGTCCATAAGGATCATGGATCTCCCCACCTTTGCCGCCCTTCAAATCGGGAAGGTCCCTCAACTCCTCCACCCACTTCCTGATATAATCGCCATCAGGATCAAACTTCTCGCTCTGCAGCAGCGGGTTAAACACCCTGAAGTACGGCTGCGGGTCCACGCCCACAGAAGCAGCGAACCCCCACCCCCCATTGTTGGAGGCAAAGTCCCCATCAATCAGGTGCTCCATGAAGTAGCGCTCGCCCATGCGCCAGTCTACTAGCAGGTCTTTGGCGAGGAAGGAGGCGACGATCATGCGCAGGCGGTTGTGCATGTAGCCCGTGGCGAGGACTTGACGCATGGCGGCATCGATGATGGGGAAGCCGGTGCGTCCCTGAGTCCAGGCGTGGAAGTGGTCGACGTTGTAGGACCACTCGATGTTGGAGTAGGTGGGTTTGAAAGGTTTGTTCATGCTGCGATGGACGGTGTTAGGGCGAGTTGAAAACCTACTTGGTGACAGGAAGGTTGAAAACGTACCAGACATATGGCCAGTGAACCAAAACATGCTTATAAAAATCTCTCCATGCCACTTCAGAAATCCACCTCTGAATCCCCTCGTTCCCGCCATTCAGCTTCTTGGTATTGTTCCTGTCCCTCGCCGTGCGTATCGCCGTCCTGGCGCTCAATGTCCCCGAAGCAAAGTGCACTGAAAGGTTGCTCGTCCCCTGCATGGCCGGGATATTTCTCCTCTCTGCATACTTGCCGATAGCCTCGTCGCAGAACTTCTCCAGCCTTTTGAACGCTTCGTGCTCGCCTGCTGGCCATATAGAGTGGTACCGAGCTTTTTCGTCATCTCGCAGTCTTTTGCCCTCTGGAGCCTCAGGAATAGAGCAAGCGAAAAGGTTTTCGTGCTTCTCCTTTGTGCCGGGAGGGTTTGGCCCAGGCTTTTCGTAGATCTCCAAACACTCCGGGTTTTCTTCCACGTGCTTGATCCACGCTCGAAACCATGGGCTGTATACGGCGTATTGCCCTCCGCTTCCACTTTGCAGTGCTCCTGGCATAACAACGCAGGTATCGTGAACCACGTCCGCTGCCATCTTCTCACCCTTCTCCCCTTCCGCCAGTAACTTGACCAGCTTCGCCTCCCTCCTCAACTCATCAACCTCATACTCCATTGCACAAAACAAATGACTAGCTCCCCAGCTCTTCATAAGTTCTTTTATCCTGTTTGGTACCTCTTTGCGTTTCTCCACCGTCTCCACCCACAGCGGAATCCCCAAATCCTCCAAGTCCGTCATCAAGACTTCCAAGGTCCTCAGCATAAAGTCCACCCTTATGGGAGCCCTCAGATGCGCTTCTAGATCCTCCGGACTCAACACGTAGAGACAGATCAAGGGCACCCCGGCCTCCTTAGCTTTCTGACTGGCTAGCCAGAGGGAGCGATTGTCGTGCAGTCGGAGATCCATCTTGAACCAGTGGACTACCGCTTGGCGGACTGGTAAAGACTTGCGCAGGGCGGCAGTCTCAGCTAGTGCGGCATAGAGGGTTTCGATAGGCCGGGGCAGTTCATTGTCGTTGTAGGCTTGGGCCCGCGCGTTGGACATTTCATGCGGGTAGAACTTGCGAAGGACAATGCCGTGGGTTTCGGAGTCCTTGTAAAAGGGGTGTGGTGCACGGAGGGGGTCCGAGGACGTGTTGGGGTTGGTGGGAGGAGCATCGGTGGTGGTTTTGCGCTTCTTGTTGGCTGAAGGGTTGCCATTGACGTGTGAGGTCTGAGGCGGCGCTGAGGCCTTGCGCTTGCTGGGAGCCATGGTGGTCTTGAGCTTGAAGTGAAGAGAGGTCGGCGGGAAGACGCTTGTCTCTGGTGTCAAGGTGCGGATGGTGCGAAACATGGAAGTTGTGTGAAAAAAAGGAGAGAGGAAAGAGAAATCATTCTGGCTTCACCATTGCGACAGCCGCCACAGGAGAACTACTAGGCACTTTCATCATGCGCGTGAGTGTGATTGCAAAGCGATGATGCGAGGTTGTGTTTGTGCAATCGGATCGCTCGATCTCTGCGATACGTCATGGTGTAATTGAATCGAGACGGATCGCCCACTCCGTTCCAGTTGCTTTGTTAGCGCATCTCCAGCGGATCTCCAAAATGCAGGGACATCCGATGACATGCGGGTTTCCATGGCAATTATGGGACGAACGAAAACAGTAAGCATGGAGAGAGAGAGACAACTTGACGGAACTTGCCTTTTTGAAACCGTCTGCCCTGCAAACGGACTGGAGTCGTTCCCTTCTCGACATATCAGCACAAGTCACAAAAACAAAACCAAAAGACATGTGTAACAGCCCTAATGGGAGAGTCAAACCACATCCATGAGAACTGGACCTCCAAACTGTGGAATCACAAAGCGAATGATCATGACAGCATGTAAGACTCGTATCTGTACCATGACGAATCACTCGCTCGTCACAGCCTTTCAAAGCCTCAATTTCAATTTGCGGCATGGAAGCTATCGAGGTAGCTCCAGAATCCCCAGCCTCGAGTATTGTAACCCGGGGAGACTTGTCTAGCCGGGGGATGTGTGTGTATGTTTTGCTCAATGTCACGGTCGATTGGGTTCGGTGTCATGAAATCGGATGTAAGATGTTCGGTGTTGGTGAGAAATCTGTAGACAGACGGTATGCGGACGGAACTCGTTCAGATCATCAATGCCAGTGTATTTTTTTCCGAATGAGAAACAATATCCTTCTGACGCCATTGAGCCTTTGTCAATCAAAGATGCATTTCCGCAAATCCCAGAGTTCCCAACCCAATGTCGTGGTCCCGCTGCCAGTAGTTGTTCGTCCCAAGTCGTTGCCTGCTTTTTTCCTACAGGTCGTTCTTGTGTCCAGATCGATCATGTCGGATATTGTCTGAATTGTTGGGTATCATATCAGCAAAACTGCTCTTCGGTCGAGATTGTCGATTTCGGATTTCGAATCTCCGTACCATTGCCTCATTCGTTCAAAAACACTCCAGACATTTAGCGCTGGGGGTTCCAGACGGCCTTGAGGAGACCATCGCGCTGGGCAAGGCGGTTGAGGGAGTCGTCAGACTCGCCCATGGCGCGAACGAAGCCGGAGAGAGCGTAGATGATGTTCTCGCCCTGGATGGCACGGCCGTTCTCGTCGACCTTGGCGATGGTGATCTGGCAAGAACCGTGGTCCTTGGACTTGATGATGCGGCCCGTCGCAGAGCACTTGCGGGGGACGTAACTAGACGAGAATTCCCGTCGTTAGCATTTCACCTCACGGGAAGAATGAAAAAAATCAGCATGGGGACGGCATACAGGTCGACAATTTCGCCGCGATCGTTCTCCATTTTGGCTGTCTTTGGGGGTGCTGAGACTGCGGTTGGGGGTGTGTGGTCTGGTGACGAGGAGCGGGCAACAAGCGCAGAATTTCCAACTTGAATTTCGACAACAAAATCGCAGTTTGGTGTGCAAGCCCCAAATGTGGGCTGCCCAGTGGCGCGCACGGACGCTTTTGGATGGATTTTGTGGCTAGTGCGCGTCCTCAGGTGTGGCTGTGGTCTAGATGCTGCCTTCCCAAGTACTTTGTACCTGCACTAACAACAACACCTGCACTGTCAGCTGATAGCGCGCTGTAGTCGTGATCGTGGTCCCTGCAAAGTGGAAGCCGTAGAGGTTCCCATCCTCGTCGCCTTCCAGCTTTGATTTCCGCGCGCGGCGCATCGAGTCGCCAAGTTGGCCCAGCGTCCACCACTGACTGAAGTCACATTTGCGCACTTGCTTCTCTTAGGCCCGGTACCTCTACCTTACCTAGTACTCTGCACATTGGATATCGATGGAGGAGGAGACTTGGTACTCTTCCCATCCAGTCGCATCACCAGTTCGAATGGCGCACAATGACACGATAGACATCATCTCGTCGTCGCCCGAGTTCCCAGACATCAGCGTCCTAGTCGCAAAGGCAGCATCCAAGAAACCAGCGCTGCGACCCGGTAGCAATGCCACACCCATTCCCCGCGATGCAGTTGGGCTTGGAACCTTCACAAGCGCTGCTAGCATTTGGCACTTGTCGCAGGTCATGGAGGAAGAAAAGCCCTCAAAAAACTCGTCATCTCGGCCAACAAAAGAGACTCCGACGATAGCAACATCAGTGTCGACAGTAGCGGTTGAAGTGTCACCAACAACAAGGACGGCCATGTCTGAGGAGAAGCCAGGAAAGAAACCCAGGAAACCGAGGAAAAAGAAGGACGAGACAACAGCCGCCGTCGACGAAAATGCACCACCTAAACCACCAGCAAGAAGGGGGAGGCCGCCCAAGCAAAAGGACGTCGATGGACAGCCTGCCTTACCCAAGTCCAAGGCCACGAAACCAGCGGCAAAACCACGGGCTTCGAGGAAGAAAGCTGAGACGGTGAGCAAGCATTTTGCCGCTTCTGCTCATGCTTCTACGGCCGATCCTCCTGTCCCAGAGGAACCCTCGAAAGATCCCGCTGCGTCGAAGCCTCCGAGACCCATACCCGTGCAAAGCATAGACGAGCCAGTCGACCTAGAACCGGCAGCAAGAAGAAGACTAGATTGGACGCCACCGCCAGATGACAGACCACCACCAGCTGCGGGCAACTCGTCTGTGGTCAAGGAGTTACCGTCTTCTACGACTGCCCATACCGAACCACCAGTGGCGTTTGGAAAGCTCTTGGATACATACGGCTGTGAACCAGAGACTATTCAGCCGAGTGAAGGCACTAAAGGTAATGTACTTGGGAAGAGAAAACTGATCGAGATGGTCGCTACGACTACGACTACGAACACTGCCACAGACAAACCCACAAGTCCAGAGACGTCCCCGACCAAGCCCAAAGCCCCCAAGAAGAAGCCACGCACAATCACCGACCTCGCAACGGCCGCCTATAGAATACAAGACCCAGTTGACGATTCCATATCGACTGTGGCACCCAAACAAGACACTCTCCTGGGCTACATTAACGTGGAGAACGAGGATGCTGCTATCAAACCAGGTGGCGCCAAGACAAAGGCCGTTTCCAAGAAGCCAGGAAAGGCCCGGGTCTCCAAGAAGAAGCCCGAGCCTCGAAAACAGCTGTTGCTATCTCCCCATAGCGCACTCAGGCAGGTCTCTGGTCAGAATTTTGTCTTTGGCACTTCCAGCCAGCTTGTGACGGAAGACACCGACCTCCTTCGTGCTTTGCACGAGTCGATGAAGACGGCGGGCAACGCGCAGGATAGCGATCCTTTCATGTCCAGCCCGGTCAAGTTCAGCAATATTGCTAGCAGGCGCAAGACGGGGAACAACAAGCTTTGGAAGGTTGGGGCTAGGGACGAGGACGGCGATCTGCTGGACTTGGAGATCTTTGATCTGACTGAAGCCGTGGAGGTACCGGAAGATGTGGTACAGCAAGCTGACAAACCGGCTGTTGATGTGCCTGAACGGGAGGCAAGTCCTCGAAAACAAGTCGAGCGTGAGGCGGAAAGAGCAATCGAAATATTTTCATCCGATCCCGTTGCCACCGAACGACTCACGATTACAGGACCCGAAACCCTGATCAGTACACTTTCAATAAAGGGAAAAGAGTCAGTTCGCCGTACTACGAAGCCTCCACCGCCAAATCCTGTTGCCCCGCCACGAGAAAGGACACCTCAACGAGCACGTTCGCCATCCCGAGATAGTCTTTCTTCTCGACTACGGAGTCCTCAAACGGAAACACCTCCGAGACCGACCACACCTCCACGAGTAAGCGCTGTGCTCGACCTCGATTACGACTTCGACGACTACGAACCGCCACCAAGTAATCAAGAACATTACCAGCTCCTTGAGCAGTCCCAGAAGACCAGTCCTTCCAAGACGCAGCAGCGGAAACAGCAGCAAACCCAGCAGCAGCAGCAGCAGCAGCAGCAGCAGCAGCAGAAAAAAAGGGACCCTTCGCCCCGCCCAAAGTACGAGGTCTTTACTGACGCCCAACTAAGCCGGGAGATCGCCTCCTACGGATTTAAGCCGATCAAGAAGCGCGCAGCCATGATTCGTCTTCTCGAACAGTGCTGGGAAAGTAAGACGGGGGCAGCTACAGGCAAAAGCACAGGGCTAGGTGACAATACGTTGCAGGAAGGGACAGGGAGTTTGGAGCCCGCTCACCGATCCAACAATTCTGTTGCGGTATCTCCCGACCGAGGGAGAGGCCAAACAGTCCAAGGCGCACATATGCAAGAAGCAAGAGCAGGAATAAAAATGGCTGCGTCCACTACGAAAAGACCAAGGAAGAAAGCCGTAGCTACGTCTGCGTCTGCTCCGCGCACCTCCACCACGGAAAACCCACCAAAAGCAGCACCCACATCAACAACAACTGCACCATTACCTGTTCTCTCCGCATCAACCCCCAAGCCCCAACGCCGCACCTCGTTATCTCCGATTCGCCCCCGCTCACCCATCCTCGAGATCCCCGACTCTGATATCGACATCTCCGATTCCGATCCATTCGCCTGCTCCCCGCCCGTCTCCTCACCCGATGCCTCCTCCTCTACATCCCACCTCTTCTCCACCCCCGAAAAGCACCACCAAGATCACAAACACGATCCGGCAGCAGAAATGTCCCTCATAACAGAGTGCGAGGAGTCCCTCCTGGACATGACCTCCCGCACGCCCTCGGAAGCTGATCTCTTCAAACACATAACCGAAGCCATCACCACCGCTCCCCGCACTACCAACCCTTCCGAGCCCTCTTGGCATGAGAAGATCCTCATGTACGACCCTATCATTCTGGAAGAGCTGACAGCGTGGTTGAATACGGCCGGAAAGGGACTGGATAGAGTTGGGTGGGAAGGATGCGAGGCAGGCACGGAGGAGGTGAGAAGGTGGTGCGAAAGTAAGGGCGTGGGGTGGGTATGGAGAGAGGGGAATAGGGGGCAGGTGAGGAAGAGATTTTGAGGAAATGGGTAGAGGTTTGCGCTGGCCGATGGAAAGGAGGCGGGGCGCTGACCTGGAGAGTTCCTTATGATGTTTCTTCGGCGGACTGCCGGACCCACAGCTCCGATCATACCGGGACCGCCGGTCAGGTTCACGCAGCTGTCAATGACATTTGCAAATAAATGGCAACTTGCAGTTAATAAGATGCGGGCTACCTATGCAAGCTGAACTTGGTCTTGTCGCAGCCTCCGCTGCCTGAGAAGAGTTTTATTCGATGCATACATTATATGCATGTCGCTGTTCATTTTTTCAAGTCCGGCCCTGTGAGTCTTGGTAATCGGACTTCCGGCATGGCTCTTTTATTTTCTTTTTTTTTTTTCCGAAATGAACACTCTAGCTTGTTGGAGAAAATGGTATATATTCCTGCCTTTGGACTGGTCCTGTCTTTCTTCTTTCCCTTCGTTCCATGTTCCACAACCCAAGTACAAATACATCAACCTCGAGAGTCTATCGAAAAACGTTCATTGTCAACAACTACCTTGACCACCTGCGGATATTTAGAAACCGACATGATGATGTCTCTCTTCTTCGTTTTGTCATGCTTCTTGTTGGCCATGGTGCCAACGGCATTCGGGAGTTACGAAACGGACCCGCCTCCCACGTCGTCCCCCTCAATTGCAAATATCTTGGTTGATGGAGACAAGTCGGTTACTCTCAAAGTAACAACTATCACCTATATCAACGCCAAGAACTCTACCACGGTGGTGCCTATTTTGACTCTGTCGACCGTGGTTGAAGAAATCGCCCAAGAGTCTGTTGCTGTCCTCACCGTTCCAGCTTCCCCTGCCTCAGAGACTACGAGCGCACCCACGCCATCGGTAAGTACAGTTCCGACCCCATCGAGCCCAAGCAGCAGTCAACGTGGTGCACAAAACAATGCCAACGGTGGAATGACCCACGATGAGCCTTCCCCTATTACATTTGCGAGCAGCGAACACAATGGTGTTGGAGAGCCCACGAGCAGCAGCCAGCCCGAGCCCGGCCCCGTGACTGTCCATCCGACGGTGGTTTTCAGCACGAGTGCATCGAGAACATTTCGCACATCCTCGACTTCCTTTACTGGGCATGACGGTGAGATGATCACAGTCATCTCAACGATCAACGCTCAGGCCGACCCCAGTTCGTCTATCTCGTCGACCACCAGCCAAGATGCTCCCAGCGTTATCACGAATCTCTTAACCATGCATCGTGGCAACACCACCAGCACGTCCTCGTCCACCTCCACCACATCGTCAACAACCAAGTCCGCCGACCCTGGTATCATCGTCGTGCAACCCAAGGAGTCGGCCACGCCCGATGTTGTCGTCGTGCAACCCAAGGAGTCCTCCAAACTCGAGCCGACCACGCAGTTTGTCACGGTTGTCTCAACCCAGTCCGCGAAACCGGACACGGTAACTGTCAAGTCCAAGGAAGACACATCTGTCGTGACCGAAGTAGTGAAACATACTGCTACTGCCATGGTGACCGTCTTTCCAACAAAAACCAGCTTTCTCACAAGCACCGTCCAAGCACCCCAAGCACCTGTTGTGACGGTCCATGTCGCCAACCCCTACCCCTTCGGCGTCGGGGCCTCGCATACCCCCGCCACTTATCACGAGCACGATGCTGCGGACGGTGACCCTGGCGGCCTTCAGTGGGCCCCGGGTGTGCATACCAACCCACTAGACAGGTCGGCGCAGTTTACAAAAGCGAAGCCGCCCACTTGGCCTACTTGGGGTGCTGTTGCGCAAATCATGGGATTCGTGGTTCCTTGGGTGACTGGGCAGCCGGAGGAGGTGAAGGGAACAGGGGCAGTGGCTACGATATCGCCTGTGATGGAGGAGGCATTCAAAGCTGCTGAGACCCCGGTTGAGGCTGCGAGGACCACTCCGGCTGGTGATGTGCAGGCTCAGGCTACCCCAACCTCATCATCTACTGTTGAGGTTATTTCTGTTGTTGATCTTGTCTCTACTGCTCGTGCTCAGGGTGCTGTTGACGCTCAGGCGACTGTTGACACCTCTACTACCCCTGTTATTGAGACTACCTTTACCGTTCTGGCTACTGACGATGCTCAGGACAAGCCTAGTGTTCACGTTCGCGACTGGAACGCCGCCGAACGAACAAGAAGAGTCAGTCCCTCGGACATGTTTAACACTCTCTATGGACCCAGAAAGCCGTCCAACCCTACGAACGGTCCCCCCATCACTCGGGCCCTACGAGATTTTCCGTTTTTGGGGAAAACAACCCTCGTCGGAACCCGCGAGCCGTCCACCCTGACGCACGGCAATCGAATTCGCGAGAACCAAGACGGAATGGACCCTATCCAGGCCCGCAGCACCTTGTCTACCTCTGCCTCTGCCTCCTCTGCACCGACCCTTGACCAGGACCTGGAACCCCATGCAAAGAGGAGTAACGACACCGACAACACCGACAACACCGACAACATTGACACCAACGAGATGGGCAACATGAATGTGAATGTGTCACATGCGACGGAAGGCTTCTGGGATGGTGTCGCGGAAGGGGCCAACAAGTTCTTTGATGGTGTCGCGGAAGGGGCCAGCAAGTTCTTTTGCTGGCTTCTTCCTTTTACTTGTCATCATTGATGGCAGAATAGCGGTTGAATCGGAGAGATGGACTGCAGGCGAAGGGAGGGTGGGGGAAGAGGCAGCGAGCATGCATGCGCTGGGAACAATCGCAGATGAATACAACTGAGGGTAACGGGAACATGAATGGAAGCGCGGATCTTTTGATGGCAACTAGAGGTAGAGGAAGTAGCTTGGGCTCTATTGAGAGCACTGCTGCCTCCAACTGAGTCTGCCACTTTGAGGAGGAAATGCCCCTGGGATATAACAACGAGGGCTGGTGTATGTTTGATTTGATCACTGGTGGGAATACAGGTTACATGCAGGATGCAGGCTTGGGGAGTTGAGCCGCGTGTTACATGTGCTTTTTGGAAAACGGAATCTGCGACTTGCTTGATTTTTAGTTGGGTTTACCTGAAGGACAAGGAAAGCTTGCAGTGCCCTGATTTTGAGATTCACGAAGAAAGACCGGATACATGTATTAAAACGGAGAAAGCTCAAGCGCACCTCTAGCGAAAATGATTTCTAAAAAAAAAAAAAAAAAAAAAAAAAAAAAAAAAAAAAAAGAAAACCATACACTACTACAGTCCAGTACTGATTTGTTCATTATCTCGAGACCTCGTGTCAACTTTCCTATACGTCTTTATAGCTAAGTAGCGCGTATTATTACCTTGGAAACGCCATTCCTGATATTCGATATATTATATCAATTCCTGTTAATGCCTTTATAATTCGTACCTACTCACCCATTTTAATCTATCCTCATAGGTAAGCTTTGGGACTATTCGGGATTGATTTCGTCTAGTATGCACCACCAGAAGTACCTACCTACCTAGTGTACCAAGCTAACAAACAAACCAGCATTGGATTGTATAATGTTGGCTCTCAGTCTCTTTCTTTGTGTTACTTACATGTAGGTTGCCACCTGCCTACCTCTATCTAAGTAGGTAGGTACCGAGCCATTGAGGCAGGTGTAGGTAGTGCAAACTAGAAGACTGTCATTTTTCCTCACACAAAAGATGGAAAGACCGCAGGACACTGGCAGTGATCTTGTTGACATTCATTTTTCATTTTGCTAAACACACTGTGCTATCTCGACTGATTGCTTTGTAAAAGAGAGGTTACCTAGAGGTATTTGCAACCATATTTCGGCATACTTGCCTGTGATTCAAAGACACTTCCATGCTGTTCTACATCTTTGAGCGTTGAGACGTTCCCAGTGCCTTACACGGCCGGATTCCTTCACGTACCAGTTGACGTCCGTGTGCTCCCTTCAGACATCAGTCGTCCGTCAGATCAATCTCGACCTGTCCGTTTTTCAGGCGGCGCAGCTTGTAGCAAAGGGGAGAGGAGGTAGGGTCCATGGGTCGTTCTCTCTTGACACCTCTGCGTTCCTCGTTTTCGGATTTGATGCGCGGCTGTGGGTAAAAGAACGGTTAACTCACCGTCTGTCTTTCTGCACAGAACAGTAGAGCTGCAGGTTATGGTGCGAATGCCTACCTGGAATTTTTCTTCGACGTCGACAACCTCCTTGGACTTAACGACCGGGCGAGATACAATGCCTTCCTGCAAAAGACCCTCTACGGTATTGTACAGTGTAAGCGGCTATTTTGACGACATAGAGCGATGGGCATGAGACTTACCCATGGTGCGGTAACGGAATTCGAAGACGGCGATGGGTCGGTTATGGGGATCGACATTTCTTGAAGTGGCTACTTGACCAGGGTAATCTATGGGTTCAGACACGAAACTAAATAGGCTTTGGTAAGCTAGACGCTCTCAGCTATTTGAAACCATGGGTCCTCTTACTTGACCTTGCTGTCAACGGCTTTGCCCTTCAAGTCCTTCTCACCAACAGAGAGGATGGGCTTAGGACTGTATTTGTCCCGAATAAATGCAACGCGGCCTGTGTCGACCTTGAGATAAAGGTTGACAATAAGTGTGCCGTAGTGCTTGGCATCCTTCGCCTGAGTAGCGTCCCCTCTATGTCCTTCCCCTATATAAGATTGGAGGAAGATTAGCCCGGCGAACCTTATACGACAGTTGCATATAGGTAATAAACCCGTATGACCACACAATGTAGAGGTAGGTACTTACGAACATCAAGGCTGCCGAAGTGAAAAGTGTGTCGTTTCCAGCCGGTGGCTCGGCCACCAGTTTGACAAAAGGACCTCTTGTCTTCAGTACCAACTGACATTGGCTTGTGCCTGGAACTGAAGCCATCCATGGAACAAACCCAATATATTTTCGGCTCTGTCTTCTTGAAGTCGTGGAAGTTTGTCGCGTCAAGGATGAAGGCAAAAGGCTTGCCTGGTTTGGCCTCGATGTATTTCAACACGTAGGGAACTTTGTGGTCCGGTGTTTGCTGGAATGAATAATATCTGATTTTTTTGGCGCGCGACTTAACCTCATCTGGATCGGCCTCGTATTCGTGCGCACGATGGCCGTCGACCTCGACGGCAACTTCAAGCCCCGGAAGGCAGGTGAGAATTGCCATACCTCTCCACTATTCGGTTAGAATCCTCTATGCGCTGGTGGGTGTTGCAACCATGTGTTTGTCTTCGTGCTCAGAAGAGGATGTAGGGCAGTTGGTGGTGTGAAGAAGGAGAGACACCAGACAACGTAGCGATACCAGGCTGCCTGGCTTCAAGTGCCCAGTTGAAAAATGCGGGGTGTCCAGTCTTGCAAAAGTAAGGTAGGGAAGTGAATGGGACCCAAGGCAGTGAAGGGACCTACCTGGGCGGTGACTGGCGCCGCTGGGGGCCGGCTTCACATGTTGCAGGCGCAGAAAACGGAAGGCGCGACTGGAAGGAACGACGGGACCCGGAGTCTGGTCACGGCAGGCTCACGAAAGCGAAGCACAAAAGGTCGGTTCCGAAACTAGCTCTTGCGCCATTACACGGACTCGAAATCCATCATGCACCTGAACTCAAAGCGGAAAGAACTTCCAAGAATACAGGGGAAAGCTGACTTCCACTGTTTGTGGTGTTTGTATGATGACTTATCAAAAGCAATGGTCCGTTTACCATGGGAACCAAGACTCAAGTGATTTCGATGCTTCCTGAAACTGGATCGGTGAATGTTAGCTGAGTCCTCCAGTGAATTCGAATATGTGGTAGAAACAGGTACTCACTGGACCTTGCTATCCACTGATTTCCCCTTTAATGCCGTCTCGGAGACAGACTGAACAGAAACGGGGTCATCAAGAGGTTTCAGTACTGATGTTCGACCTGAGTCAATAGCATGCCATAACTTGACTGAAAGTGTGCCAAATTGCTTTGTCCGATCTCCTTGTGTCTCAGCTGCTCCTTCCACTGTAACAAATGAGAGTCAGTTCGGTAAAGACTGACAGTAACTTCATGTAATGCGATCTCGCGCAGAGAGGAATTGAAGTTGTTGTTATTACCTAGCTCGAGCGTGGAAAATTGGAACCTGTGGAGTTTCCAGCCCGACTCATTGTTGCCAGAGAGGGAAGAATCTCTCGTTGTCTTAGTGCCGCCGGGAAGCGAGTAGTAGCCAGTAGGAATCCCGTCCAGAAAACATTGGTATTCGGCCTTGTGTTTCTGGCCATCGTGACTTGGAATAGAGAATCTAGTAGAATCCAATTTGAATACAAAAGGTTTTCCGGGCATGGATTCAATGTATTTGATGGTGAAGGGAGATCCTGATTCTTGAATAGGCACATGGGTAATTGAGTGAAAGTCAATCTCCTTGGCGCGCGCTTCAACCTCATCTGCGGGGGCATCGTATTCTTGCGCGCGCTGGCCATCAACCTCGACGGTAATCTCAAGCTCCGGGTAGCCGGTGAGGATTGCCATCTTGGTTGGAGCCGTGCTGGTGGTTGCCGCTCTCAATGAATTGGGCAGAACGGATCGATACGGTAGATCGTGCTGGACGCTCCTGTTTCAGATGTCGGGAAGGGGATGGTGAATGAGAGAAGACACGACAAGCGAGGCGGGGTTCCAGAAAATTTAAGGGCACCGCTCCTGCCATCGGACGAGTCCATGACGCGTCCGGGTCCGGTCTCGTTCAGATACACACAAATGGAAGGCGCAACTGGAAGGAGCGATGGGCCTGGTCACTGCACTGCAGGCTCGCAAAACACGTGAGCCAAGTTTCAGTCTACAAGGCACTCGAAGCCAGAGCGCACCAGTACAAAAGGATGTGAAAAAAAAAAAAAAAAAAACACAAACTACCCGATCTCTTGTCTGTTGTGCCTGGTCCATGATGACCTCGCTCGCAGCAGAAACTTGTAATTGGGGATCAAAAGAGATAAAACTGAATGGGACGCCCCATCATTGCCGTGACAGTGAACCGCCCGCACCACCACCACCACCACCACCACCACCGACCCCATCCACCGCCGTTACGAACTTGACGCTCTTCCTCCTTTCTTTGTCTCTCTCACCTCGGCCCCCTCCATCTGCTTTACTTCCCTCTCCACCATGTCCAGTAAGACCACCACTCATCCAGGCCCCGATCCTCCCCGGACTTGAGCTCAGTATCCCCGTCACACTATGACTCTGAGATCCCGACCCCGAGCCATGTGAAGTCTGCGAATGCGAGTGATGAGCCTGTATCCCACCTCCCGGTCCGATCCCAAATGCCAAGCCCGTCTCCCTGACGCTTTCTACCGCTCTGCTTTGTGCCACAGGAGGGGCGTCGTCGCCGCTGCTGCCAAGTAATCTGCCACCTGACTCGCTGGTTGTTCCAGCAGAAGCGAGAGCAGAAAGAGCTGGAGGTCCGAGGTCGACGTATCCTCGATCGGCGGCCGAGCCAAGGAGGGAGCTGTCGCCCTGGCCGGCGAGGCTGGAAAGGCCGGAGCACACGGGTGTCTTGTTACCGCCTGAGAACACGGGTGTCTTGATACCACCGCCCGAGAACACCGGTGTCTTGTTCCCTGCCGAACGGCTGTAACTGCTAGGAGCGGAAGCCTCTCGCTCTCTCTCACGCGCTGTCCCCGCCCGGCTCGGAACTTCGGTCATCATCTCGCCCATTCTGGAGGCCATACCGTGGCCATGTCCCGTATCGGTTCCGGTACCTCGCATCGTCCCCCAAGGCAGTTTCATCGGGCCAGGCAGGCAGACATGCCCACACCCATCTAGCGGACAGAAACCGCCGCTTGAGGCCAGTTCGGCAGCTGGGTCGTCGTTATCAACTGGTCCATCAACGTACATGGCTGAGTCCCGCTCGGCTTCAAAAGCTGCATGCCAAGCCTGCATACAGGAGGAGTGGCCCCCGTGCCCACAGCCGGGGCAGAGCCACCAGGTTGCGATGGGCTGGTAGTCATCTTCCCCTTCCCGATCAGGCTGGAGGGAGGAGATGGTTGATTCTGAGGAAGAAGGGATGAAGGGAGACGAGTCGCGATGACCGCAAAGCGCGCATGGGGCTGCAGCAGCTTTACACCGCTTACACGTCCATACTGAATCCGTCGACGCCTCGCTGCGATCCAACTCCCTCGCTTTGTGACACGAGCTGCAAAAGAATCCGACTGACACGCCGTTTTGAGCCGGGGTCAAGATGGCTGGGTAATTAATTCCCCAGTCTTTCAGCGCATTCTTCTCCTGATCACCGGGCTTGGACTCGGCGGCCGCGGCGGGCCAACCTTGCATGCATAATTTCCTGAGAAGAGCCGCCTCGACAAAGAGTTTGAGGTTCATGAGGCGGGAGTGATGCTGCCGAAGGATGGCTGCTGCTTGGTAACTGTCGATGACTTCGTCGGATACCAAAGGCTTGAGGAGGAGGACAATGGCCGAAGCGTTCAAGGCGGAGGACTTGGCTTCGAAGGCCAGAGTACGGGATATCAGAGAGTAAGGGTTCAGTGGGGGTGTAGTACTGGAGAAGGAGGAAGCGTGGTTGTGAAGAGGGTAAGGATACGCAGGATCGGAAGGCCAGGGTAGGTAGTCGGTTTCGATTATGTGGGTGGGTTCTGGTTCCGGTTCTTCGGGAAGAGTAGGGGGTTTGTCGGTAATGACGACGGGTGGTGCGGCATGCAAAGTGTCATTTTCGTTTTGGGAGGGAAAACTGTCGTCGGTAGTGGATTGCGTAATGGCATGGTGCTCGTCAGTATAGGCCGTCATTCCCGTCATTTCAGTCTCGGTACGATTGAGCTGCGGGGGCACGACGAAGCGGGGACGACCGAAGCTGCCCATTTGGAGATCGGACGCTTGTTCGGAACCGTCGCTACCCCGGGGGTAGCGGATCTCGGCAAGGGCAGAGCCACGGATGGGCAGGCCGCCGCTGGACTCGACAGAGCTGGCAATGGCGGTTCCTGTGGTTCCGCAGCCGCGGCGGCTACCGGCAGAAACGGAGAGGCCATGCCCGAAGCTGTCATCGGAATCATGGCGCAAAACGGATTTTCTGGGGTCTTCGTGACGTTTGCGAGGTACGTCGATGGCATTGCCGAGGATTGCTTCGGTGTCGTAGAAATCGTATCCTTCTGTGCTGGCTTGGGTCTGTTCGCTATTGAAGGAGACGACGGACAAGGGGACAGAGTCGAGACGGCTACGTTTTTGTGGACCGCGAGGTTGGAGCGCAGGGCCGAGTGCAAAACTGCCAGGCTCCAGAACTGGCGCCAGCTTCTCGGACTCGGTAACAGGCCGGGCAAGGGGTGTCGGTTGGTTCGAGGTACTCTCCAGCTCTTCTGACAGCAACGACCTGGGATTTGCCTTTCGCGGTGTATCTGCCCCATCGGTCTGGACTGACATCTGAAAAGGAGGACCCAGCGCGCGTAGCTGGGCCTCCGTCTTCCTCTTCTCGTAGTGATCAAGTCGACGTTCCAAGTGGTACTGCCCTCGTCTTCGTAAAATCAGGTCCACCCAGTAAGCGAGAATGCGCCATGACTGGGCAAGCCGGTACTGATTGACGCTATCGGCTGCTTTGGCATAGTGATCGAGGATAGTCCTGACTCGGTCGGGCAGTGGCCTGCCTCCTTCGACGTGTGGCAGCTCCTGGTACAGGACCTCCAAGTAGTTGATGGTAAGGTATTCGTACACATCTACTGTCGCAGCAGCAGGCAAATGTCCAATGGCCATGGCTTGTTGGGGCTTGTAGGTGCCGGTAACCTTGATGGTCTGTTCCAACGACAAGACCTCTTCCGAACCCGTCGGGGGTGTCGTGCTCAGGTTGGCTGACCTCGTGCTTGGACGCCGCTTCCGCTGCCGCTTGGGGCCCAGGAAACTTCCGATAACATCATCTTCAGAATCGCTGCGGCTGACACCAAACCTGGGAGTGGCAGGACTCGAGCTATAGGAAGGCGCACTAATGCTGTGGCTGCTGTCGGCATGTAGCATGTGTGGCCGTGGACGATGGGAGGGAGCACGCTCGTCTAGAAACATTAGCACGTCTCCCTGTGACGAGAAGGACATGGTCGAGACGGCCTGCCGGTCAAGCACCTTGGGCGCAAAGTTGACATCGCACTGTGTGAAGAGACCATCCTGGCCGACGGTCCATAGAAGATACTGATCGTGCCAAAGAAGAGCGTTGGGTGAAGTATCAAACAGCTGGATCTCCCTATACGGCATCGTGGGACGGGCGAGATCCCAGATATGCACCGCATTGATACCAAACTTCTTCTGACTGCCCTCCCCATACGACATGGCGATCTGGGAAGCCCTCTTAGCCTGGGCTGTCGCTGACCATTGCCCTGGTCTCCAGGCAAGAGAAGCCACGGGTGCCGGAGTCGATATAGTCCATTTCGGCTTCTGTCTCTTGTCGGGAACCTTGCCCAGGTGCCAAACATGACACTTGCTGTCCCATCCAGCACTCACGAGGTGTTCGCCGTCGGGATGCCAGGCAATCGAAGTACACGACTTTTCGTGGGCGTTGATCCTCAGGACGGGCGCATGGTACTTGCGCATGTCCCATTGGAGAATGGTGCCCTGGTCAGTTGAGCAGGCAAAGACAAAGCCATCCTTGGGAGACCAGCGGACCTGGCGCACGCCGTCTGCGTTGCACTTGTAGGCGTGGACGGGACGGAAAGTGGCGCCGGTTCGCGAGGGGATCGGGTTACGGATATCGAAGCAGCGGACGATGCCGTCTTGGCTGCCAGACAACAGGTAGCTGGCCCGGTGAGGGTTAACGTCGAGTGTGTTGACCTGTCGAGAGTCTTCGCGAATCTGGAGAGACTCGAGCGGGGATCCGGTAGCCCAGGCCTCGCTGGCGCGCACCAGGTCGTACTGGAAGATCTTGCCGCTGCCACATGCCGTGAAGACGGTCGGGTTGCCGCCAGCAGGGCCCCATTTGACATCTCTGATAGCTAACTGATCTGGGCTTCCTCCCTGGAGAAGCGAGCGAAGATCGATCCCCTCACGAATGCTGAGGCCGTCAAAGGTGACGGTTCGTAGCGCATGGCGGCCAGCAAGAACAGCTGATCGGCCATCCGGGGACCTGTCTATGCACTCGAGGGGTTGGCCAGCCTGGTATGAGGCATTCTGAGCGGCAGTGGGACGTTGACGATAGTTGGAGATCGCAGTCAGGCCGCCGCTGGGGTTGCTGGTAATGTTGGAGCCGTGAGAAGTGCCATTGGCAACTGAGGACGACGGCGTGTTCTCGTGCGAATTGTTGGCCGAAGAAGAGTCGGGGTTGTTGTTAGTCTTGCCCAGCAGCTTGCGCATGATATTGCCCTGGTTATACATGGCCGCGGCCCCGTGTTGTCGTGGTTCAGATTGTTGTTGTTACTATGTAATGTCGTCGTGTGTCTCGCGAGGCCGTGATGCCGTCGAGAGCATCTTCTTTACGGGTCCTTCAGGGCGCGGCCAAGGAACGTTGGAGGATGTCAATGAGTGGTGACATTGGAAGGAATGGGATATCTCGCCAAGGTCTCCTCGGTGAGGAATGCGCCGGTGATGTTGTGGTGGTGATGTGATGTCGTCGTGGGATGTTTTTAGGTACAGTAGGTACTTTCCTTTGTAATGTTTTGGTGGGGTTTTGATGGAGGGAAGCTATTCCCAGGCATGGACGGGAAGTGGAATGATGCCACAATGCCTGCCGGCTGTCCCCTGCTTGCGGCTATTCTGCCAGCCTTGACCACCAAGATCTTCCTTCCATCGGAGCTGCCTGCCGTTAGCGCATCTCGTCTGTTGTCAGCGCGCGCCAGTCCACTGAACAACTGAAGCTTCCACTCGACTTCCAGCCTTCTGTTCCCTTCCATTTTATCATCATCACCAGAACATTGCCGCCCACTGTTTACCTACACCGACGGCACACATCAACTATACTACCTCAGCCTCGCCAATATTAACCATTGACTTTACGCGACTTCTACTAGTACTGCCGATTCAGACCCCGCGTGAACACAGAACGAGCTCATCACTTTCAGCGGGCGCCACCATGAACCCCGACCGACAGGCCATGATCGCCGGCTTGGGCAAAGGTCGAGACCGAGACAACAAACGAGACATCACTGCCCCCAGACTCGACAACAACAACCGCATCTCGAAACCCCAATACAAGCCCTCCTCGAAACCCATCACAGGTTCAAACAGTACCCCGGTCGGCAGCTCTGGCCCCGGCAAATACCTTACCCAGGACGAGCAGTCGGAGCAATTCGTCGCCGACGAGGACAAGTTCGTGCTCAAACAAGCAAAGAAGAAGGCCGACATCCGCGTCAGAGAACGGCGCGCAAAGCCCATCGACTACCTCGCCTTCAACCTCCGCTTCATCGACACCGACCGCGATGTCTTTGACGACCACGATGACGACGTCGACATCCCCGTGCCCTCTCCCGAGAGAGTCCTCCAGAACCTGAACGAGTCCCAGCTGAAGGAGTTGGAGGAGGATATCAAGTCATACAATACCCTCGAGACAAACCGCCGCAACAAGGAGTACTGGTTAGCCCTGTCCATTCTGTGTGACGAAAAGCGAAACAAACTCAAACCACAAGGAGCAGAAGGACGTGCCGTCAACACAGTGGCTGCGGATGTTGACAGGATTCTGGCACCCAAGACGTTGGAGCAGTTGGAGGCGTTGGAGAAGCAGATCAGGGCGAAGCTACAGTCCAACGAGCCCATCGATACCGACTATTGGGAATCCTTACTCAAGAGTCTGCTGGTATACAAGGCAAAGGCAAAGCTGAAGCAGGTGTGCTTGGAGATCAAGGCCGCCCGCGTCGAGGTCCTCAAGGCTAAGGACCCCGAGAGGGCGAAAGCCTTGGAACAAGCCGACGCCCTCCCTGATGCCGCCCTCACCTTGACCTCGGGCCCTTCCAAAGCCTTGAGCCGCCCTACCGCCTCGACATCAACACCACTCGCTGCATCCTCCAGCAATAGCAGCAGCAGCACCGCCCCGCCCCCAGGCACCGCTCGCTTCGCCTCCACCGGCAATGAAGACTTCTCCCAAGCCACCAAGGCCCTCTACGACCGGGAAGTCGCCCGCGGCTTCCTCGAAGGCGAAGAGATCTTCACGGCCGAAGAATCCCTGACCTCCAACCCCAAGCCCGTGTGGGCCGACAAGTACCGTCCCCGCAAGCCGCGCTACTTTAACCGCGTTCTGATGGGCTACGAATGGAACAAGTACAACCAAACGCACTACGACCACGACAACCCGCCGCCCAAGGTCGTGCAGGGGTACAAGTTCAACATCTTCTATCCCGACCTGATTGACAAGACCAAGGCGCCCACATTCAAGATCATCAGGGAGGGCGGGAGACGCAGAGGAGAGAGCTTTGCGCCCGCGGGCAAGGAGGATACCTGCTTGATTAGGTTCGTGGCCGGACCGCCGTATGAGGATATTGCGTTTAGGATTGTGGACAGGGAGTGGGATTATAGCGCCAAGAAGGAGAGGGGGTTCAAGAGTAGTTTCGACAAGGTGAGTCATCCTAGGTTGTGGGTTGTGGTAGGCGACATTGCTGTTTGGCCGGTGGGCTGTTGGTGACAGCGTTGGTCCCGATGGCTACGTTGGCCTATTACCACGGCCCCTATAACAGGCCAACGCTATACTTTTCCACGCCATCCAGCATCCGCCGGTTACCCGTGCGTTTCTGGCCTGACCGTTCTTGTGCTAACCCATTACTTGTGTGTAGGGCATCCTTCAACTACACTTTCAGTTCAAAAAGGTTGGTGATCTGGTCTCCCTTTTGGTTGTACCGGCCAAGGCTAACGGTGTCTGGGCAGATTTACTACAGAAAGTAAAAGAAGCCCAGTGCCATATGACCACCGCCTTCTGGAATGCTGGTCCGGCCTACGGCGAAGCCTTCGGCTGGTCTTTTGGTCTAGGTTCTTCGGTGTCGTGTTCTATAGGTCGATATGGGGCCGCGGAAGCTGCTGCGACCCGTCTGGGCTCGATCCCTGGTCCCGGTCTTTGGATGAACTGGGCGCATTGTCTGATTATGAAAGAACACACGAGAGAGCTTCCAAGTGCGGTGTGTTGTGGAAGGGCTGCTACACCGCCAACCGGGGACGACGGGAACGAACACGGGGCACAGATGAGACGATTTCAAGGCTTCGTCTAGAAGGGTGGGAATGATGCCGTTCCCCGGGTAGACCGGGGCATCGGGGCTGGATGCCGGCAGCATTCTGGTCTTCTGGGTGGATGTCATTGTCTTGTCTCGCGACAGTCGAGCGGCACGTCAGCGGGCACTCCTGAAGTGGAGGGATCATGGACGGAGACGGGACTGGACCGGCTCCTCTCCGTATGCGACAACCCGAACTTTTGGAGCTCACTAGATCCCTGGTGCGATGGTGTGCGACTGGATGATTCATGTTTCTTCGGACTTTCGGATTTTGCGAGAAGAAGACGAGATATCCGTCTCCCGTCTGTCTGTCTCTCTGCCTAGGTGTCTGGGCACCGGCAAGACAGGACCAGGTGTCAGCCCAACCCTGGAGACGGAGAAGTACAGAGCAGTCCGGATATCATGTCAATCGATCAGCCGTCCATCTTGCGGTCAGCCTGCCAGTCTGTCAGTTTTGTCAGATGGTGAAGGGTGGGAGGAGTGTTTCGTTGTCTGGACGCCTGGAGATGACGCAGGGCACACTGCACTATCAAGACACGTTCCACAGGATAGCTACAGTCTGAGGCTTTCTTGAGGCTGGCAGAAATAACCGGGGTGGCTTTTCTCTCGATCTTCCTCCGTGGCATGGAGATAAGGGGTGGCCTGGTCTGCGAGGCGTCGGTCACCGTCAGAGACGTGGAAGCTGGCTGCCTCGGGGTCGGCCGGTAAATGAAGCCAAGCCCGATTTTCGATTCACGCTCATCATTTCTTCGACACATCCTTCTAGAATGAAACAAAGTCTATGTTCTGCATGTCACAAGAAATTACTATTACGAGGTCATGGCACCGTGCAAGCCGTGCAAGCCCGAAGCCGTGTGGAGAGAGAGACCGGGCTGAGTGCGCACGTCAATTAGTAGGCAGTCGACCTGTTGTTCAGTTATTCTTGCGCCTCTGCCCTTGGGAAATATTGACCTCTTGCCTCTTTGAATGGCCATCTCTTGTGTTGAAAACTCCGCCGTTTCTTCCATGGCCCGTCTGCCCACTACCATAAAGGCCCCATGCCAGCACAGAGTGACAATGGTGGGAATCACTGATTGGGCCGTTTTTAAAAAAGACCACCTCTTAGCACCACCACAAGTGGCTGCACCTTTCCGTTAGGATCTGGCTACGGCCAGCCAATTCTGTCCGTCCTTGTGGCATCTTCCCTCTTGTGTCTGGTCTGCAATGGACCTAGGACTCGCTGACGACACCGGCGTGCCGCTGGCTGACTGGCTGGAAGCTTCCCATTGCCGCAGAGAGAGCCTCACTCTGATACGCCCAAGTCTACTCCCACTGCTGTCGCTGTCCTAGCTCATGCTGCCGTCATTGACCGCTTCCACGGCTCCCAGAGTTCCAGACAATAGCTCTTCTTCGCTTCTGCCGGTAACCCTGAGCGCTGGCCAGCCAAGGCCCAGTTAGAGGGAGTCACAATGCCCGACTATGAGATTGTTAGCGCTGAACTTGTTTTGTCCTTTCAAGGTCTGGCCATTTTTACTTCCCCAAACCGAAACTGTTGATTGTGTGGATTGTGTCGTCAATTGTCTTTCGCTTGAGGATTGTTTACCTACCTTAACAACAACTTGAACAACGACGACATGGACTGGACGACATGAACAGACCAAATCTTCGGACCCCCCCTTTCCTACTTCCCCTACTGCCCCTTCGAACAAGCCACACTTCAAACTGCATTACGGGCAAGCATGCTTCTTAGTCGCTGACCGCCAAGTTTTCCTCCACTGCAGTTCTGGCGCCGCCTTTCTTCAACGTCAAGTTACGGTGGGCTTGACACTGTAGAGCCAGGTATCAGGTCTTGGCTTGAAAGCACCAGGCATACCGAGCAGGGGTCCAAAACCCCGGTCGTCAATTCTGTCACTTTTCTTTTTCTTCCATCGTGCCGTCTTCCCTGTCTTTGTTGCCGGCTCTGCCATGTAGGCAGTATGTGAGAATTATTGCACACACTGGTACACTCGCAGAAGATGAAAAGCATGGGCATGGGTGCTGCTGTGGCCTGCTGTCTGGGGTTGTGACGAGCACCGAACCCTTCTCATTTCCTTCTCACAGGTACCTCACCTAAGAGACCGAGGGAGGGGTGTCCATAACACAGTCGATCCGGCGCCGATTGGTCAACGTACCTGAGTACCTTACCTTCTTTACTTTCACCTTCGTCCCCAGAAGCAAGCCACGCAGAGCTACTGCCTATAGCGTGTTGATCTTCAACTCTACGGTTTCGTTTGTTCTACCTCTTCCACCGTAGAAAACATGCCGTGTAGAGTGCGCATGGCCACACCATGTACACACACAGCAATGAACTGGAAGCCAGGCCATGGCACAACGGCCGCACCCTCATACAAGCCAGGAATGGAAGGTATCGCAAACCCACCCGGTACTCTCTCCTTGCGCCCGCTCCCGCCGGATGTGGAGGTAGATGTCTGGTCCACCAAACAAAAGTGAACAAACTGTGTTGGCAGAACCCTCACTCACTGAAGGCAAGGCAGGGCAGTGTCCTCCCTTGGGATGTACACCACCGCACTCAGTACACACTTTGCCCCCCCCCCCCCCCCCCCCCTGTTCTGCTTGGCTTGAGATACCCACCCCTTACATAGTACTGCTACTGACATGGATGGAGCTTCAACAACATAGCCAGATGTTGCTATACGTCCAGTATCTGCATAGCTCCATGTCCTTGTATCGATCTTCTTTCCCCTGGTCCCTGGTCCTGGCAGATACAGACATACACCTACATACTTCAACTGCCAGTCAACAGCCGTTTTGCCTGATAACTGAGACATCTGGACCTCACACCTTCAATATCAAATCTGTTTCTCCCCACACTTGAAGAAAAGCATACATACCTAGGCCAACAACCTTCGTTGTCTTGGATCACCAACACTGATCAAAGCCATTCTTCTCTTCTTTCTTCCCTGGCTCACTTAGCAACGACACTTCAGTAATGGACACGGAATCAACTACCGAAAACGAACACCCAACAACATCAGACACAATGGACTTCTCAAACTCATACATGTTATCACTACAAGCCACAAGAAGCCAGACCAGTAGCCCGGTTGCATTTGTGGGAGGCATGACGGAAAGAAAGACCCAGGTTGGCACATCACTATGGAACCCTTCGGTCCGGGCGCAAACCGGGAGTGACGAGTTCGAGCACTATGCCTTCCACAGCACCGCAGGCTCCTCAACAGCACCTACAAATGGGTACGGAGGACTTACACAACAGTGTCTGTCTAGCCAGTCATCGCCCCGCAGCTGGAGTTCACCAGACCATCACTTTCGTCCGGTCTCTGCCTCAGGTTCTGGCTCTTCTTGGGGTTCCTACCCGGCGGAGCAGTCATACGCCGGGGTCGCTGGCAGGCAGACGAACACCCCCCCACCACAATTTCCATCCAAGACCTTGTCGAGAGAGAACCACAACGCCTCGACAACAACTTCATATCCTCCCACCGGTTCCTTCTTTCCCAGTCACCACTATCCCACCCATAACAGCATCTCCTCACTTTCTCAAGAATCGGAATACCCCCCTTCTCCCTGCAGTTCCATTCCCAATAACTTCAAGCTCGACTGCGACTCAGACACCTCCATGTTGAGCACCGCCCCCGCCTCCGAGGCCGGCGATAACTTTCTTGTCAGCAACCCATATCCTGCGTACAATCTCCTTGGTGACAGCAACATGAATGGCATAAGCACCTGCAGTAGCGTCTCCAGTCCAGTTTCTCCCTCGGCTAGCCTTGATAGCGCCCCGACTACTGCCTCTATTCTCCCCGGCAACAACAAAGCCGAGCTGCCCTATGCGCAGCTTATCTACAAAGCGTTCATGAGCACCCCCAACAAGGCCATGACACTGCAGGATATCTACCAATGGTTCCGCGAGAACACCGAAAAGGGCAAGAGTGATACAAAAGGGTGGCAGAACAGTATCCGTCACAATTTGTCCATGAACCATGTGGGTGTTCCTTCCCTCTAATCCCACAGTCACTATTACATCAGCTAACACTCATTAGGCGTTCACCAAACGAGAGCGCAAGCCCGAAGGTAGCACCAACACCAACATGAACGATGAAGACAATAATGCCTCCACAGATTCCAACAATAGTGATAACAAGAAGTCCACGGAATGGTATCTCGAGCCTTGGGCAATCAAAGGCGGCGTCCAGTCTACCACACGCTACCGTAAGGGCAACCACGCTTCGCGACGGGCTGCGGCAGCCTCGGCCTGCAACGCCTCCCGCCGCCACATGAAGGACGGCAAGTACGATTTGTACAGCACCGGCATGTCCACTCTATATCGCTCTTCCCCCTCCCTTGCCAACCGTAACAAGATCTCCAAGTCGAACAACCGCGCTACACTTCGTAGCAACGGAACGGCTCCTACGGAATTGCAAATGCACTACTATACCTCCAGCCATCACATCCCTCAACAACATCCCTTCGGAGTCAGCATGGTTACCTCTGCGCCTGAGCAACACTACAACCCGTATATGTCTCCCGTCTCTGCAAGGCCGGCGGTGACGCATAGTTTGCCAGAAATAATGTCCATGTCTGCTACCTCTGCCCCTTCCTGCGCCGCTGACTTTTACGAGTCCTACACCGACCCTGCCATCCTTGCCTCTTCGCTCGAGCAACAGCAACAGCAACAGCAACAGCAACAGCAACAGCAACAACAAGGCCAAGCTCAAAGGGAGGCGTCGGAGCCGATTTCGGTGATGAACGAGCCCATCACTCCCGAGGCCAGTTTCGGCAGCCCTTCGCTCATGGCGACGAACCCCACGAGCAGTAGCGCGAGTTACTATCCCAGCCCTGAGGATCACGCCATGAGCTTTACCAGTGTCCATCACCACGCCGGGTATCATCAGCCTCAAGTCTACCAGGGCGAGTCCCGGTATGGCCATCACAACGGCTGGGAACATGCCCAGGGCGTGGCGGTTCCAGCTACGGGAATGATGTATGGGCATTATGCATAGATGCTAGCACTTGAGCACAAAACAACGAAGAGATAGGCGGCGGCTTGATGCTACGACTGCAGGAAGCCAAATTGTACCAATACCAATATTACGATCATGAGGTCACGACATAGCAAACACGAAAGGCGATACCCAAAAAAACTTGCTTTTGATTCACTAGATTTGGTGGGGGGTTGTTTCCTATTTTCTTTTCTCCATCCGTATCTTCCTCTCTTTTTTCTTCTTCGCATTTCGCAGCTGCTCGCAAAACCAGTCTGGCAAGCAGCGTCAAGAGATGGGCACTGGGCCCAGGTAGTGGTTCCCTTGTCACTGCTGCAATGATCTACACTACAGCCAAAGCTTGGATGGGGAAGGGACTACCAGACAAGGACAGGGGCAGGACAAACATCAATTATCCTCCACATGTCTCCCTTGTTGGCCTCTGCAGCTCTGCTCCCTCCCAGGCTTGGCTTTTTCTCCCTTCCTTTGCCTGGTGAGTGGGCAGCACTCAACATCAAACATCAGCTCTTGCCACCTCCACATTCTATCTTCACTTCACTGTTCCGGCTGTCATTTCTTCGCGCACATATCCAGAGGGCCAGACCCGTAGGTGGCGATATGATGACGGGACCTGGACGAAGCTGGACATGGATGGATGGATATGTGAGCTTCTCAACTGTTCTCGCTACATTGTTTTTCTCTTTGTTCTTTCCACTTTACTTACCTAACGTTTCACAGCCTGCGTTGCCTTTAAGCTTCAAGGATTGTTTATGTCCCCCGCTTTTCACATTCCGCTATGAGATACAGCGAGGGAGGGGATGGGGTCTAGGTGCTTTGAGGGTGGCGATGTGGGGTTTTCATGACGGACATTTTGACTTCTTGCTCCCGCGTTTGTCTTTTTTTCATCTTGAATTTGCATTTAGCAAGCACAGAAGAGTGGAATAGCGATGCAATTTTTTTCAACAGGTCTGCTGAACACTCCTATTGAGGACTGGCTTTGGTAAATTACCTCTACAGGAAAGGAATTCGGTCCGGGCGATACAGGCACGGGAAATGGGACAGGCTGGAAAAAACTGGCCCGGAACTGGGAACTGGGAATCAGTAGAGGATGGAACAGGGACTTGCATCAGCATGTCAAGACTACTAGGTTTTCGACTCTTCTCAATGGAATATCATGAGCTTGAAACTGATCGCATTGCATCACTGGTGAATGGTGCGCATAGCTGACGCGAATCCATCTCAATGCTAAGGTACTGTTGGTGGCTGGCTGGCTTCAATAACAAGGCTCGTTGGTTGGGATGGACGGTCGGTCGGTTGGTACCTCTACAGTAGCTGCCGGGTGGTTGGCGCAAGAAGAGAGCCGGTGATATGTACTCTGGTGATCTAACTCGCCAACCAGATTCACGATAGCACATATAGTGAAGCTATTCCCAACTTACAAGGTGTAGTTGCCGTGTCCTGCCGTGCCTGTGTCCAGCAATGCACATCATCCGACAAAGCTGTCGTTAGCCCGCCGCCATCAATACTATCGTATCGCTGTGCCGTGTACGTTGACCAACGGAAAGCTTCCTCGCCTTCCCGCCAGCCATGGTCAACAATGTCCACTGCAATCTATTAGCAGGAGAGCCTTTTCTTTCCCATTTAGTCTTCTCTTACACCTTCCTCAGTGCACTGAGTGTTACCTTCCCATTCCCTCCACTGTAGGGTACCTCGCTCTCCAGGTAGGTATGCTTCCAACGGCCCCTAGCATCAGCGACACCAACCAATCAAATTACATGTCTTTTACCTCCTCTCATGGTTCCTTCCCCCACCCCTCCCCACTGTTCACCAACGGGCGACATCCCATCTTGATCACCACAACCGCCAACCGACCAATGACAGGCGGGCATAATAGCACATCTGGCCCCCAACCCAGCCCGGACTACCACTAGTGCAATCAGTTAACAGAGAGCTCGGCACCGGATGACCCCCCTGTATTCCCGTCAACTCTTGCATCCGAATCGGCACGGTGGGACAAAGACTGAGTGGCCCTGAGTGCTGTACACTACTGCGAGAAAGGCAAATGTGCCAAGACAGGAAGCCGGCCGAGAAGGAGGAAGAGTCGGGAAAGTGGTCCGTCAAAAGGGACCCTGACAGGTCTAGAAGCGGTAGTGATGGGACGTTTTTGGCTGTCGTTTTTCTGCGTTTTCTCTTTTCTTTTCTTTTTCCCCCTCTATTTGGTTCCTTTCTACGGCCTCCAACGTAACATACGGTTACTGGTTAAATCTGGGGAAGCGACGGTCTTCCATCGCGGATGATAATGCTCGAGGTTGACTGACGTTCTGACTGTGGGTACCCCCGAGGGTGAATGATAGAGTCATCATCTCCCAGATGCCGTCTTGCCTCTACTCGAGCCCGTGTCAGTGATAGTCAAGCCTTTAGACTAATCTCCAGTTCTTTCCCCAGGCCGGGTTGGGTCTATCACGTCATTGCTTATCGCCATTCCTTCCAGTGGCCAGCTATCACCTATGGTGGTATTTAGACCAGCTTAGATCTTACCTCTACCTTTTTCATCTCCCTGATTCCCATCATAGTCCATCAACCCGAATCCCCGGTTATTGTCTCCGATTAAGTATCCGCGTCCGATTTCCGTACATCTGTCTCCCATTTCTTTCCCACTCAACACAATCTCAGATAACAAGTGACAGATTCAGAAAAGCTCAGACTGCATCCAAACGAGGAAAAGTGCATGTCTCAAAAACAGGCCATCTACCCCCAAAACATACGATTTCTTCAAAGTTTTGCGGCCCCTCAGGACTAAAGGTGCTGTGAGTCCCCGAAAAGAGCAATTTGTATGTGACTAGTGCGCTGTGGCGCTCAAGAAGACGCCTCAAGCGCTCTGGCTGATGTGCGACTGATCTCGAAGACTTCCCTTTTCATCCAGTGGCTGGCTGTTCTCGATTTGAGATACATGTGGCGTGGGGGAAGAAAAGTGCGTTGATGTAGGATTCGGAGCCAACATTTTTTTTTCCTTGGCAATAGAGGCGGTTGATGGGAAGTGATATCTCAAAGTGCAGAATCAGTCGCATGGAAAGTGATCTAAGTTGATGGAAGTTGCTGGAGATGATTGTGATGACGATGGGCGCAGCATTTGCACGGGTTCACTACCCCAACATACATGTACAGACCCCGTGGACTGCCCCTACCTTAACTCTACCCACCTCTACTGCCACATGACACCACGCCGCAATCGCTTTCACTGCTTACCCTGCGTTGGTGAAGAGACAGCAAGACAGAGAGGTACGTCACTGAGACATTTCACCGTTGCACAATGTTCCACACATATCTTGATGTGCGAGACGTACGCTCCGGTCAGGGGTTCACTCCCACGTTCTTTTAAACCGTGCATTGCCCAGAAAGGAAAGAGAGACGAAAGAAGAAAGTGAAGAACCAAAACGGCCGGGCCGAGAAGGGAAAAGGATTTCTTCCTGTCCCAGTTCAACTGTCGAAACTAGGTTTGCTTCATTTCGTCAATATCCTCTTCTTCACTTGTTCAAGGGACCCTCGCTGAGCAACAGTGGGGCTTCGAAAAGGATGTAAATATCATCGTCATAGTTGCTTGCGGTGTGGTTCCTCACCAATGGTACACGCATCCGCACCTACTGTTCACATCCGTCAATACACCGCTCTCCAGGACTGCTTCATGAATGCGCAGAACTTTGATGCACAACTCACCGTCTTTGTGAATATTTTCACAAATTTCTGCGTTCACTAGAGGTACCCAGGTAGGTACTTCTTTCTCTGTCTCTCCAAGGCCGACAGTACCAGACTGCTACGCAAACCTCTGGCGACCGCAAGTTTTCAATGTCTACCAATGATCGTAACATTCGTGATATCTTCAGCAAATGGCTCCCACAGCCTCAGTGCCAGCCTCACCGTTGTTCCGGAGGTGCGTCTACCAAGCGCGTCTGGTTACTATTTTTGGTGCGCGTTTATGTAGAAGGTAGCGTAGTTCGTGATGCCGCGCATCTCCCATCCTCCCCGTCACCACCAACTTCAGCCCCGTTCAAAGATTCGAAGAAATCGAACACATTGAGACAATCCCGCATCACTAGCCTCCCCTTTTTGGCCCTTCTCAGTGGTCATCCGTCTGACAGCCATTTCGATGCCCAATAGCAATCATCATTCTCAAAAGAGAAGCGCAACATCTATTCGCTATCTTCTGAAGCCCTCAAGCTTTTACAAGCCCTTCTCAAGCCCTTTTTACACAGGGGCCGTGAAAAAGGCCAGCCAGGCCACGAGAACCATGGCCCGGCACAGATTAGCAACGGCGTGGACGTGTGTGTGGTTACACCACGGTTGTACACCCACCAGACGGGGCATTTCAGCCACATATCCGGACGTACCTGATGAGGTCCAACAACAATTGAATCTCAAATCACCAGGGGCCTTTTGCGGCAATCTATCGCTTGCGGTTACTATGGAGGGGATGTCAGTCATGCATTTGCATTCCACCAAGATCAATGCCTGAGGTGGTTTCAATCCATTTCCTGGAGACTCGTCACACCTCCACACCACCCACATCTTCTGTTTCTGTCAGTCAGGTAATCCGTGTCAGCTAGAGGTACCTAGTCAATGTCGTACAAATGTCCAATGCCGAAAAGTCATCTTCATGTTGTTGTTGCCCTTGCAGGTGGGACTGGAGGCATGTCGTGGCAGGCAGAGTTGCTCACCACACTTGACTCCAGCCAGTCTAGAACCTGGCTACAACGGAACTTTACCTGCCCCTGCCTGTACGCAAACCTCCAGACAAAGGCACGAAGCATGCACATGTAGCGATGAACGCCTCAGCACACAGATAAGCGATGCCCACCAATCTCGATTGAGATCGCGCCAATGAGCACCAATCTATTTTCAGTTGCAGCCCTTCCAGAAAATCGGACGATTTTGCCATTCTCGGGGTGGGGTTGGTTCATGTTGCGGGTTTTGCAGTGGACGTGTAAGGCTACCTACACTGAATGAGGGGGCTGATGGGTATCGTGGGAAGGTGAGGTCTACCTACTAGTGATTGAGGACTCAAGATCTGGACATGGAGGCGATGACCTCGAGGAATTGGCGGTGCTTCGGTAGTCTACCACTTACCGACGGGGTCCAAACCTTGTGAGTACCTAATGGTCGTTGAACTAGTAAGGATTCAAGCTTTTTCTCTGGTCTTGCGAAAAGCTGCATCTCCAGGTGCTGGCGGATGTATAGATTTGCGATTAAAGCGAGGTTGATGGAAGGAGGAACACGGTTCGCGCCGTGTCGCGGAACTCCTTGTGCTGGCAGTCTGGGCAAACCCGAAGAAGGAGTGTTGATGAGAGTGGCAGCTTGGCAGCATACCTATACTACCTACCTCTAGAGGCTCCCTACTTCTCCTAGCATAGCTTGGGCACGGAGCGTAATGTAGGTAGGCAAGTCCGAAGGCTTTGGGGGTGACTTACCCTGGAGAGATTGACCTCTAGCCCTAGGACTGGACGTGACCTCAAGACGGGCAGTGGTGACCTCCATTCTCAATTGAAGCAAAACCACACCGCATACATGCTCCGCCTAATGTAGCCGTGCAATAAGCGCGCAAGCGCTGTACCAGGGAAATATCCGGTGCTCACTTCTTGATGAAACGTCCTGTGGGTGACAGTGAGGATCTGTACCAGCTTTTGCTCTGTTTTGGGTGATGATTGACACTAGGGGCGTTCATAAAGTAGCCTCGAGATAGCGAACAGCTGGGGTTAGCGGGTTGCACTGATGCCGGCTGATCCTCTCAAGTTCTCACCTCCTTTTCAGACATACCAGACCGTGCCGAGAACGCAACGTCTTGGTACCGGGCCGTATTGGATCTGCTTTCTTTCCCCGTACCAACCGCACGTCAGCAACGTCACGTTATTCAGGTACCGTTCATGTTCTTGACATTTTCTTCTTCTCATGAAGGTAACAAATTCCTTCGTTCAAGTGACTTATGGTTTTCTTCCCTCAACATGTCACTATTTTCCTTCTTCCTCTTCTTTTCCTTCCATCTTCAACGGCCCGAGACAGAAAGGAATAGAGGAACCCGGAAAGGCGCCCCTTGCGCGCGTCCACCCATCTTCCACATTTCCACTACATGTGTGACCATCACACGTCTAAATCTCGATTGTGGCTCGCAGCCTGCGAACGAATTCGAACATCACTGGGCGCCACGATTTTTACTGGTGAAAAAAAGAAAAGCAAATGTGAGAGCTGAGCGAGTGTGCTACTGTATACATACCTCCTCTCTGCCAAGTCCTGCCACTAATCCCTGTCAAGAAAAGGGGGTCGGGAAATCCAAGAGGGGGGTGCAGAACTCGGAACACCAGGAAAAGCGCGAGATTCGTCGTTATCACCGTGGCTTGACCACCAACACTCGCAAACCTGTACGTTGAACATGTCCCATCCTCACTCATCTATCGACTCAACACTGTGACGCAAGCGCCAAGTCGCAGCCTTGTCGATTACCTGGCGACAATACGCACCGTTCTGCTCGAAGGACGGGAATTGACGTTTATCCCTTTTCGTCTTCACCGCCAGCCACGCCCACAAGACATGCTTACACCACCGTTGAGGAATGGTGCGAAACCCCTCTTGTGGTTTCGTTACCGTATGTGGTTCCATGGAACAGGAAAGATTATCTTCGTTAGCCCGGTATATGTCATGGCACGCCGAGAATCCTTCGCTATTTCCGTCTCAGCCGAAGTGCCAGCCAGCAGTTCTGAAGAGTCGATAATTGACATGGAGATTACGGATCTCGATGCATTTCCCATCTTTCGGCCAATTTTCAGTCTGGTTGCAGATGCTTCCTTGCTTCCGTCTCTGGCACCAAAAGAACGGAATGGCCTGTTGGCCACCAAGATATTGAACCACTGAACGTTGAAGCCCCCGTAATTTGAAGGCGATGGGACGTCATTCGGTGAAAAACAATAATCCTTTGTTCTGGAAGTTTTCCAAAGGTCCTTCCATCTCTTTTCTTTTGCCGATCTGCCGACCTCTGACTTCAGTTCTCCCCACGGAGATCCCGCCTTTGAAAAGGCGATATTTTTCTCGTCACCGTACATCAGTCAAGTTTCAGGTTCTATTCTCGAACTTTCGTATGGGTCAGTGTGATACATGTCATCGTCCTGCATCCTCTGACTTCATGCCATCTCAAGAGCCACGTACGTTGATTGGCATCGAGATGAAAGGCCTCCCGCCGTCAGTATCAGGCTCTCCAGATCTACCATCATGCCATGTACCTATAGACCATCACCAGCTGTACACTAGAGCTTCAACAAGAAATGCCGTAGTAACAATGACGATGGCAACAATACCTAGGTATTTCGGAAAATCTGGACCGCACTTCCAGCCACTGGCAAACATGTCTCGACACGAAGCATGGCAACCCTACCGCCGATCTCATGTGATCACCAAAACCGTTGACGAGAGGTTCGCATTTTTTTTTGCGTTTTGCCGTGTTCCAGCACCCGTTTCAGGTTCTACGTAACATGGAATGTCATTGCAGAGCCTGGCGTGGCAAGTTCTGCCCGCGTCTCGTTGGCCACGGCAATGTCGTCCAACAAGCGCACTTTGCCGCCAACCTATCCGCCTTCACGCCGCTTGCGCCGTAGAACTACATGCCTTACGCACGCCTGGTACCCTATTTCCTATATCCGTCTCCTTGCAGTTCGTATTGTAATGGGGAGATGCAAGCCACTGAAGCCTCTGACCCCTGATTCCTTGCTTGGTATTAACCACTCTAACATGAGTGTACCTCATATGGGGTCAGAAATGGGGCTTGCTAGCTGCTGACTTCTCTAAGGAATAGGGAGTATATGACAGTGTATGGAATGGCTGAGAGATACTCGAACGGACAAAACTGTCAGGAACAAGACAGAAATAGGACCTGGTCGATAACAACGTCCCCAAGTTTGAAGAAATGGCGTGGAGTGGTGTCTGGTGTGTACGACGCGGTGCTGACATGTTTTCCTTTCGTTCACAGGTACGGGCCACCATTGTGTACTGTCTCTGCGTTGATCTCAACGTAGAGGCATCCTTGTCCCTGTCATTAACGCAGGATGGCGAGCAACACTGATCACGAAAAACGCCATAACTCCATTGAGGTTGTGTCATGCAAGCCCACTAAGCTCCGAGGTCCCAATCGGTGAATCCGTGAAACACAGATTTTCCATCTGCGTCAAGAAGAGGAAAACATTCGATCCGGCACTCTTCCGACAGTTTGGAACCGAGCTTTGTTCAGTTCGCAGGTGGATGAATGAGCACCTTGATGGCGGCTTGTTTGACGCGCCATCGTGCTAGCTACCTACGTACCTCTACATTCAGTCCTCTGGATATGCTGTTATTGGACTGGGTCGTTGTGCGCAAAGAAGCGACTGAGGTGTAGGGCAGATGCGAGAGCTGGAGTGCACTCTTCCGAGTTGTTGTGAAGTGGTGTGCGATCAACGTTCAAACGTCAACCAGACCTCGTGTTCCCGAGGAGTGCAATACAACTGCATCACCAGCAAAGCATGAGACACGATATGTGAAGCATTCGTGGTGCATAGCGCGATGACCAAGAATAGAAACCTGACGTGCATTCTCTCCCTGGTGGACCTGCATTTGGAGTGTTCCATGCAGCTGAATGTACCTGACTGCCCGGCCAAGCAGTGTTCGGCTATTTCGAAACGGCCAAGACTACAGCCATGTGTTTTCAAGAGGGCTAGGATGTTATGACGACGACGAGGGACGAAAATAGTGATGATCGAGCTAGTACAAGCCAAGAGGGAGCGTCTCGCATGAGAAGCACTTTTCTTAGACGTCGTATAGGCAGGCGACGACGAGACAGGGTCAATACTTGACGCCATCAAGAACCCTAAAGAACATTCCACAATGATGCAGAGCACCTGGCGAGAGACCACCGTATCTTCCAAGCCATGTGCGGTGCCTGTGGTTGCATGTTGAGAGGATCACATGGCGTCTTCGCCTTCTCCCTTGATGTGAACACCGAACACAAAGTACCACTCAGCCTTGCAGGCCAAGTTTCGAGGCCTGCCTCCCATTGGTTGGCAGGAGAGGAAAATGGGACAAAGGGGAGCTCGCGTGGCAGAAATGAGCCAATCGCCATGTGTATCTGACGCTGATTCACGCATGCAGATTGGTTTCCAAACTGTCGGGTCGGCCCTTGGGCATTGTGGAGAGTGGAGGGAGAGTGGGTAGATCAGGAAACGAAAGAGAGCAAGGACAAGCGAGAGGGGTGGGGATTTGGAAGGACAAGTCTGGAATGGACAAGTCGTAGCGAGGTGCTATGTTGGTAGTGAGGTTGGACTGAAAGTAGGTAAGCAGTGGTGCCGACACTGCCAAGGCTTAGCAATACTTGCGCCTACTTAACGGCCGTCGATAAGGCGGCCACTAGTGACTATGGTCCTTGACCAGGCGACAGTGCCTGTTTGTTGCGCTTTAGTTTTCTGTTTCCGTTTCTCCCGAGTCACTTGTGCGTGGGGTTTGGACTGTGGCGTGTGCCCTCCCCCAGTCTTCAGCTTTTCTATCTTGTGTCTTCATATTCTTGGCAAGCCATTTCTAGTATATAGAACATTGGGCTCGCTGGTTGATCTGGAATGACTGGTCTTACGTCTTGAGAGGCTCCAGAGGCGTGGGCTTGCCGTCGATAGATTTGTCGTCAATAGTGGAAATCGTGCCATCATACCATGCCCCACAGTGATCTGGATCTTGAAAGATCCAATTGAGACATGCCGAACGCTAGCGCTCCTTGGGCAATGATAAGGACAGGGACGGAAAGGTGTACATAGTACGTAGTGTAGCGCAAGGCCCGGCAGGGATAGCACAGTCCAGCTGTCAGACTTGCTCTTATTGCCTGTCAGACCTGGGGACAAGTCAAGGGATCCCGGTGACGTATGTTTGAAGCAAGAACCGAACTGTGAAAGAGACGGTGGAAATTTGTTGAGGCGTGGGATATCAGTCTCGACTGGACTTCAAGGCCTGCGACACAACCGGAAATAGGTAGAGGTACCCAAAGCCCGATTGATGGTGGAAGAAATTAGGTAGTAGAAAATGAACTGCCCCCAAACGCAGGGCCAGAAACAGAACCGGAAATGGCCAATACATCGAACTTATTGAGTTACGATCCGACTACACCTCCATAAGATCGTGTATCGCCCATCATCCGCCTAAGAAACTGATCGGAGGTTGTGCCGGGTCCGGTTGTCCGACTGTCATTGGCATGTTCGTCGAGTCCTTATCGAGACTGGCAATTTTCGAAAAGGAAACCGGTGACTGCACCTTCATCCGTACCTTACTTAGCGTCAAGTCTTGCCCTGCTGTCCACCAAACCAAGTGTATCCCGGGACTGGGAACCGTGGTGCCAATGGCAGTGGGCCATGCTCTCTCCAGTCCCTGGGCAGCGCTGAACTGCCAACGAGACCAGTGACAGCCACCCCTTGAGAGCACAAGATGCGGGGGAGGCTGAGCTAAAGCCATCCTCGCCAGTGACTTCACGGCAGAGCTCTTCCGTCCAACACACGAATTTTGGCCCTACACTGTCTGTGATAGCTGTAAGTTATCGCAGTGATGCCGCGAAGGGAGAAGATACCTTGGAGGCATTCAAGAAAGTATACATGTTTTTCTTTTCTTTTCTTGTGCAGGTGACTCGCTATTCCGTCCGAAATTGGTCTGTTTAATGACGGCTTAACGTCAATGTAAACGTGGGGGAAGGCAAAAGGGCCACCCAACGGTGCAACGCAGTGACCGACTACCGCCAGCCAATCATATGTGGACATTTATTGATTCAGTTGACGACGTCGGTTTATTGCGCGGATAGTAATACACTGTCCTCCACGTCGAGACGTTGATACTGAAAGTAGGTATCTTGTGTATTTCTGGCTCTTACTCTTCCGATCCCATGTTTCGTTTAGTCTCGTTCCCTCCAGATAGGCAGTTGTGGCTTGGGGGCTGACCGGCTTAGCAGTGCATCTTGGGCGTTGGTGGTGGTTCGCGGCCAATACGGCCTCCGGATGGTGTAGCACTGCGTCTTCGCTAGCAGACGTGCTTTTTGCCCTGAAGCCAACACATATGTACCAAGAAGATCGGCTGATGGAGATCTCGGGTAGATCCCAAATCTCCAATCTGACGCGCTGAGACGCTGTCAGTTTGTTGGATTGTGTGTCCCTCACCCGATGACCTGCCCGATGGTCCAGTCTCCGAAGTCAAAACAAGTTCGTTCGCCTTCCGAAACACGAACCATTTCCACTGCTTTTGCCTGGCTGGGACGGCTACCCGTGGAGCAGCAGGAGAAGCAGCCTCGCAGGTGGTGAAACACGGCTTATGTCTCGCTGTCTCTGCCGTCCATCCTCTACCGTGAACCGGCGGCTTGGGCCGACAAGAGGAGCGTTCGTGAGGAGGGTAGCGAGTTGTCCCTGTTGCCCACACCTGTTGACATCAGTAGACGTTAGTTGGAGGAACAAGAGGGACAAGTAGTAAGTACTCGGTACTTAGCGGCCTTAAGGACACACCCCTCCCTTGTCTTGACCGTAGCTGTGCACTGGGTACCTTGGCAGATTGCCCATGATAGTCTGCGGAGTGGACGACGACGACATCCTTGGGTGATGTCGCGCTGAAGGAGACTTCGGTAAGGTAGGTACCTAGCGACTGTCGGTAGCGACGGCGCATGGATGCCATTAGTCTCGAGGGTACAACACACATGGGACCGACCTCGTCCACGAATTGGTGTCGGCTCCGCGTTGTCGAGTCGACTCGAGGTAGGTTGCCCGACAGTGGACGGCTGCCTCGTTACTAAGCGGAATTGCAGGGAGGGGCCCAAGTTAGGTCCCGGGCGCCCACTGTCGCATTTGACCCACTTACCTTTTAGTGTACCACTAGTGTCCGTAGGTGTTCACGTCGGTGTTCTAGCGCTCTTTGCCCTGTTATGCCCTGTAAGATTGTTAGTGCATTGCCCATCCCTTCCCGCCTTTCCACCTTGTCTGTCGTCAACTTCAACTTTGCTTCTTCCACAACATCGATAATGTGACACATTACCCTTGCCACGCGCTGGGTTGGGCATCTGTTCGGCCAGTAGCTGTCAGACAGACATGTTCAAAAAAGAACTGACTGATGCCGCTGCCCTGTCCGCTAACAGATTGAAGCCGGTGAAGGACCCGGTGCTTTGGAGATGGAAGGCCACTCACTCAGGTCGTCAACATCCCCGCCATACTCACTGCCAGCAAAACCGCGACGGCGACAGTCCTCGGCTGGTCCGCCGTCCCGCGCTCAGCAAGGTCAGCTGTCCATTCCCGAGGCCCCGGTTCCCGTCTTCACCAGACGACACGTAAGACATCACCAAGTCAATACCACCGGCACGCCATCGTTGAACCGTTGACCGTCTTGTCTCAGCCCAACTCCGAGTCCGGGAAAGATTGTCTGTCTCGGTCAGCGCGGCTCCTCCCATTCTGCAATCCCATTCTCCATGAACCTCTACACCCTAATTAAGTGCCTGCCCAAGTAATGGTTGAATAAACCCAAGAGTTCTCATGATTTGATCATCCACCCAAGACCAAGTGAACCCTCACTCAACTGCCTTTTGACATCGGTGGGATCCCTATGGCACCGCCTGATGATAAGTTCGTCTCGTTCTTTCCTCGTCTCTTTCATCCTTTTTCTTCTTATCTTTGGCTGTTGTCAAACATAAACAACCTATCGATATTTCACCATCCATCCGCTCCACAGGTTGCTAGGTATGTCATTTGGCCCGTTTGGCTCTAAAGATCCTCGCAATTCGGTTTACTGCAACCATCATCGGTACAACTGACATCACAGGATATGGTTTGGGTCGAAATATTTGAGATTCGGCGGGCAATCCTCATAACGCACAGCATGGCGCCAAAAGATCAGCCCATAGGAAGTTGCATCGCGTCTCCATTCATCTCTTTGAGCCCTCCCATACCTTACCGAAGGGATATCACGATCCTACACCCCCCTCAGAAAGAAAAAAAAAAAAAAAAGGTTATTCCCTGTTCTGTCCCATCCCTTACCCCCACCATCGCTAGAGGTACCTACCCTTCACCACACCGAAGCGCTGAAACTAATAGTCTTTAGCTGCCTTTTACCCATTTCGGGCCACTAGTCCTCCTGCCTGTCATGTCACCTGTCCAATGTACCTACCTATATGTAGCTGTAGGTGATAGCAAGTTAGGTACCATCCACCGGCGTTCTATTAGGCAAGGAGGTCAGCCCGCCAACAGTGTCCTTCCAACCAACGAAACCAGCCAATGAAAGGAAAGCAAAGGCGCAAAAAGGCAAAGAGGAACAAGGGAGCTCTCGCCTCCATGTAACTCTCGTCAAACGAGGGATGCGCTGAACGCTCATTGCTCCGACCAGGTTTTTGGAAACTGGTTCGTTGCCATCACATCCAATACATCTGGTGCTTATCGATCTAATCGGGGTCTCCCGCTTGATCGAAATTGTGGGCGTGTCTTATCAATTGATGAAACCAGGTATTTGGGCCCTACACTAGAAGTACACTACAGTAATGCTCTCCACTTCTGTTCCTTTCTCCCCGTCCTGTGAACAACAGCGAAGAGGGGGATAATTGAAATACGTTATTTCAACGTAAGCGTTGTTCATCCCATCTTCGCCAAGATAGGTAGGTACCTTATTAACACACACTGACCCGGGACTATCATGGCGTAAACTGGTTTTCTATGAGAATGTACCTCTAGCGTACAACTACCTCTAGAGAGCCGGCCTTCTACACACTGATACTCCTGAACACTCCAACCAATCCGGTTGCCAATGCCCGTTCGTTCTGCTAGGTCTTCTGTAGTGGGCCGGCCTGTACATCATCTGTCACTACCTAAGTATTTATCTCAGACTGAGGGGAAGTCGGGGAAGAGCATCACAGTCACTACACGTACCTGTCAAACGATTTAGCCAAGTTTATTCTTGATGAAGACACCTAGCCAGTGCTATCATAATGCTCAGATCCTAGTCAACTTGGGGTTTGCATTGCTACACGCATCTATTGTCTACCTACCTGAGGGAAGTACAGGTAAGGAACAAATCGTAAAGATGCTGTTTTAAGGCCGAAAAACCTGACCGCAAAACGAAAACCGAACAAAAGCCTACCTACCTACCTATGCATACGGGTGGAAGCCGGTGCACTAGCATCATGCATGCATCGTTCCCGTCCGTCAACCATCGTCAGTCCATGATCGCGCTTTTCTTGTCTGTAAAACCCTTCTTCTTCGCGTAAGCTGATTGAGTCTGACGGATGACTAAGTGATGGTGGCGTCAAGGTCCTTCGGTGATCCTTGATAACCTGAAAAAAATGAAAACGAAGCCGGTGAAGGCAGTGATATCCACTACCTAGGTACGCAATAGAAGAAGCAAAGCGTGAATTTTGAAATTCCGCATTTGGAACTCTATGGCAAGCGACATTTTGTTACCACTTTACCCTTGGACTACGAGCCTGCTTCTTCACCACCTCGACGCTACTAACATTGCGTACATGCCGTCTAGATTATGCATGGTAAGGGACAACTGGTGATCTGTCAAGCTCTGATTCGCATCCTCCTTCCCAGGCATCACGTCTCTACCCGAAATGGCGGACAAGAAGTGATAACCCACGTCGGCACCCTTCAACCCAGCAAAAAGACTCAATCATAACCAGCCAGCCTTGGGGAATTCGGGTTCTCTGCTGATCATGCCATATCTGATGCGCTATCGAAAGGCCGATCAAAATCAAGTTGTGATATCTCCTTTAGCGTAGACCGGTGGTATCACTGAAGCATGTCGTCGGTAATACCAGGTAAGTATGTCTCCGAAAGAGACGTCGGCGGGGTGAACTTCTGCGGAGTAAATCGTAGTATCTGTAGTCAGCTAGACATTGTTGTTGATGAGACTTGGAGCCTGAAGTAATTACCAAGGATGCCCAGCCAAGAACACGCCCATCGTCGATACCAAGTATTGCCGGATATGGCGCCTTACTTAGCTCAATACCTAGGCAGCGGAAACACAAGTCCAATAATGATGAAGGGGAGGTGTCAGTCTACCTCTAGCTGGTTATCAACATCCACGGTACAAGTCCTGCACGATAGTTTTCATTGCACTGCCCTTGGGGGAGACCAGGTGGTCTTAATGGACAAGCATAGGGCAATGTGTCTAACTTCCATCTTCGTCTTGGCACTTGCCACAACCAAGATTTTAAGCTTGATCTCATAGACTCACAGGGTCGAGGTCGCGCAAGGCTATCAGTCATGTCCCCAACCCACACACAGCCTTATCCGAAAACACGGCTGCTCGAAATACACCCTGAGTGACTGATGGCGGAGAAACCCTTCCACAAGTGCAACAGCAACGACTGGAGCATTGTGCATGTGATAGCTCGTGCATCATCCTGAAACACATCGATCTTCGTATTTGCCTCCATTATAGAACTGTGACAGACGGAGATATTATACCCGAGTGCTCATGGCTTGTCTGACCGACCCATCTGTTGCGGCTCAACAAGGCCAATACGGGCGGTCTGGATGACGGGGTTGCGCCCGTAGCTCGTGAATGATACCGCACACTACCGTGGCACCCTCCATACGCCCTTGAAGCCAGCGCAGCTGCTGATATGCCGCTCTCTGCTCATGGCCATGCCGTATCACCAGCTTCTTCTCCTTCCCGGCCGTTACAATGGAACGGTCTCTCATTTTCAGGGCATACTTCCAAGTGCCAAAGACACCGCGTCATGGACGTAACCTACCTCTACGTCCCGAACGGCGCCAAGAACGCCATGGACAACGTAGTCCATTACTCCCACTTTTCAGAGAAACTCCCCGGTCTTCTCGCGCTCGGTTCAGTTCCAGACCCATGTTGGTACCACAGCATTTTTTTTCTGTCACCTGTCACAGAAGATCCACGGGATGCAAAGAAGAATTGAGAATGCATGGTACATTGATGCTGTCGACTCCGCGGAATTGACAGGAGCCACACTGGGACGCTTGGGCGGGAAGGAGCATGTGGTGTGTGACAGAGTAGGTATGCTGGGGGGATTTCGTTGTGTGGTCGGTATTGACTGGTGCCGAGGAGTTCCACCTCTTTGAAACCGGTGCCACGGAAGGGTTCTTTGGCTCATCCGGAGTTCTAACAACTCTGTAGCTAGGCACGGTAGCGCTATCGGCAAGAAAATATGGCTTGGTAGCGATAACTCAATGGATCACAGCCACCCGAGACTCGACGGTGAGAGACGGAGAGGGTCAGTCTCACAAGTCTGCAAGATGCCGGGCGGAAATGACATGTCATCACCCGGAATAATGAAAAAAAGGGGTTATGGTAGGTATTGTTCCAAATGTATCGTATCCGAGATCCTCCAGCGGATTGATCTTCTTCCCTGTGTGACAAGCGTGTCTTCAAATGCAGCAGCGCCAGCATCCCACGGCCGGCAGAGAAACCGGGCGTCTACCTACGCGACTTTACGTACGCATACGTGAAGAAGCGATCCTGTCAGTTGCGCCCGCTAAGTTAGGTAGTCAAGGAATGGTTGTCTTGGCAAGTTTTGCTCGCAGCGGTGATAATCACGCTGAAGAGAAGGGAGAAGACAAGTGCGGGTGTCTTCTCTGTCATCATCAGAACCTACGTTTCTTCTTGGCCGGCCCCGTGGCTTTCCTCTCCAGCTCCTTCTGCAGCTCGGTTCGCTTCCGATCTGCTCGCTCCTCTGACGTTTCCCGTGGCTTGGGGGCCGCGCTAGGGCTCTTACTTCTACCCCGACTAATGATCCTGCTGTCTTCTGGAGACGGCGCTTTTCCAATCATTCCCAGCTTGTGTCTCTTCGGCTGAGAAGCAGAGGGCGAAGATGGCGATCGTCTGTGTTCAGGTTGAGGCTCTTGCTCAGAATCTTTGTGTTTTGCTCTACCACCCATACCCCCTATACGACCAAGTCCTCCTTTTCTAGGCGCAGGCTTGGACGAGGAAGGAGGAGGGGACGACGCGTCTTCCTCTGCTTCTGAAGCTGTTTCTGAGGTCAGACCATCGTCTTCCTCGGGTATTGCTGACGACGGTGAGCGGCTGGGCGGTCGCTTCCGGCCGCCAAGGGTGCCCAGTCGGTGAGCCGGCGTGCTCTCCGGCGAGGCCTTCGTAAGAAGAGGAGGTGGGTTCTGGGTCATCTGCACATCTTCGTCCTCGCCGTCCGATGTGGTATCATCATTGTCAATGACTGTCTGACGAGTGGCGGTACCACGTCTCTTGCTCGCTGATTTGAAGCCAGGCGGCGTGGCTTGCACTTGGAAGTCATCATCGTGCTCTTCCTTCGCTGGTGATTCTGGCGGTGGTGGCGTCTGTATTTCTCTCCTTGATCTTTCGGCGAGGACAAGCTTTCTCCCTCTGCCCAGTTCAGTCCACCAGGTGTCTAGTATGGCTGATGCTTCAAACTCCATTTCAGGGTTGTGCTTGAGTCCGGTTTCGCGGAAGACGGTGTCAAGGAGCGTAGGGACGTCCGTTGATCTAGTGGTTCCTTGTACTCCATCGTTTCTGAAGTCTGCTTCGACAAAGGTCGCGAGGCCCTTGATCTTGCCTTCTGCTTCCTTCCTGCCGACTTTGCGCTTGCCTGGCAGTTTGTTGAAGATGTGCTCGAGCCCTATACCGTTGGCCTCCAGCTTGTCTACAAGTCTGTTGATAACGGCGTCCTTGTCGCGAATGGTGGCGATGAGATGGTTGATCTCTTGTGCTCGAGCTTCGTGCAATTGGATCAGTGGCAACACAAGTTCCGTCGCAAGCGCAGAGGCAGAGCACTTTTTCAAGTACAGTGGCCACTTCAAAGGCTTAAAGGGCTCGGGTAGAATGCAGGTAATTTGAACCTCTATCGAATCGTCTTTGCCTTTGCCGAGAGTCAGAGACGTGTTGCGATGCCCTGGATCGTCAATGTCGAAGGCAGCTCGAATCCAATCCAGTAACCTCTGCAAGTTCTCATTGCCGTCTGTTGGGTCGATACTGGTGTCCTCAGCTGATGCTCTTCCCATAATGGGTCTTCTGTCCATGTTCTCCACCCAGACGTTGGCAAGGTCGGTCAGGTGTACCTTGTATGACTGGGCCGTGAAGTTGGTGGCAACCAAAAGATTGGGTATACCTGGGGCCGTGACCGGAAGCGGCCTCCATGGCGGAGACTTTGACATATTGAATAGCTGGCCAATGATCGGGTTCGAATTGCGGGCAGAGACGGTCAAAGCTGTTCAAAGTGTTCGGGTGCTGGCGAAGCGTGAGTTAGACGGGAATGGGAGAACATCGGATAGCAAAGATATGCCAAGGTCAGAGGAACAGAAGCGTTGGATGGCTTGATGAGGCTCCGAAGGTTATGCTAAGACAGCTTGCCTGATGCTGAGGAACGAGAAGCGGCTGTACCAGTTCTTGGCTGTAACACGGCAGTAAGCTCGAGAGCGGGTTGAGCCTCTTGACGTTTAGGCGGCGAGATACGCGGTGGCTTCGGTCCCTTCCGATACACTTGACAACAGCTGCGGCGCGTCTTAGGGGAATGTTGTGATGACTAGGCGCAGTGTTGGTCTGTCTGTGGAGGCAGCTTCGTTAGCCAAAGTGAACCCGGCCATGACGAATCCGGCCATGAGGGGGGCCTAGACCATCCGTTAGGGACCAGCCTCTTGATTTGGAATTTTTCTCGTACGCTGTGTGACATTCTCACAGTCATACCATCCATGTGGGAGCTCCTTGCTTGTCCTTGGGGCTCCGAAGAGCCTCTTGTATAGGAAATGAGGCGAGCGAAGTGTTGCAGAGTGTCAATGGTACCACTTGGTGTGCGGAGAAGGCTGATTGAGCCATGTTTTAATCGGAGGTCGCCAGTACCCAGGGGGGAAAGATGCCTGGTAGATTGAATGGGAGCTCACCTCCGGGGAAGATTGGGCCGGACTAGCGAGGAGCCTCAAGTTCGCGGGTGTCGGCTGACCAGACGATGCAGTACCGGAACTTGGGTCGTCTGTGCCACTGTGTACAATGAAAAGCGCAGATGTAGCGAGCTTAGGTGCCACACTGTCCTTGTTGTCGTGAAAGGGTGAAATTAGTCGTGAGGTCGAGATCTTGAGCCTCTCGTCGCCGTGGTGTTGGTTCGGCCTCCAAGTGGCAGCAATTGAGTAGGTAGTTTACGAGGTCCAAGCTGCGACTGAAACTGTCGTGACAAAATCCGAAGAACCTTCCGGCCCCAGTGGAGAACTTCGCGACAGCGGCGTCAGAACCCCGCGAGCGGGAGTCCGGTGTGTTGAAGGCTCCGTCCCGCTCCTTCCTGCTTTTTGGTCCGTTTCGCGATTGTGGTGTGATGTCAAGAACAGCTGAGGAAGGACGGAACGTTGAAGGTCCGTGCGCAGTGGGTTCTTGCACGCAGGCAGCAGTGTTCTTCACCGTCTTCTCACCGAGGTGTACAAAGCGAACAACAAACCCGCCCATGGACGGCCAACAGCTCAACAAGCGCTTGAACCCTGTGGGTTTCGCCTGTAGATGAAAAGTCCGAGAGTCTGCTATTTTGGTTACCATCCATATATCCAATGTTGGCATGGACACAGAGTGAAAATGAGAATCGTTTATCCTGCCACTAACGTTGCCGCCCTCAATGCCACGCTAAATCTGTTAGTCGAGTTCTTTAACAGACGAGATGCGGTACACCTCAGACGATCAAACCATCTCGCAGCCCTTTATTTTTTCAGTCCAGGTATTTAACTATGTGTCCCTGCCCCTATTGAACTTTCATTTTAATTTGCGAGCACTACATCTTGTAGAGTTGAAAAGTACTCTATGCCGGGGAGAGTTAATGAACAAACAGACGGGAATGTCCCAGTCCCGGGTCGAGACCGGAGATGTGGATCCCGATGAAGCCCGGATGTGTGGAACTAAAGCGTCAGGAGAGTCCTTGAATCCTAGACAAGGGCCACTAATCCCAGTTCTTACCTAAATACGTGGTGCAGGGTAGGATCACCGATGGGATGTTAATCGAATGGGTTGCTGATTGTAAATCATTCAACGCAGGCAAGCAAAACACTGTTACCTAGGTAGTTTGGGCTGTTCTCTGCCTCAGTGATTGATTGATCTGGTTCCTTGGATGGTGCTTTCGCTCATGGACACGGCAACAGACAGCCCCAGATATTGAAATCCTTGATTTCATTCGACGATTCCCAAGAAGGGTCCGTCATTTGGGGGGGGATTTTTGTTTCCCGGCGGGGGAGGGGGGGGGAACATGGAGGTGGGCTGAAATGGGGGCACTGCATCAGTGCTTGGCGCGCGAGGGGCTGCAAACGAGACACGTGCTTTCGTGAGTCGGCCGCGATCAACTGCATGTTCTTTCCAATTGTGACCTTCATTCTTTTGTGCGTCTGAGGGTGCAGTGACGCGTCCGCCACGATCCCATACGGTGCCCTGCGAAACACCAAAGTTGAGGTGAGGTAGGAATTGAAATTCCCGCAACCTGTCGACTTGGTACCGTCTCCACTCTCTGGTCTTCCCTCTTAACTCCTTCACTTCGACAACTCGATTTGGTCCCTCAACCAGACGCAGATCGTCGCCTGAACATGGCTATCTTGAGCTGCCTCCCGGGCCTCAAGGTCAATATTAGGGCTAATGGTGAACTTGCCAAGGAATACGATGCGCCGCCAGACGATGTCAAGGCGGGCTCAAAGAAGTACAAGTTCCACAAGTTGTCATCGAGGATTAGTGAGGAAGATCCATACGCGTTGGCTTATGTGGAGTCAAAGCCAGGAGAGCAGTTCGAAGTCGCCATCGACAGTACCGGGCTCGGCTTCCCAGATTTCCGTCGGCAAATCAGTTTGACAGTCATAATCGACAATTGGTCCCTTCGACCACACCTCATAAGGAATCAAGTCGACACTTTCTCCGCTGCCATCGTTGGCGACAACGTGACTGGATGGCAAAAGATATCTTTCAGCTTCTCTTCACTCGACATTGGTAGGACCACGCTACTTTGACCTCAAACTCCGTTTGTCTGAGGCTTTTGGCTGCTTCAAATGCTGACGTAAAGCCATGCAGTGGAGGCACCGGTCTCAGAAAAGGACATCAAGAAACAGATCGAAGAAGCCAGCAGGTATGGCACAATCGTCGTTAAACTCGAGTTGGTGTATGATGGGACTCCGGCCTCAGGAGGAGGTTCTATAGCTCCACCCAAAACATCCGTTGGAAAGGTGGCAGAGAAGGTCCTAAAGGGGAAAGCAGTAGACAGCAGAGCCACGTAAGTATTCAGTTTCCTGAAAAACCCACAAGTCACAACAGCTGGTTAACAACTCACTCACACTTAGGTTCAAGTCGCAAGCGGCCACTGCGCCCAAGTTTTACGTTGTTACTTCCGCGGATCCGCTTCATCGGCCCTTTGCGGTCTTCGAGTTTAGATACCGCACGATGGGTGAGTTTCACCTATCACGCTACAATTCGGTACGGCATTTGCATCAAAACCACTGCTAACATGATATGTTAGAGGGCCTTATTCGGGAGTTTATTGTACCCCGACCCAAAGAAGTCATTGATGTTGAGGAAGAGTTCATGGTACGCATTTCTCTTGTCTTCTCTAGATCTACTGTCCCAACGCACAACAAGCTGGGCTAACTGCAGGATGTTTTGTGACAGCGTATCAAGCGTATCAAGCCCGAACTTGCCGTCGAAGCCCGTGGCATCAAGAGAGAGCCCATGGACGCAGCTCTTTTCGCTTCTCGCTACAAACAGCGCAGGTTGGAAGACGGCAAGGTTGAGATTGATCTAACAGACGACTGAGGCTCGTACTGCACGTGTGTCGGCAGTCTATAGTAGGTTCAGACAAGGTATCTTCTGGAAGTGCATTTTTGCGCTGTTATCCAACATATAGAGGGGTCAGAAAGACTTAGAGCGAGAAGAAAATGGCGCAACGGAGGTTGAGGGTTGGTCTTGGTTGTTGCAACTTGTTTGTAAACTATGAAGACGAGAGAGGCAGTTTCTGCTGTTTGTCCAATGACTTTTTAGCAACTGTATTTGATATCTCCAGAATTGTAGGTAATGGCCGATTTTTCGGTTTATATACTAGCAGCTACATGTATGCTGCCGCTCGATTTGACATTGGGCGTCATCTTTCCGTACCCTGGCTCTCTCTGAAAATCGGCCAATAGCAGCAAAGCGAATCGAGACAAGGGGTTCGGTAGACAGCATTGGGATATAAAGAGTCGCGTAGGTGTACGGCTCCATAGCTTCGATGGAGACGAATGCGTGGATTCGTGGCGCTGGAGGCATTGGCATGGTATTGGGGGAACGGCCTGGTATATGAACTTGTGGTGTTGTGGCCCCTGCTTTCGAGGATTGTTAGATCATTCGGAGCCTTGTTATCTCGTAGAGTCGAGGTAGTATTGCGAATGGTAGAGCGCTCGGTGCCGTGGGTGGCGTCGCTGTCGATGCTGAAGTGTCGGGAGAAATCAAATCTGAAAGGTCGCAAGGTAGGACATTGGGTGTTTCCTCTGTGAAAGACAAGTCTTGTTAGCTTGCTGTCCGGTTTAAAGTGGTGTGAGAGCCCGAGGAGGAGTGATTTGAAGCGAATGGGAGGGTACTTGGACACTCGTTGTAGTCATGATTCGGCAATTAGGCGTGGTGACCAAGTTCCAGCTTCCATGCAATTGACATAAAATTGGGAACTTGTGGTGCGGCCCTGCCACTTGTGCAGCAGAAGCTCAGTACAATATAAGACTGGTATGTTTGTTAGTTTGGTTCTTCGGCCATAGGTTGAACAAGGGAGATATAGAGCTCTTATTGGCTTCCTTAGAGTTATCTTTTAGAGCGACCAACAATGACCAGGATGTAATACGCCACAAAAGCCTCTGTTTATACCTCCATCCGTCTCCTTGAAGGCCTTCAAACTTGAAAAATATAAAAGAAAGAGTCCCCTTTCAGTGCCTATCTATTTGAAAATCGAATACTTCCTCACTTTCCGGGGCTCTCAAGTGGAGATAGGCGTTTTTTTATACCAAACTAACAAACATACCAGGGTTAGATTGTACAGTCGACGATACGTGGATGGGCTCCAGTCCCATCCCCGTCAATCTTCTGTGTACCTTTGTAGAGGTAGTAGAGGTAGGCAAAATTTCGTTGTCGGTCGCACTTTTCTTAGGGATGACGGGGGCGGGAAGGAGGCCGGGACCTTGATGGCTGCGTCTGTCGCAGCGTTTGCATCCCGTTTACTGCCCGCGTTAAGTCCCCGCCAGCCAGGGCAGGCCCCCTGCTTAAGTAATGTTCTCAAAGGGAATTGCATTGTCGCGCACTTGGTCAGTCTAAGGTACTTCCAGTCAGACATGCCTCTTGCGCGATGCTGACGGGAGAAACCACCTAGAAACGATGAAGGGCCCCTTATCATGTAATGGTAGCCGACGAAAGGAATCGGAATAACCACGATCACCGGTCAGGTTATCGGCCTACCACTTACATCAGCCACCCATCTGCAACTCTTTTACGTCCCGCGTGTGTTTTGTCTGCCTGGATCGAGCCTTGTACAAGCAAGCTATCCGGGCCTGCAAAACCCACTACTACCTGTATGATCTGTCGCTTGCAAAGGCAATCCTTCCATTATGTTCCCCCTTCGCGGCTTCGCCATGTCTGCTTGCAGCTTGTCTCGAACTGTCGGTGCTGATATCTTCGATCCGAGCAGCTACCGTCCCGAATCCGATCCTCCACTGCTGACTCGTACTATAAATCATGCTTCTCGGGCGACGATAATTTGATACCCCATCCTACCTAGCCGAGTATCTCAGCATCTGCAATCCTCAGTCTGGGATGCTGCATTGCTCCATTGCACCTTCCACATCTTTAGTTAGCCTGGTGCTCGCTTGGGTGTCATCCCTTCAGTTACCACATGCAGCAAGACCCAACGAACAGTAAAATTGTCTCGGACTCAATGTTATGACCACTATATCCTAGTCTATGCTCAGCTCTTTTGCAATTTCTTAGCCGGGCGCTATTGTTTATCACGCAATCGAGAGCACTGCTTCCATCGGTAGTACCATTTATGGCACGTCAGGATCGACATCATATTTTTTCCCCAGTCAGACACATTCCCTCACCCTGAGTCCCTGATCCTTTTCTTCATGCTTTACACCCACTCGTACCTTTATATCCTTGGCATTCTCAACCTCCAGCGTACGTAACTCGTTTGTGTCGAGAAAGCTTCGATACTGAGGTGCCATGTTCTCAAGCTCTCCAAACTGCGGCTGGTGGATATACTCGCAAACTTGGCAACAGTTGTAAGCATTTCAATTTCGCTTCTGAAATCCCAGGGCCACAAAGAGTGAAACTTGCAGAAATGCGCCCAGAGGTTGTAATCAACCCACCAGTCGAACATCGTCAATGGGTTGGTGATAAGGTTGATGGTGAGTTCGGACTTGCACCCGCCTTCGCAGCTTCTTTTGACTCTGATCCACTTACAACACGCAGCGAAGGTCTCGGGCATAATGAACTTGGTAATAATGTATATAACGCGGTCATCGCTGAGGCCGAATGAGCTTTGGATTGCCGACATGATGTTGTAGCGGCGCCTTTCAGCGCTGGCAATGACAGCTGCCTCGGAGATTGGCCGTGTGGTCATGGTGCAAGGGTGTACTTCCTTGGGGTTTGAGATGTTGCGTGTTGAGTTATTGCAAAGTGGAATCCGAGAAGGTGATGATAACCGAATGGATGGAGATGGTGAGTTGGAAGCGAGGAGTCAACGGAGCAGGCAAAAGTCACGAGCGCTGATAACGATAAGGGAGGAGGAAGGGGCGGAAAACGTGTTTGGGTCACTAGGTACCTACCTACCTAACTTACCTCTAGTGATGCTACAGGGCACGTACCGGCGCGTTCGGTCCTAGCTGCTCTTGCCTTCTTTGCTTGTCGTTCCGCAGCAACGTTCGTCCAGGTAACCTCAACGCATTTCAATCATAAACAGAGAATTACGAAGATACCTCTATTCGCTAGTTCTACCTTGTTCTACAGGCATCAATCAACCCAGCCGCATCTATTACCACACCTTCAAGGTTGGAGTAGTTGTGAAAAGGGATATGAATAGCAATAAGTGGCGCTACGTTGTGCTTGGTTTCAGTACTAAGGAATTTCCGTGTCGTGGAGAGGGAAAGATGGGATGTGAAGGATAATGGGATTATGGTAGATGTTAAACTCCTCGGAACATAATGAAGAGACTGATTACCTACTGCTCTGCAATGGACAAACGATTGTGGGAGCTCTTAATGTTAATACGCTAGATGATTTGATGTTATTCTGTCCCAAAGCAGGAAACTTGGGCTTCTGCCCACTGCTGACGCTGTTACTTTGAATACCCAGAAAGAACACAAAGTGGCTAATGTAGCCTGTCAGAAAGCTCGTACTCCGCCCCTTTAAGCAAGATGTCGACAGTCAATTATTGTGTGAGATTACGAGCCAGTAAGGTCTTGGCATGACCGACTTGTACCTACCGTAGTGGGAAAATCTGTTTCTAGACATACATTGTGGTTGTTGGACAATAACCACAATCAATGTTTAAAAAACAATGCATGTTTCTTATACTGGGGAAGCGCTGTAATATAGTATTCTTAGTTTTGGAGCCGGGTCGGGTCCAAATTTCGAAATTTCTTAAGGTCTCAAAGTCCTACTTTCCTTCCCCCCCCCTCCCCCAGCGAAATTTATCAACGGAAAGAACTAGCCATTTCCTTCAGAAATAACCAACTAACTTAGTAGTCAAGCGGTTAATAAATTATTTCTTTATTTTTATTCTTGTTCGTGACCTTTGTTCGATTCTTATTTGTAACTTACTTTTTGTAAAGCTATTCCGGATTATTTAAATTCTAATACTAGCCTTCACTATAGTTTAGTATTAAAGGCTACTATTAAAGACTATTAAAGTACAGAAGGTTATACTCTATACTTTTAACATCTAGGGGCTTAGGAGACAATCAATGTTTGGGAGACAATTAATATTTGGAAAACAATTCTTGTTTTCTTTACACGTATTGTCTGCTAGACAATTCTTGTTCAGAGCCCGGGTTTCCCGCTTCAGGTAACGAAAGCGGCGGTGATGCTCTAAAGAACACTTCGTGAAGGAACAGCGCAGATATCAACCCCAATTTTGCAGGTCTCGGAAAAGCTGGGAACTTCATGCTTAACATTGACCGATCTTGTTTGGGATCCGTCGGCATCAACTCAAGTGCCCCTCGGAACTAGCCATTTTGACCGTGCAGCCTTGTAAGTGTTGTGGGGCGGAAGCATCCCTGCACCTCCTCAGCCTTACGACGGGTCAATTTCGCTGTAGCACCCACAGCTTTATAGGGCACCGGCACCCGCTGGACTCTGGTGCTATTAATGTTGTTTCCGTATTATTCTGTTTGAAGAACAACGGAAATTCAACACAATGCACAACATATATGGTCTGTTATGCGAAATATCATTTGCAGAGGTACTGAAGATAAAATCGAACTCAAGATGATTGTTTGCTCATATGTGAGCACATGTTTCCGATTACTGCACATGTAAATATGAGGACGGCAGGCCCAGAAGTTTTGACATAACGTACAAAATAACCACATAAATTGCTACCAAGACTACGAGACATCATCCATAGCGACATGAACAATATCAGAAACGACATCAGTAGATGAAGCCCAACAAACTGGACCGATATGCTTCTCCATCATCACAACGTCCCAGGAGTTGTCACTTTCACCAACAGAGCGGAAAAGAGCCAAACATTGGCACAGTTGACTAGAGGTATCTGATTCTCCTTTCCAGGACGACGCACTGGCCTCCTAAAACTAGGATCCTCGGTAGGTTGGGTGATCAATAGGACCATCCATTTTACCAAGAGGGAAAATATAGAGGCGAAACTGGCTGGATCTAACTGAAAGAGGTAGGCTAGGCGCTGCGAGCCTGATTTTCGGCAGCGCGCTTCTTTGTCTGGGGGGAATATGCCGGAGATGACTCGGGAGAGGAGTCGATAATGATTACCTCCGATGAAGGCTTGACAGTGGCGGCAAGGGAGGAGGCGAAAACATCCGGGCCAGTAGTGGGATTGAGGAAAGAAGAGCCAGTGAAGGATTCTGTGGGCCAAAGGGCTGACTTGCTTGAAAAAGGCGACTCTGTAGCCGAGAACGAATGACTGAAGATGCTGCGAGGGCTTCTCGTACTTTGATTACCACAGCCTACCGCGAGGCCCGATGTGAGGTCAGATGAGGACTTGAGGGACGGAGAAGATCTGTGTTTCGGCGGGATGGGATGGGAAAAGATGTTGGACTGATCTTTAGGCCGGGATATATCAAAGATGCTTTCGGACGGCTTTTGAGGTACTGGAGTACTGGATGTGACCTGCAGGATATGGGTAGCGGGTTGAGGTCTGCCGAAGAACGATGCAGGTAAAGGAGCAGGCTTCGCATGTACCGTTGAAGCAAGAGACTTGCTTTCTGAGTTCGTCTGTTCTTGCTTTGCAATAGCTTCAGGCGCGTGAATGTTCCCAGATGTCCGTTGCACTGCGGTGGAAATGACCTTTGGTGGGCTGGACTGACAAACAGATAGCTGACGCTGTACTTCGCGGCATAGGAATCCCGAAGGCTCTATGGGTTGAATGTTGAAGTTTGCCCTCTGTAAACGCTGGAAAATCGTCTCCTCGGCTTGGTGCCCCTCTTCTGGGAAGTCGTCAATGACAGAGGCTGCTCCATCACTCAGAGTAAACACCACCGTGCTCTCCGAGTGATTGTAGTGGGCGCGTATCGTTTTGCCATATCTTAGCCTATGAACCATGAAGTTGCGGGCATGACGGAATCTCCGATGTCTCCTCGACGGGCCATAGTTGGGAGATAGAAAGAAGTCCTAGGTAGACACGTTACGTTAGCCAGAGAGCAAGTGGGTGCCAGAAAGATGAACTCACGGGCTTGCGATCTTCTTGTTTGACAAACACAGAGGGGGGCTTGCAATCCTCTTGTTTGACATATACCGAGGAAACAGGTGGGCGTGGAATAGAGGAGAAGTGGAACCTAGCTTCGTGCTCTGACTTGATCCTCACGCCTGGTTCGGTCTTGATGAGGGGCATCGTGTGGGCGTGTCCTTCCTGGCACCGAACGAAGAAGGAGACTGAATGGATTCAAGATCGGTTGGGACCTTGGAAAAGAAAGTACTAAGTGGGCGTAAGTAAAGGGACATTCAGATAGGCCAGGACTGCTCTAACAAATGCGCATCCGGGGACGTGAACGGCGGTAGGTGAGGCGTGTTCTATTCAGGATGAGCAAGTTTCCTAGTTCTCTCGCGGCCAGTCAGAAGGAATGAAGGAAAATTCGCCTTCTCAAACGCGTCTGGGCTCCCGCGGCCTTTTGGCGCCAGTACACAGGACAGCCTCGAGACCTGCTCGACGCGCGGCGGGGCCTTCACTTATGGGCGCTCTTTCCATCTTTCGAGGTTTTCATCTGTCAACCCGGACCCGGACGGGACTCGGGAACGATAACGATAAGTTGCGGGGCACCAAGGAGAAAACCGGGCCTCAAGCCGTCATATGAGCTGAGACAGTTGGAAAAGAAGAACAGAGTTCGCTTACAACAGTCCCTTCCGAGGACGACATATTCGGCCAAGAAAGCGAAGAACATGTCGGCTTCAGCTTGACAGCATCTGCTCTTCCGCTTGTCATATTAGATTTCGGGTTGGCGCGGGGGTCTAGATATCTTTCAGAAAGGATGCTATCTCATGAGACTCGCTTCTTGTTGACTTCGCAGTCCATTTCAAAGGACCGTATGTACCAAGCAAAATTGGATCGATGCCTCGGATGAAATTCGTCGAGAGATGAACGGCGTTCGTTCATCCTATCCCTATGAGAACTCGAGCACATTTGCCGCTGCCAAGAGATGCGTTGACGAAATCCACATCGCAACAGATATGGTGAAGACTGGAGTATTGGGCTCAGAAAGCCAACATGGTGAAACGTATTGAGTGTCCTGTGAGGTTGACGATGCTGTTGACGAAAAACCGAAGTGGAATGCCATGACAACTGACGGAACTGGGGCTTGATTAGGCGGGATCCATTCCCTCTCCACTGTATAGGGCTGAGCGGAGAGGTCCCTAGTGGAGAGGGCAAGGGGAGTTGCTCTACAAGTGTAAAAGCTACAGGGCAGTGGCACTACGTACCTAGCCCTGGAGGTAGGTTATGGCGCTGCGGGGACCCCTGCGCCCCGCCCTTCGTCAGCAGTGGAGGATCATGGCGCCTGCCCTGGATTGGTCCGAGAATCGGCAGCGCAGCCAGGCTCCCTCCTCTTTTTCTCCCCTGCTCCCGTCTTTCATCCTTTCACCACTTTTTTTCCTTCTCACCATTGGCGCAATCGCTGCAAGACAGAAACTCAGCCTCAGTCCCACTTAAGTCGTCCTTGTCCAGCATGTCTCGCTTCTGCCTGCCGTTAGATCGTCACAATCACCACATCGGTAACGAGTCATCGCGCGCCCGGCCCCACAAGTTTCCAGCATCGCCATGGGTGGTGGTCGTTTGGACAGCCAAAGAGAATGAAACAATCAGTGGAAGCCGAACAAGAGGTCGCCCGTCTGCCTGGTCAAGTGTGGAGAAGATGACGGCCGCCATTCGCTGGGCATCAATGAGGGAACACAACCAGCCACGGCAGCCTGCATCGTCAGCGACTTTGACCTCTTCTTTCCTCACCGTCACTGCCTTGGATGAGGCCAGCCGTTGGTGGTTGCCATCGCAGGCGCCCTGCATAGAGATGTCAGACATGGGATGGCAGGAAGGTAGGGCTTGTGGAGGTAGCTAAGTCGGGCAAAGTATAAAAGGTTGAAGTATGCCTCTGCTTGTCTTTGCTCCTTGTCCCCCAGAATCCTGTCGCAAACCTTCTGCCTGTCTTCTTGTGCTACCATAGCTACCATTCTTTTGCCTTCTTCAGGCATATCACAGCATCTACACATCAGACATTATGGCTCCTGCTGCCGTCACTGAGGATGTTCCCAATGGGACTCCTGTTCAAGAACCCGTCAAGGCCATGTGTACATGTACCTGCAAGTGTACCGAGACGAACGGGGTCAACGACCACGACGAGACCAAGCCCCAAGATGCGCCCGAGCACAAAAAAGACGAAACTAGCCAAACAGACGAAAAGGCAGACTCAGACATAAAAGATTCGGCCACAGACGACAAAGACAAGCCCCCAGAGGACCAGACCATGAAGTGCGAGTTTAAGCACCTTGATAGGAGATATGACGAGAAGGACGAGCACTATTTCACCGAGCGTAAGACCGAGATCGAGAAGCCAGCACAAAAGGACTGGTGGCGTCTGTATGCCTTTTGCCTCGTCAAGCACTACGACCACCGCGGCGAACATGACAACACCCGCCTCTACGTTAACCCCCAGCCTCTGCGTCAGCTCCTCAGGGACGTCATTGGCGACTATCCCTCCGACCCCATCGATGTCGACGATGTCCAGATCGAAGCTCCCTACCATGCCCTCTTTCACTACCGCAAGGAACTCCAAGCCGAGGGCGTGAAGCGCTTTACCGACGACCAGGAGTCCCTTCAACATTTCAACCTCCTCATGGACTGGATCAACAACCACTTTGAGTCCGAGATTGCTGCCTACGAAAAGTGCATATCCGGCGAGATTCGCGCCATCTCGTACGATAACGCCTGGACTCTCCTACCCCCCGACACCATTGTTCATTGCAAGATCTTGGATCAGGATCGCGCATATCGCGTCCGCCGGTACTATGATGAGTACGATGAGCACGCCAATCTTGTCGGCATGACCCTCTCCTGTCGCTACATTGACTTCGACGGCGAGAATGTGGGAACCCTCAAGTCGCATCTGACCTTCCGCAAGTACACTGGCGTTGTCCAGCTTAGCGAACTGGACATCGTCCCCCTTCATCTACACGAGGACGCCGACGGGATCCGAAAGACCCTACTAGCCCGTGGACGCAAGTGGGAGAAGCATCTCGGCCAACATTACGTTCAATACAATGGCATCGCCGTCATCAAAAAGGAGATGCAAGGTTACGCTCGCTTCGGCGTCAACGGGCGCGTCATGATTGACTGCGCCACCTTCCACCGGCTGGCGGCTGACCACTCGTTTGTTGTTAAGAAGTTGCCGAGTTCAAGGCCCAAAGCCCCCTCACCGTCCTCCATCAAGTTCACATCAGAGACCAAAGAATATGAGCCTCTGACTGACGAGCAAGCCATGCTCACCAACGCCACCGTTCGCGGATATTCCTTCACCATCAAGCGGTTCCTCGAGTTCTTCGTCGACAAGCTGGAACCCATCCAGTGGAACACTTCGTGCTTTGACGGCCTCGTCCTCGACCCCACCATCAAGAAGACCGTCCAAGCCCTTGTCTCCAACCACACCCGTGAGCGGCCCGGGTTTGACGACATTGTCAAAGGCAAAGGCCAAGGCCTTGTCTGCGTGCTTCACGGCCCTCCGGGTGTCGGCAAAACACTGACGGCAGAATGCGTAGCCGAGTACGTTCAGCGCCCCTTGTATATGGTCTCATCGGGCGATCTCGGTTGCGTCTCCTCCGAGCTTGACGCCCAACTCACCCAGATCATGGATATGACCGCCACATGGCGTGCCGTTCTGCTCATTGACGAGGCAGACATTTTTCTCGAACAGCGTGCCCTGCATGATCTGCACAGGAACGCCATGGTCTCGGTCTTCTTGCGTGTCCTCGAGTATTACACCGGTATCCTCTTTCTCACCACCAACCGCGTCACCACCTTCGACGAAGCATTCAAGTCCAGGATCCACATACCTATCAGGTATACGGACCTGAGCTTCGAATCCAAGCTTCAAATCTGGAAGAATTTTTGCGGAATGGTGCCCGGAGGTGTGGACATTGATGAGCGGGGTTTGGAGAGGTTGGCGGAACACGACTTGAATGGGCGGCAGATCAAGAATGCGGTCAAGGCCGCTGAATCACTGGCGAGCTTTGAGGGTGTAAAGCTCGACCTGGCTAGGCTTCTGCAGGTCACTAAGATCCAGTCTGTGTTCGAAAAGGACCTTAGTAGTGTCGCAGGTGTGGATTACACGGCGCCAGGAGGTAGGGTAAGGGACGCGGATAGGAGGAACATGTTCCTGTGAACAGGCTTTTGTCCCTTGGGCGTCCTGTCTTTCTGGGTCTGTGTTCTCTTTTGCCCTTGGTTTCTAGCAGTCAGCGGTTTTTTTTTCCTGTTTTGGGTTGTTGGATTTGTTTTATCAGGTAGGCATCTCCATGGTGTAGGCGTTTGAGAGCATGTTTGACTACAAGCGATATCTGTAGATGATAGAACGACATAACGAATAACATATATTTTCAGAGTACCTGAATGTCTGTCATACTGGTTCCAATGTCCACGACGTCAAAATAGCGACAACCCTTGGCGGTACAAAAAGCAGCACTCCAGAGGCTTTTGCCTCTTACATATGGTTTCTACGCGAGCAAATCCCCGTCTGTGAAACTGGGCTAGGCCTGGATCTTTTGGAGGATCAAGCCGAATCAACCAGTCAAGAAAAACAAAAAAGAAGGCCAGTACCTAACTCGCACCGGTAGTAACTTCCACGCTAGTACCGTACGGCCGCGGACAGCACAACAATACGCCAACTTAGGCAATGTTCAGCCATTACACCAATGGACCACGGGAAGATGAGATGGACAGCAGTCTTATATGTAGAGGTAGGTACTACAGACCCAGTACAGAAATTCTCAGAGCCGGTCACGGTCTAGTCTCGCATACTACCTAGATATGATCACGCTCACAATCACATATATACCACGAGGACCAGAGTAGGAATGAAGGGGTATCAATATCGTATGTTCTGTCGTCCTTATGTGTATGCAGGTAGGTTCCGTTGCCCCATCCAGAATCCCAGGTAATATGTACAAAACGAATGTCCAAAGCCAGAAACACCAAGCCAAGTCCTGTTGATCCTGTTCAGCCGGTCTATGCAAACAACTCGACTTTGCCGTGCGTATAAGGAACTGAAGCCAACCTATACAAGCCCCAGTATAATACTAAAAAATTATGTGCAGTTAACCAGCCCATGTATGTATGTCCAGCTCCATGTCATCCCTCTATGTCATTCCTGGCTCAGCCTCGGACGCTCGTGCAACCTCACCTTAACTCGAGACCACACTTCTCAACCACGAATCGAATCGGCTTCCTCGTCCGGTGGTTTGTCACTCCTTTCGGCGGGATAATTGGCCTCATCACCGGTCCCGGTCCTAACACCTTACTTTGTCTCAGCCCGCCGTTGTTTCCCCTCGGCCTCTGCACACCACCACCCACCCCTCCAGCTCCCATCTTACCCCCTTGTGCCTTGCTCTCCATCATCCCCAAAGCATCATCACCACCCTTTTTCTTTGCAACGCGCTCATCAAATCCCCATCTCCCCACTCCTCCTCCAACCAACCACCCCCCGAGATTCCTACACTGGCTGACATCCACCCACTCCAGTCTTCCACACCCCTCCAGGACGTTCTCCACGCCCACCCCCGTCACTCGCACGCACCCGCGCACGCTCAGCCCACGAAGCTCATTAAGATGCAGCGCTACGCAGCCCAGACTCGCGTCGGACACAGCGCTGCCGCAGAACGCCATCCGTAGTTCCCTCAGACCCGGCAGACCGAGCGCAATAACCTCGGTGGCGGTATCGGACAAGGCGCAGCAAAAGGAAAGATCGAGATGGGTTAGGGACTTGCACGAGTTCACCAGGGCAATGATGGAGGTGTCGGTGAGGTAGGTGCAATCTGCTAGGCAGAGGGTCGTGAGGTTGGGAAAGCGATGCGGAGACCAGGTTTGGAAGCCTTGGTCGGTAATGCTTGTGCAGCGTGTTAGGGAGAGAGATTGGAGACGGGAGGAGGCATGGAGCGCGAGGTGGTGCATGGAGCGGTCGGTGATGTGTTTGCAGTAGGAGAGATTAAGGCGGGCCAGGTTGGGGCAGCCTATGACGGTGCCGGGCGGTGGCTGGGCGGGAGCGGTGGCTGAGCCGTTGGCGGTGGGCTTTGAACGACGGCTACGAGAGTTGGAAGAGGCGATGACCACCTTGCCATTCTCAGAGGACCGGGATGGGGGAGGCTCGGGGACCACCCAGCCAACTACCCTGGCGAGCAAGTTGTCGCCTACTTTGCGGCAGTTGGACCAGTCGAGTTCCTCGAGACTTTTGGCGTTTTCGGACATTTCGAGAATTTGCGACGCGGAAACGTCCCAGACACTGCGCATCTTCCAGACCTTGATGTTCTTGCCGCATTGTTTCCACAGGGCTTGGAACCCTTCGTCAGTGATGTGGAAGCAGTTGCTGATATCAACCTCGACAGGCCGCAGACCAATGAAAGGGGCAAGGATGTGAACAAGGGACCAGTCGGTTACCTTGCGGTTGATCAGACTGAGGTCAACATGGGTGCAGAGGTTCGGGCTGGTGGTTAGCAGGCGACGCCAGTCTCGGCAAACGATTCGTAGTCTGATTAACTCGAGGAGATCCATGTGCTGGAAGATGCAGACCAGGATATCATCCGGCAGGGAAAGCTTCTTGGCTTCGTCTTCGATCGTGGATGGTCTCCAAGGTAGAGTTCGCGCGCGCTTGCTCGGGATCGGGGAGCCGTCTGCCACCGAATGTCGCAGCGGGCTGCTCTCGGGAGTGATAGCCTTCATGCCGTTAACGATGGCAGAAGCATCGGTTTGAGGAGTTGGCGGGACGATCGAGTTCCTACGGCGATTGCGAATGTTTTCCATGTCCACGCTAAGGAACGGATCGGGATCTGTAGGCTGTTGTGTCTTGTCTTTAGCCGGCGAGGTTGGCTTCGAAGGTGTGGTGAAGGTAACTTCAGGCTGGGCATCCACCATCTCCACATCTTCATCTGTTCCCTTGATGCGCCTTCGAGCCGTCTCTTCCACCTGGGACCGAATCTCGGGTGGACAGCGCTTCCAGAGCTCTTCAAGCGCATCCCCCCCAATCATCAAACATTCAACTGCAGTAATGGACCGGACCGTGGCAGTTCTCCCTTCGGACAAGCCTAGGCTAGCCACCTCACCGAAGTATTGTCCTTGTTTTAGACGGGGTCGTGAGAACGTCTTTTCCGATTCGTGTACGACCTCGGCTTCACCCCGAACTATGAAGAAAATGTCGTTACCAGGACTGCCTTGACGGACAATGTCGGTAAAAGGCGAGTACGACTTTGGCTGTGCGCTTAGGCCCAGGAAGTGCAGAATGTCGGAAGGCAGCGTCGAGAACAGCGGAAGCTCTTTAAGCGTCTTTCGCACATTGACGTAACCGCTTCCCAGGGCGCTACCACTAATGGTCGGGTCGTCAATCACACCAGGACTGGGCGACTTGCGCTTCTTGCTTCTGACCACGGCGCCCTCCTTGATGCTGCCCGACTCTCCGGTATTAACTTCGCCAGGCACTGCTTCTCGGGCTAGGTTATTGCTCGAAGAGTTGGCCATTTGCCTGCCTTCCTGCCGCTTCTTTTTCAAGATGGTCAACCTTTCCTGTGCTTCCTGGCGAATAGCCTTTTCCATGTCAGGATACTTGGGCAATTCGGCGTGTAGGTCCTCCTTCTTAAGAACGACCAGCAGGCATTTCGTCCTCGCAATGATAGTCGCAGTTCGTGGAACGTCCATGAGCACACCAATCTCGCCAAAGAAGGCGCCGGGTTTGAGTTCGGCATAGACAGCTTCGCCGTCGCGGGACGTGACGGCGACCACGCCACGGACCAGCCAGTACATGGCTTTTGCTTCGTCGCCTTCTGTGAGGATGTGGTCTTGGGCGGCATGGACCTGGGGTTTGAGATGGGTGCCAATCGCAACGAGGAAGCCTTCTGGGGCGGACACGAAGAGGGGAAACGATCGGATTCGGTCCACCAGGTCGAGAGGCATGTCCGGGATGGTCGAGGCCGTCAGAGGAGAGGGGCGAATCGGGCGAGTGGGATTGGTCTCGACATTGAAGGACCTGATGAGGGCACCCGAGTCTTGCGGTGGTTGGGGTCCGCCATGGTGCGCCAGAACGCGGTAGGGCGATGGAGGCGGTGTTCGACTCCGGCGCATGTTGGGCGGATGCTTTGGAGGTTATATCGTCGGCTTGGTTACGGACGCAACAGACGATCGATCATGCCAGTCGCGAGAGTGCTATCGGGCACAGGCAGGTGCGGGTCGACGTGATTTGTATGTTGTTGTGTGCTAAGGGGATGATGCTTCGAGATCGCTTGCCCAAAGTCCGTTTGCGGGCGGCTTCGTGGGGTGGATCAGGGCAGTTGGGACAGCTCAACTGCGGCGGAGCATTGCGTCAGGTCGATAGAAGCTATCGGCTATAGGGGTCTGGACAGGAGGTTTGGTCAATGGCAATCATCTCTGGGTGCAATCGCTGCGCACAGTACTCACAGAAATAGGTATTGCTAGAGGTTGATGTAGCTGTCGAGGAGTGTGTGACGACGTGTAGGTAGCGGTCCGTGTGCGACGACGGTGGGATGCGAAGAGCGGGAGCCCGGTCACAAGTGGAAAGCATCAGTGGTGGGAACCTGGTTGGCGATGTGGCCGCGGCCGGGGGTCGGGACTTGGGCCCCTTGTAGTGTAGTAGGTACCTCTACCTAGCGATGGCGGAGAATTGTGGGGTACCTCTAACTTGTACATACCTGGGCTACCTCTACTTACCTAGTACATAGTACTTATTTCGATCGCAATGGCCGGCGCTTTGACGTAACCAAGTGTCAGTGGAGGTCGGGTGGGAGCTATGGCGCCCGTCTACCATACACCTCACTTACTACCGTGTGCCGAGGTGGTTGTAGCTGGAGTAGGTAGGGGTAGCTAATGGTTCTTGGAGTGAATATGTTAGAGGTAGACAACGGCGAAGAAGGCATCAAAATAAACATCAAAGGGAGGGAAGTGAAAGGACGGGATTGCTCTTTCGTCCCGTCTTGGTTGATGCGCCTGTCGCCCGCGGCAGGTCCAGATGAAAGCCCGAGATGCCCTGGCAACTGAACCGTCCAGTGCCGCAACCGCTCGGCAGCGTGGGGTCGGGCCGTTTTGGTTTACTTCTCACTGCAATACCTCTACAGTGCGTGGTGCTCAGTAACCGCCGGCATCTACTTAGTACTACAGTAACCAGTCCAGTCCAGTTCATTTCAGTGACTCCGACGGACGTTTATTCCGACGTTCACAACAGCAACAATTGCAGAAATCGCAGGGACGTTTCAGAGTGGTGATGCCAAGCTGCATGAGACTGAAGCTGGTTTCCGGAAGGAGACGAGGTAAGACGCTGACCGCGCTGATGTAGTGTAGCTGTTGGTCCCCTTTGTTGTCCTCGTTTCAAGCTAACATGATGAGGGACAGCTACCTACGTATCTCGAACAACTGTAGGCTTTGCAATGATTCGCGGACAGTCACTGGAACGATCAGAACAGGCCTTCTCGAAGGGTGGCGCGCTGTGCTGGTGGTGTTGTCACACCCCACATCGAAGGCTCCCACTGTCGTCGACGACGATAAGAACGCCAGCAGCACCGTCTTGTTTCCGACTTCCCGCCGATATCGATCCCGTTCCTCACCGCTGTTCTATAACCACAAGTACAGGAAGCAGATTGCTAGCCGACCAGCGTACCTCCGCCGGAGCATCACGATATCCACCTCAATGACTTCATGCCGTGGAGTACCGCACGACAGGCGACAGCAGCACCCTTGCGGTTCGCTCGCTGGCCTGCCGTTCGACTTCGAGACATCCCAATAAGAACCTCTAGTCATCCAACCCTTTCAACGACCAAGTCTTATCGCGCCGGACAACCCGATATGGCGAGAGACAAGAAAGAAATGGCGCTGCCCTGTTCAGGCTACACGCCCCTGAAGACCCTGAAGAAGAGCACGCTAAAACATCGGGCTGGTTGCCGCCACAGCCCTGCAGAATCACTATTCTAGAACAATTCCAGCTTCTGGACCGTGTACAACGAGTCGCCCACAGTCATTTTCTGGGCAAACAACTTGACAGCAACAACAACAACAACAACAACAACAACAAAAACGGACACCTGCTTGGATATCCAAGCCAACCATGGCTGTCGTGCGGATGTCTTTCGTCGTTCCGCGAAGAGCATCATATGGCAATCTCCAAAAACAAACAACCATATGTGCCAGCACGGGGTCAAACTGGGCGTTTCTAGCCCTGACGAGCACTGGATCATATCAGATGCCCGTCGGGCGATATTCCGTAATAGGAGGCCCCCGCATCTCTGATCCCGTGTTTCCACCTTCATCGCAACCCCGATCTTGGGAATTTCGGTTGCAGCATCCCCAAACCTTACAAGGCTGAAACATTCTTCTTCTTGGCAGGGCCAGTGCATTTGTTGTTTTCTTGTTGCGGAAATTACACCGTTGTGTTGGGGGCGGCGGTGTTATCTCACTCGGTCAAACTACTGATGATTATCGGTCTGGAGCACCCATATCGTCTCTTAGGACGCTACTTTTGGCTTGGCCTGACAAATGTATAGGCTGCCGGTAGCCAGCTGTGCGGAAAGCTTCCGTCCTTTACCCTTATCTGTCGGCCCATCATCTCCGAAAGAGCATAACATACATCATCATAAGCAAAAACTGGACCACTGTGCACAAGTTTCCTCGTGTACAAGATGCCTTCCCATGGCAAGACTTATGTCTTGCTCGGCGTTCTCTTGACGGTCAGTCGAGTGAAGCTTTCTTACCATGAAGATTACAACTCTGTCGTGGTTGCTTCTGAATCAACTATTGACGCTGTGCCTAGCCAGAGCCCAAAACTGCAATCCTGATGGTTTTGTGAAGAGCAAGTTTGAGCAGAGTGAGCTTCTTTGGCCTAAAGAACGGATGGTATATTGTTGCTGACTCCAAGGCGTAGGCGCAGTCTTAAAGAACAGGTTATACTTTTACGGCGGACTAGCTTTGTATAACTGCACCGGTGGCGTGCCGACATGGCTTCCATGTGATTACTTTCCCCTGTACCCCATATCCGATGATAATGAGCTCAACTAACGTGGTTGTTCAACAGACCAAGGCCTACGATGTGTGAATCTGTCTGACGAGAACAGGATCCTCCACATCCAAACTGTACCCGACGATGTTCCCCAAGTTGCTATGGGCGCTTTATGGAGCGACAACACAGATCGACTCTTCCTCTTCGGCGGTCAGTACTCCAACTCCTCCGCCAGTGCTCCATCTGCGGTAGAAACGATATGGTCATACACCGAGAGCACTGGATCCTGGGAGAAAATCTCCGTTCAAAATCCTCCAGCCTTTCGTCTGGCCCGCGGCGCAAGTGTGAGCGTTCCAGAAACAAGAAAAGCATACTGGATGGGCGGTTGGGCAGACAACTCTACCACTTTTGGAATGCATGACCGAATCTACCAACGCCAACTCATCGAATTCGACATGCAAACCCACAACTTCTCCTATTACGACGTTCCGGGCGGGTTCGGCGTCCAAAGAACCGGTGGCGGACTGGTCTATCTTCCATACGGGAAAAAGGGAGTGTTGATTGCCATGGGCGGATCTATGTGTACAAGCGAGGACTGTCACCCGGTTCCCAGTTATCACCCACTCACCCAGGTGTCGGTCTACGATCTGGCGTCTGAGAGGATCTACTCGCAGGAAACCACTACGGGAAACGGAGATCCAACGACAAAAGGGTGGGTGTGGCCTGAAGCACGTGCAGACTTTTGCATGGTAACTGTCCCGTCGTATGATGAGACAGTCCATGCTGTCTACGCGTGGGGAGGCATGGTTGGCCCTGATGGAAATGGCAGTGACAACGTCTGGGTTTTGTTGATACCACAATTCGTCTGGGTGGAGGTCTACAACGGTCCGTACGGACGGTTCGGAGCAACCTGCCAGGTCACACACGAACGGTTTATGATGTTCAGCGGCGGCGAACGGCAATTCGGGTCCAATATGGGTGTATTGGACCTCACTACAGTATCCAACGGATGGTGGGATGGGTGGGTGGAGGCATGGCAGGACTTGACTGACGGCCAGAGATATCCTGCAGTGGAGCCCTGGTTCAGGTACAACCCGCGCTTTGCCGCCTATCATCTGGGGTCAAGTCTGAGAAGGGTTGCCGGTAATCCGTGTGTATTATCGTTCCCTTTCCTCAAGCCTTGAGCTAACTGTCACAGAGCACGGCAGTTTGGAGACGAGTCACCAGCCGATATTCAGCGTCCATTCTCCGGATGGAGTCATTCTGAGTTGAAGCTCATCTTCAGCCCCTCGAACCATACGCGGCCCAATCCATTTCGGACCAAAAACTATCTCGCAGCAGCAAAGATCACATCGGCCATACTTATTGTGATTCCCTTCTTTATATACATGCCGCTGTACCTCTACTCCCTCCACCAGTTCAAAAGACAAGGTTACATGCAGGTTGTCTCCGGGGCCACATCGATGACCTGGCGTCCTTTCTTCACTCGTAACCCGTACCTCCTTTTTCTCGCTCTTTCATCCCTCTCTCTTCTCGTCGTCGTCGAACTCCTCTACCAACACTCCATCAGTCCCGCCTTCGAACCCGGCCACCGCATCATGCACACAAATGGATCCGAACCTTCACCTCCAGGCTATTACCCCACCATCGCCTCCCGTCCTCGTCTCGGACTCTACACCTACTGGGACTCGGAAAGCACGGATTTCAAAAACATGCGCGGCACCTCCAGCCGCTTGAAACTGGAGGGGTACGTCGTCTGGAACTACCTCCCAACCATCGTCGTTGTGCTTTATGGCCTGCTCTGGCAGCAGTGCGATGCGGAGGTTGAGCGTATTGAACCTTACTATCACTTGTTCAATGACAACATGAAGCAGACAGCTGACAGGACGTTGAATGTGGATTACCACACTTTCTGGGTTCCGTTAAGGTTGTGGCAGGCCGTGAAGTACAGGCAGTGGACTTGTCTTTTTTCTAGCACGGCGTATATCATTGCGTTTGCCGTGATTCCTAACCTTCAGAACTCCCTATTTTCCCTGGAAAAGAGACATGGTGGAACATATGGGGACTTGGTGGATTTTGCAAACGATGCGGATGGTGTGGGATATGGTGTGAGGGTGGCAGTGATGGATGGATCGTTTGCGAGGGCTCTCGAAGTTATGTTTGGGGTGAATATGTTGTGTGCCGTTGCTCTGATGGCCATTTATTGGCAAAGGGGAACAAGCACAGAGGGGTCCGGGTTGTATGGCGACCCGAGGGGGATGAAGTGGTTGAAGGAGTTGACCGAGGAAGGCGAGTTGATGGGCGCTACGTCTTTTCCAGACGATGCGCAGCCAATGTGCCAGTTGCTATCCCCAAGGGCACTTCAAGGCTTTGTCGATGATCCTGACGGACTGGATGAGTGGGCACGAAATCACTTGTGCTGGACGAAATTTCAAGGGGGTGGACTGCGTTTGAAGTTTGAGTGCGCGCACGAGCCCGCTCAGACTCCGTCCAAGCCATTCAAGCTTCTGTTGAAATCGATACGGGATTTTCTGAACCAAAAGTGGGACATACACGTTCAGCGAAAACCATTCATGTTGAACCTAATTCCGCTCACATGTCTCATTTCGGCAGTCCTCCTGGTCTTCGCTGTAACGCTTTGGATATTGTGCAGACATCTCATGGCGATCAAGAGCCAGGATGATACTATTCCTTTATCACCGGAACTGTATCTAGTCATCGGTGTGCTAGTTAAGGCAAGTCTGACTTCATTTCTTCCCAGCTTCTAGTTGCTAACCAGAACCCAAGTCTGTCTACGAATGCGTTGACCGCGATTTCCGTGCTGTGTGCCCTTTTCTTCCCCGAAAGCCTATATGCTCATCGGCTGCTCCAGCCGCAGGGGCTTCAAGTGCAGGGGCAAGCTCAGCAAACGGTACACCCAGGTCTACAGACCGAAACAAGGAGGAATATAATACAACACTTCCCCTCATCATCATCTTCACCGCATTCAAGTCCGGCCGCTACACGTTGGCATGCCTATCGATTGGAACCGCTTCTATGGAAATATGGGCTCTCTTTCTTGGGACGCTGCAAGTGAGCGCTAGTAGCTATGGAAGCACGACGCGGCCGGGGGACCTTGCGGGGTTGTTAACAGTAATGGTAATGGAGGTGATCACAATTGCTGGATTGGTTGGGGTTTTGTGGAAGGGGATCAGTGTGGAAGGGAAGGGGGGACAAAGACCAAATTTGAAGCCGGGGACGATTTTGCAGAGGATGGTTTTGATGACATGGCTTGATGCGGAACCTAGAGGTATGAATGGAAATGCAGGAGGGACTGGGCACCTGCAGGCAGGCGTTCCATAGTACATTGGTCATTGACGACGTTGGAAGGTGCATATTGGTGACCTGGGCTAGGATTGGGTATTCAAGGTGGTTTCTTCTTGGGGTTTTTAATTCATAGACTACCTAAGTTCTTCTAATCGACCAACTCCTCGCTCCATTCATGTTGGGCGCTTCAGACCCATGAGCGCCACAGATTGGTTGCAGCGTCTTAACGCATCAGGGCAAGGGAGACTCTGATGGACCCCGGCTGCAAGATTGATGCCCATGAACCCAGATTCATGTAGGTGATCCTAATAAAATCGGTGCTCCCAGCCTCGTGTTGAGAATGAAACATACAACGAGACCAAAACTCTGGTTGACGAGTCAGTTGTAAATGCTATCAGATTTTGTAGCAGTGAGTGCCCTGGCTTACAAGCAAGTGGCGATAACAATGGGAATGAGACCAGGTCTCGCCCGTTGAATTGCTTCTATCCACTTCCAAGCCGCGTGGGCGAAGATGACCCTGGAAATAATCGGATCGGTGACGCCCTTTTGTCCTACCACGATTGGTGGGGGAGAGAACGATCTCAAAGATTTCCTGTCCAACTGGAAAGACATGAAGGAATAGTACACTCTCGCCATCAGGAGAATGTGGGGAGTAACGATGAGGAGGAGCAAAGGGTCAGGTAGGTAATCCATATCGTGGCTTCTTCGGTGCTGCTATGCCTGACTGGGAAGCAGAAGGATTGAAGCTGACACTATCATTGTAAGGGAGCGACAGAATGGGGGATAACAACTAGATATTTCTGGATGAACCTATTGCCAGCCAGCAGCAAGCAATCAAGTGCATCAAGTTCATCTTACGTCAAGCGTCTCTTGCGCCTTGCTCTGGCTGCGTCGGCACGCATCCTTTGCTTCGGTTCTCTTTGGCCTTGGGAAGCACAGGGCAAAACATGAGAGTGCTTGGTATCCGTTTGTCATCAACACAGAACAATTTTACGGTACCACATCGAGAAATGTCGTGAGGAAGAGCCGACCTAGGACGCATCATACATATTCCAACCATGTCAAGGACGACGTTGTCACTTGTCACTCGCTTGTCAAAGGCAGGTACCGTATGTGCAGAGTAAAGAAGGGCCATTCCTTCTACCAGGGTTAGGGTCTCCAAAAGCCGAACAGCCGGCGCCTAAATCCGACAAGGAGCGAACGCGCGGGGCTGCTCGAAGCTTCTCCTCCAGCACTGACCACTGTGCTGTGACGCACATTACCTAAACACAGGCACTGCCTCCAACGGAACGTCATCCATCGTTTGCCTTTCCTCGGCGCCGATATAGATCTGCATCGGTTCCGCTTCTAACCACCGAAACACCTACTCCCACAAGCGACATCTACACATTGCACAACTCGATATCGACAGCCACGTTTCTTTAGCATCGAGTCGCACCCACGATCATGTCGTTTACGCTCACCATCCGCGCTGGGCCTGCGCGCCTGGCTTCGCGGATCCCCGAGTTCGCAAAGGCCTCGAGCGGTCCTGCCGCCGCCATCCGGGCCTTCCACAAGTCCGCGCCCAAGACCACCAACTTTTTCACCTCGAGGACGACGACCCCCTCGCTCATCGCCCAGAAGCCCGCCGCCAACAGCCTCCTCGCTCGTCTCCAGGGCGCCCGCCGCGGTTACCAGTACCAGTCTCATACTCAGCCCCAGCCGGACAGTGGCCTGTTGATGCGCAAGCTCCTGTACGGCGGCGCCATGGTCGGCGGCACCTGGGTTACTCTGCAGTTCATGTTCAACCGGGAGACTCGCGCGGACGGCGGCATGCCCCCTTACGAGCGTTCCTACCTCAACAAGACCTTTATGCACACTGGACTCGGCATCGGCATCATCGGTCTGACGGCCTACCAGATGCTCCAGACCGGCTTCACTTATCGTCTGATGGTTACCAACCCTTGGGTTGTCGCTATCGGTGGTCTCGCTCTCTCTTTCGGTTCCATGCTTGCCACTCGCGCTATTGATCCTGACAAGTACGTCTTTCGCGTTCCCGTGTGTCTGTGTTGTCGCATTCGCTGACCCGTTCTTCACAGCTACATCCCCAAGTATGCCTGCTGGGCCGTCTTCAACGCTACCCAGGCCGCCTTTGTCGCTCCCCTCCTCGCCATGGCCCCTCCCGCTCTTCTCGCTCGCGCCGGTCTCTACACCATCGCCATGATGGGCGCCATCTCGTTTGTCGGCGCCACCGCTAAGCAGGAGAAGTACCTCTACATTGGCGGTCCTCTTCTCGCCGGTGCTGCCATTGTCGCCGTTTCTGGTTTCGCTCCTCTGGTTCTCCCAGCCACTGCCGTCCGCACCCTTGCCTTCACCGAGAACCTCTGGCTCTATGGTGGTCTTGCTGTCTTCGGTGGCTTTACGCTCTATGATGTCCAAAGGGTTCTCTACCATGCTCGTCTCGCCCAGGCTGGCGTCATCAAGGAGGATCCCGTTAACGAGTCCATCTCGCTTGAGCTCGACTTCCTCAACATCTTTGTTCGCATGGTGCAGATTCTCATGATGCAGCAGAACCGCAGGAAGTAAGGGGTGTTCGTAGCATGAGTTTGAACCAAGAAAGCGTTGAACAAGATACCAGATCGTTTGCTTTTGAAGTTTGTGGTCAGCACTCTGCCCAGTGTCGGCTGTTGACGGAGTCATACAAGAAGGAGCTGTTGGTCTGATTCGGTTCAGGCAGTTGTTTGTATTCTACTTGTAAATTTACATAGATATCCCAAGATAACTCCCCAACAAAAAAAAAAAAAACGGCAAAACCCAACATGTTTCTGCCGTCCCAAACGCCGCCTGATGCAATGTTGTCGCTAGTATGTTAAATCCGCCCATGCCGTGTATGTTGTCCGGGATCCCGCTGTGTTGAATTACCATCCCATCATGTCTCATCCGGATCCTGCCCGAAAGTCATCCCCAGATTGTGCTGGGCGCACTCTTGCTACGCCCAGAACTCGGTTTGGTGCGCGCTCAGGGCGGCACAATTGCTCAAAACCCAAGAGCCTACTTGAGCTCAGGGAACTTGCGCAAGAAGTGACTGGGGCACTCGTACCCATCGGGGTTGTTCACCAAGTACAGCTGGTGATACTGCTCGGCATCCCACCACTCCTTGGCTGGGAGGATCTCAGTGACGATCTTGCCACCCCACCACTGTTCGTTGGCTTTCTTGGTGATCTCCTCGGCAACCTTCTTTTGTTCATCATTGTGATAGAAGATACCGCTGCGATACTGCGCGCCGCGATCGGGCCCCTGCTGGTTGTGCGTCGTGGGGTCGTGCATCTTGTAGAAGAACTCGAGGATTTGGGTGTAGGAGAGACGGGTGGGATCGTAGATCAGAAGGGTAGCTTCGGCGTCTTTGGGCTTGTCAGCGACACAATCGAGTGAAGAAGCTTAAAGCGAGGGAGACCGGCATCCCCGAAGGGGGCTGCAGAAGGCGTCGCCAGAGAGGTAAAAGACTTACGGCCAGTGTTGCCAGAGCAAACTTGCTTGTAGGAAGGGTTGGAGGCGTCTCCGCCAATGTAGCCGACACGCGCATCGTAAAGACCCTTGTCGGCAAAGTGCTTGCGGTAGAGGTGCTCAACGCCCCAGAAGCAGCCGGCGGCGACGGTGGCCTTCTCGGCGCCCTCGGGGACGGTGACGGGGCTGGAAGGGAAGGCGGTAGTGGACATTTTGGAGGTCTGGGTGTTGAGGGAACGGAAGATGCGACCGAGGAGCGAAGACATGCGTTACGTTGTTCGGAATGGGACTTGGCGAAGCTAATGGATGGAGGTCGGGGGCTTTATGAAGCTTCGTAGGGCTGAGTAATATGAAAGTGGACCAAGGTGGATGACGAAAGGTGAAATGGAGATGGCGTTGTTTGCAAATTCTGAATGCGCTCTTTTTGGGCATGTTACGAACGTCGGTTCACCGCGGCAGAGGGTGCCTCCACAAGTTCCCGACCGTTCGACAGTGGAGCGACATCCAGCCCGCCCGCACCGAGCCCCAGCTGGGCTGGCTCCCGCGACGACGGATCTAGGCCGACCCGCACACACAAGTGGAAGATACCCGACCACCCGGACGACCCGGACGACCTGACCAGACCACGACCCGAACAGACGCTGCAGAAAGCTGTAGAGGTATGTACCGTTTCAGAACATCTGGATGGCGTCTACGCAGTAGAAGGCCATTGGTGCCGAGCAGGATAGGTACCTCTACCCAACGCAAGGGATCCCGCATTGAGGCTGAGAATGGTTCTGTAGCGGGGCCGCCTGCATCCGTTTCCTGTGTCAGCATCATTGAGGCTGTGGGATGCCCAGCGTCCCATCTTGGGTCATGTAGCCCCCTACGTTCTCCCCCTTACTCGAGCCAGAAACCTACCTTGAATTCAGCATCTGAGCATCTAGGTATCTAGGGAAAAGCCTGCACTGCTGCCACACATATCTTCCATGCTACCCCCAAGTGGCTGGCAGTGTCCGGGTTTCCAGCAGCCTGTGGCGTTACTGGGGTCGTTACCAGGTAGGCGGGTCATCATTACGAATTTGAGCCAATCAACTAACACCATTTACCCAAATTTACCAATTTCACCTCCTTTGACCTCCGTGGATTGAAATGCCAACCAGTATCGCGAGATTTTACGGGACATTTACGCAGCCACCTCTGACCCTCAAGAAACGCCGGCTGGTATCGCGAATCATGTGACCTACCATTCACGCATATCCCATACAACTCGCCAAATCCACGCAATTACTGAAATCATCTACAGGGAGCCTTTACTGGTGAAACGAACGGGCCCTTATGGGTAAAAAGAATACGCGTATAGCGTATACGCGTACAACATATTCTACCATGTTGTTCTACTTTGTCAACTGGGCGGGCAATCCAATGTTTTCAGTCTCAGAAGGATTGCGTGCGCTACCAGACGTCTATGTACATGACGTTGACTTATGAAATCTGTTGTCCTCATCATCTCTTGTCCTATTCTTCATCTTGTTCTTCATTTTTCATCCATTAACCCATCACTTTAACTTCTTTCATTCCTGTCCTTCCCAACCTACCTAGGTCACTCGCTTTGCCAGAGGTTGATCAGGCATGTTACGGCCGACTTCTTGGCTGAGCCTAGGGCTCTACCTGGCGTCCCTAACTCAGGCTCGAACCATCCTTGGGCGCCAGACGGAAACAGCACCGGAAAATGATACGCCTGCCCAACTGATCACCGGCTTGGACGGAGTTGTTCGCTTGGACTCGACCTCTGGTTCTCCTGCGATCGTAACACTCGATTACAATCGTAGTGTAGAAGGCATTCCGACTTTCGAGGTGCTAGCAGCCGATGGGGACACATCCGTTTTCGAAATCACCTATGGAGAAAGCTATGGTGCCCTGAGTAATTACATGGTCAGTCGATCTCTACCCTCATGTCGATCCCTCCTCTCCCTCCAAGTCCTAATATTTAGCCACAATTCTTGTAGTCGGACGGACCTCTTCCGCTCGCTGCAGCCATGGATACCTATCGTGTGAATCGATACAGCATCGCAGAGCCAGGTACCAAATCGAACCGTCTCGTGCAGGGCGCTTTTCGCTTCCAGAGACTCAACTTGTCTTCTCCTGGAGTCCTGACGCTGAGAAATGTCGGCGTGCATCCTACCACCGACAACACTGCCGTTACGCAATTGCCCGGATCCTTCCATTCCGACCACCTCAAACTTAATGCCATATGGGAGACTGGAGCCCGTACCGTCCAGATGACCGAAATTCAGAAAGACAGCACCCCGGACTTTTGGGAGGTGACTTCAGAGGGGGCCTCAGTAGACAGCCTTGCGCCACAGGTGCTGGGGAGCGCGGCGGCCGCCCAGCTCCTGTATTACAATGTCGAATTCAAGGTCAAGCCTGTCATCGGTGGTTTTGGCTTCACGGTGCTGTCGGATACGTTGAACTCAGGTATCTACATCTCATGTGATGTCGCCAACGGTCTCATCAGCGCGCACAAAGGTTCCACCACGTTTGACGAGAAGCTGGCCGAATCGGCACTCCCGTCAAATCTCACGGGTGGCCTTGGAGCATGGCATACCGTTCATGCCGTCGTGGCCGTAACAGACATCACCGTGTCTATTGATGGCATCCCTGCAATGAAACTCTCACAGACGGCGCGGTTTTTTGGGTCTTTTGGCCTCGGCGCCTCATTCGGCCACCAAGCCATCTTTCGGGATCTCTTCGTATCGACTCCCACCGAAGACAAGTTTTACGCTAATTCACTCACCGACAAGAGTTTTCTGCCCGATTTCTTTATGGGAACCAATCCGGCAGCTGTGGTGGTCGATGGTTCCCGGCGTGATCGTATCGCCTACGCCGGCGACCTCGATATCGCCGCCAGATCTGCCCTCACCAGCACTCACAACCTCGAGTCCATCCTCGGGTCCTTGGACCTCTTGGGTTCCTACCAAGCAACCCCTGGCTTCTTTATCCCGAATGCCAAAATCCAACAGGAGCCCTTGGCTAACGGCCTGGATGTGAACATCACGGGCTTGATTGGGTACTCATTCAACTTGGTAACGGCAGTAGCCGCTGTGTTTATGCACACTGGTGATGTCGCATTTGCTACGACTTGGGCCCCCAAAGTGCAGAAGCTACTAGAGTGGGCAGACTCGCAGACGCTCGACAACGGCCTCTTCAACATCTCAGACGCTTCTTTTGGTGGCGATTGGAACTACTACGATCCGACGCAGTCTGGCGTCGTCACCAAGTTCAACGTCCTGTACGCCTATGCCCTGCAGGAAACCGTGCAGCTCTTGGCGGCTGGCGGCATTGAGCCCACAGTCTATCAGGAACGTCTGGAGAAGATTCGCGATGCCATGGACACAGCGCTATGGAGCGACGAATTGGAGGCCTACTACGTTTCGGAAGCGATCCAGACTGGATTTGCCCAAGACTCCAACGCTCTAGCCATTCTAGCCGGTGTTAACAGGAATCCCACTCACTCTACCGAGACCATTCTCTCTACGCTGTCCAAAGTTCTCATGTCGCCTGTTGGACCGCATGCTTTCTCTAGCAGCGCAATCAAGGCCGGGTTCCAACCCTACATTAGCCCGTATGCGTCTTCCTACCATTTGCGGGCTGCCCTGGCTTCCAACGCAAGCGAGGCCGCTCTTGAGCTGCTCAACAATCTTTGGGCTCCCATGGCCGATCCGGCCCACGAGAACTATACCGGAACCTTCTGGGAGACGTTGGATGCCGAGGGAAGGCCGGGCCTCGGTCTCACTACCAGTTTATGCCACGGCTGGGCGACTGGCCCCACCGCCGAGCTGACACAGTCGTCTTGGGCGTCCGACCGACGCAGCCGGGCTGGAAGGAATTCGCGGTCGCTCCCCTTACCTTAGGACTACAGTCCGCCAACGGAACGATGCCGACCTTGCTAGGAACCTTTAGAGTTGCGTGGAACTTTAGCTGCTCTGGGTTGTTGAGTATGGAGATCGATGCGCCTATCGGAAGCTCGGGAACGGTGTCTTTGCCGACACCTCTACGGACCCCGGTGGAACGATCTACTTTCATGATTAACGGCCAGGCTGTCAATGGCAAGACGTTCACTGTGATGGGAGGAACAAGGTTTGTTTTGAAGCAGAACCGCAAGCTGTAAGCCTTTGAAATCGTGTCACCGAGTCTTGTTAGTGGACTGAGAAGATCGGACCTTCGTTCCTCGTTGCTATATGGTACGAATGGAACGGACACAGCGCTTCCAAATTTGGAACAGAGGGCTAGCTTCTCGTAACTCACACCTCCGCACCTTTCCATACTTTCCAGACAGCTGTTTTCCTAGTAGCTGTAGCAAAGTTTGGAGGTCTGCGTCTTCATGACCTCCGAGACCTTAATGTCCGGGACCAGGTTGAGGTACGGCATAACATCATCCAGGGTAGCTTCGCCGGGGTTGCTGAGGTTCTGAGTCTTAGGGCCGCCGAAGTCGGTAGTACGGGTTTCAGGCTTTTCCATCTGCCACAGAGTCCACAGGCGGTCGATTTGGGTGTGGTGGAGGAAAAAGATGGGATCTATCAGATCGTGGCTGTCAGCTTGTGTTCACTTTTCAGTTGGAAACTGGCCTTATGGGTAATAACGTACCGTTGGGGGAGGTGGCAGGCGACATGTCACCACCCACGGCCGAATGGATCGCGCCGTGTGGGCCACCCTCCAGGTGGTAGCGGAAGTCCTTATAGTTGTCCTGGGCGGCGACCTTGTCGACGGCTTCCTTGTTGTAAGAGTCAGCCAGCATGTCGCCAGGGAACGCAATGCCACTGTTCCAGTCGCGGGCGAGGCAATGAGGCTCGTAGCCTTTCATAGTATAGGCGACCTGGAAGCCCTTGAGCGGGCCGTCGACAAGACACTTCATGTTACTGTCCATGACATCAATAGCGGGATCGCCGTTGCCGCCGAAGCCGGTTATAGGGTCCCAAACAGGCGCCTTAGTCGGGTCGCCTGCGTCCAGCGTCCAATCCCAATATGCCATAGGACCAGTGTATCCACAGTCCCGGAGAGAGTCTTCGTAGACTTGAACAAAGAGACGGTGCCAAGGAAGGAACATAGCAACCGAGTGGACTGCGAGTTCTGGAAGTTAGAGAGAATGTAACGATAGAGACAAGTGAATGACCGGATGAACGTACTGGTCTTGTCTAGGTGGGAGTGGACATAGGGGAAATCGTCGTAGCGCGTGGTGTTGAGTCCTATGCCCGAGGGTTTGGTCTTGAGGCACAGAACAGCGTCAATGTACTGTTTCTGGACATCGGCGCCCAGGGTTCGCCATTCCACACGCTTAGCAGGATCGGCGCAACCATTGTCGGCCTGGCGGGGGATGGTCGCGGCAGCACCGAGGCTGGCGGAAAGAAAGAGACCGGAGAGGCGCATGATTGAATGGTTCGGCAATGGTTAGAAAAGAAGAGACTGTTGGAGTTTGGGTTATTGAGAGGAGAAGTTCGTCCATAGCAACGGAAGACGGTAGCAACTTATACTCGTTTGTTCTGACCGACTGGTACGTTGTTGCGTCCAACTTGCTTGCTCTATATCTGGGGCATTACCACCCTACCCCTTGGTCTTTACATAGTTACGAGGTTATACGAGGGTGAGTCTCCAGTCCGTTGATGCCAAGGTGAGTGAAGTGGCTAATACGAGGTACCTAGGTAGGCGGTGTATCAAGTACCCTAGCTTTGTTCTGGAGACCTGTGTTTCAGACCCTCGTCGTTTAGGAAGGTTTATACCACTACAGTAACATCGTCTTCCGGGTAGCCCGGCAGAACCTACTGAAGCGCAGCTGTTATTTAAGTCTAGAGCTGGATTACTCTAAGTAAAAGCCCAACAATTTGACAGTCTAGTATAAGTGCGATGCTAGATTACTCTAAATAAATTTTAAAATTTGGCGGTCTAATATAAGTGCAATGCTGGATTATTCCAAGTAAATATCTAATATTTTGGCGGCCTACTATGAGTGCAATGTTGGATTCCTCTAAGTAAGAAAAAAAAAAAAAAAAAAAAAAAAAAAAAAAATTGGAGGTTAGGATTTATAGAGTAAACCCCACCCTAATACCTTATAGAAGCCGAACCTAAAGCTTTCCGTCTATAGTACCCGAGGGATTTAGTATAATTTACTTAGATAGTTATCTTCTATTTACTTCCTTAACAGTTTATTTTAAATCTTATAATATAACTTAGTCTTATAATACATATCACGGCACTGGCGGTGGTGCCTGCCGGACGGGCACCGGGATAGCACAGCCATGCCCGCGACCGGTATAACGCACAGGGCACCGGGACTCTAGATTAAAACCCTAGACCCCGCGCGCACCTTTGCACGTTTACTTCTTTTCTTCTTTATCTTATAATTCTACAATAGACTTAGAATCAACGTGTTAGCTTGCCTCTTGTAACTACGTCGTTCGTAACAATTATAAAATTAATTTATATACTTTCTAAGGAGGAAACCAAATATCCTATTATATTAGAAATTGAAAGACTATTATATTACAATAGTGTATACTTTAAAAGAAAAGGTAGGTTAAGCCTCATTAAAGAAGTAGGGATAATAGTCTACCTAGTAGCCCTCGTTGAAGGTAATTGCTATTGTAAGTATTTAAGTTAGTGAAGTTTAGAAATAGGCTATTAAAGTTTAGAAGGATAAAGTGGCCGTTAAATAGGTTATTTTCGATATTAATAATGTACCTATTACCTCCAAGTCTGTAGTAGAGTAAGATAACGCTTTTCGTTGCCAATTGCTTAATATTATTACTATTAAAAATAAGTAGGATATTTAATTACGTACTTTCAATATATTTAACTTTAATAATAAGGATATTCCTAATAATATTAATAAAGTTATTACGTTTTTTAATTAAGAAATTATTACTAAAATAGTTAATGTATGTTATACTTTTAAGAAAAAAGATTTATATACGTTCCTATATACGAAGATTAATGCGATTATTAAATATTATTTAAAAAAAGAAGACAGTCCTACCTTTATTTTTAAACCCTTTATAAAGGCTAGTAAGGATTATTAGTTTTACTATTTTTAACGTAATAAATTGTATATTGGTTTTTTATTTGTTAATTTCGCTATTTTTAAAAATATTTACGAAAGCGATGAAGCTAATATAAAAGCTATATTTTAGGAAATTAAATTGCGGATAATTCTAGTTAAAATAATTTTAGCTTAATAGTATAGTTATTAAATTATTGCTATTAACTTAAATATTAATTTAAATAAAATATACAAATATACTTTAAATTTTTTTAATTATTGGAAGGTAATTAAGGATAAAAATTTTGAATTTAAGAATAAAGTAACTATTTTTGAGAATACCGTTATTAATTTTAAATAAGACTTAGTCCTTATTAGAGTTAATCCGGACGTAGAGGAATTAAGTTGGTTATAATATAAGAATATAGTTTTGTGTAAGTAGAATTAGAATTTGTAAAAAGAAGTCGCTTTTAGTATTATTAAATTGAATATTATAATAGGAAATTAAATTCGAATTAAAAATAAATAATTAAATACTGTAAAGGACTATAAGGAGCCCGAGGGTAGTGAGGGATATTATAAAAATTCCTATTCTAACTATTACGGTCCGTATAATAACTGGAGTAATAATAGCGAGGAAGCCCCCGAACGTACCGAATACTCTATATTGTTAAATAAATACTATAATTATTAGAAATTACTAGCCGAAATAAATAAAATTTAAAATAGTTTATTTTAGACTTAATATAAGTTGAATTAGGTACGGGACTCCCTAACTGCTATTATAATTTAGGTTAAAGAATTAAAAATAAAGGTCGCTTTAAAGGAAGGGGAAATTATTAATTAAAATATAATTATTACCTATTTTACTAAAGAGAATATAAAATTTTATAAATTGAAGAAGAAAATTATTATCGACCTTGTCCTTAGAAATATAATTCCCTATAACTATTACGGCACTATATAATATAGTCCCGTCCCTCTCGGCGTTCCGCTACCGCAACCCAACCGTCCTTTAGTTAATTCTATCGAATTTCTATTTAATCTATATATATAGTCTAGGAGTAGAGTTTTCGCTACTCTCTTCTAATCTTCTCCTCTTCGTACAATATTACATCTTCTCCAAATTCTTCTTAATTAATATTATAATAGTATATTATACTTTTTCTATTAAATTAATGGCCTAATAACCTCCTTATTATTTTACTTCAATTTACTTTAAAATCGGTACCGACCTCTTCCAATCCCCTAATCCCAACCCTATTACGCTATATATACAACCCAATTATACTTCGCTAAAACTCCCCTTCAAAAAACGCCCCAAATTAACAACTTCACTTTTACTACTATATTTTATTACTATTATATTATATACCCTAATTACCTACGATACTTTACTTCCTTTTCCTTATATAATATACTATTAGCGTTTTATTACCGAAACCCCCGTACTAAATTATAAATAATTTTATAAATTTATTAAATACGCCTACCCCTAATTCTAATACTATACTTACTTATAAAGCTACTACTCGGACTCTCTTCTATTTAAATACCCTCCCTTATATTTATAAAACGGTTAAGGGCCTATAGAAGGATTTTTTTAATTTTATTTCTATTTTAAAAGTAAACTTTAATATCCTTATTTAATTTTAGTTCTACTTTACTATTATCAAAGACTATTTCGGCCGGATTTATAGCGAACTTCGTACTACCTAATAAAAAGCCTTAAATATTTAATAAATAACTAATTAAATTTAGTAGGCCGCTATTTAGAACTTTATTATAACTTTCTAAACGTAGTAGGACCTTACTAGAATTATAATCGAAGCCGCTACTATAATTATATAAATTTAATAAATATAATAGTAATTCGCTATAACTAAAGACCGGGCCTAATAATAAAATACTAATATAATAATAGTATTAACTATAACCGTCCTAATTACCGGTACTACCCGCTTACGTAGCATTAAACCCCCTATATTTAATAGTATTAAAACGTCCCTATTTAAATATTAAAAAGAATATATTTATTAGTAATTTTAATTAATTACTAAATTAATATTCGATTTCGCTATATACCTAACCCTAACTGACCGTATCCTTTATATTTCTTAATACCTTTTTAATAATATTTATACGTACGTTCGGGCTAAAATCGATATTATTACCCTTAACCTCTATAATACTTCGGCCTAACCGACCGGGCTCTCTAATTTCTAAAATATCCTTATTTACTTCGACCCTTATTATATTTGAAACGCCTATACCCTCACGAGAGAGCGATGTCCGGGGCCCAAATGTGTTATAACTGTCGCAGACCCACACTAGAGGTCGTGGTGCTATAGGCCCTATATTATCGCAAGGAAGGCGCGGCGGTTCTATCTATAATAGGCTAGAATGCAGAAAATTACCCGTCTTAGTACGCCTTAACAGTCCCAAATAGGCAACTCTTAGCGCTAAGCAAAATACAGTTTCGATAGCACATATAAACAGTACTACATTTGACATATTTAGACAACTATATTTCTACGTTAATTGTATATATTAAAATACAAAAAGTACTACTAGAAAGAACTCAATTAATTATATATTCTATATTATTTATATTTAAATATAACGTAAAATACGGTATTACGTAATATTATAAATAAAATTCTATTAAATAGTTGCGCGACCGTTTTATAATTCTATATACGACTATAGTATAAGTTCCCGGCAATTCTAGCGCTCCCGGCAATTCTAGCAGCCCGACTGTTTAACACTCCTAATAATTCTATTATTCCCAGTAAATTTAGTACTCCTAATAATACTACCCTTTATATTATTATTAAATCTACTATTTTTAATTAATACTAATACCCTTTTATTAATACTAATACCCTTTTATCGTTGTAATTATCGCGCAACTCTAAAAATTATTTAGAATTATTAATATCTATTAATTTTAAACCTTTAAACAATTACGCGGCCGTTTACACAATTTTTAATAAAGTACATTCAATTACGTATTATTACTTCCTTATTTATAGACCCTACTAAAGAAGGTACAATACTACTACTACTAACGACCGCTACTTTAAGTTATTCTATTACCTTCTACCAACAACTTTCCACTTTCTATCTTTTAATATTAATAAAATAATCGCAATACTATTCACCAGCCGACTCTACTATAAACCCGACCGTTAACTAGACCGGCGGAAATTTCTAATACCTATTAACTCCCTCCCCAAAGGGTATAAAAAGCTAGCTCCCCCCGCCTTTCAATTCTCAAACTCTTTTTTCTTTATTATACTCAATATCTTATATCTAAAATTAACTTTAATATTTAATATTAAATATTTTTCAAAATAATTTCAATACTATCCTATAGCAGTTTAGGCTTAAT